ATGAAACTAAATTAATGTACTTTATAATAATTCTGTTGAAATAATTATTGTTATAAATATGTTTCTTGTTTATTTGTCTATCGACTAGTATATAAAGTATAGACATATAAGCTTTGTTACGTATAAAAATGTCAAAAATCAACTAGATGCAAGGTTTTTCGGTGGTTTAACTATAGAATAAAATTCTTGATACAATTGTAAATAATATAATACTGTTATTGTTATGTAATTTGTGTTATACTGAAGCTAATTTAATGATGGAGTGGTTGCCTATATCATCGTGCATTTTGCATATGGCGTAATTTATGTTGGCATTCTAGTCAACGGCCATTTAAATGAAGTGACGTGTGTTTGTTTGTGGTGTGCGTGCGTCGTCGTTTGTTTTGGCATTATTTTGTAAATAATACGTGTTATCTGCGTGCAAAGTCATCTGATTGAAGGTTTGGTTGGGCGACGAGCTATGCATCCGAATCGTCGTCGAAAAAAGCGCCCCAATTATGGGATCCGCACCGTCGAAGTTATGCGTGGCCCCAACGGATTCGGTTTCACGATTTCCGGCCAACAGCCTTGCATTCTCTCCTGCATAGTTTCCAATTCGCCAGCAGATCAGGCCGGCCTTCGGGCGGGCGACTTCCTCATCTCTGTTAACGGGGTTTCCGTTTCCAAGATCACCCATGATGCTGTGGTGAATCTTATTGGCAACAGTATTGGTCCCATTAAGATGACCATTGCTGAGAACTACTATTCAGATAGTTCAGATGAGGATATAACTGTGGGTCGAATGGTCAACTCTAGAAAACCCAAGTATTTGGGGAAACCCCGTATGCATAGGGGCTATAAACATGAAGTGCATAAGAAGGTCCCCAAGAAAGATGATAATTATGAGGATGTTGCATGCAGCCTACCTGTCTCCAATCCCATGGAGGAGGAAGGTGGTCCTATAGAGTATAAAGCTATTGTTGGCTATTTAGGCACTATAGAGATGCCCAAACAATTGTTGCCCAACTCTCGACTTCAAACAGTTTGTGGGTGCATCAAGAAACTCAGACAGGAGAAGCGTAAACCAACCACTGTGTTAATGACAATTCTGCCAACTTGTCTAACATTGAAAAATTCCTCCAATAATATATTAGCCATTTACCCGACAAATCGCGTTGTTTACATTAGTTCCTCAATGGACAAAGATTCTCGATATTTCGGATTAGTAACTAGCGCCGTTTGCGAGAATGTGCAGAAGAAATGCGAAACATCTTACACTAATGTTTGGAACTCTGAGAAGAAATGCAATAACGACGAAAAAGGAGCAATCGAGGTGTCGAACAGTTGCCATGTATTTGTCACTGATCCTAAATACATTGATCATAATCTCCACACGAAAGAAGCTGAGAACTTTAGAATCAGTTGCACAAATGATGTTATTACCGGTAAGAACCAATAAGATTAAAGCGTTGTTGAATTGGTTGCATAAAATAATCACCAATAGTAGTTAAGAAAATATTGAAATGTGTACTCTTCTGAAGAGATGCTTGATTATATCATGCACGAAACGGTTATACTTTCGTATATATGATAATTGTATCATCGGTCCAAACTACCTAGAAGAAGAGGTGAATACACTCACTCAAGTATGATTAATTTAACTCATCTTTGTTTATAGGATACTGTTTGGAATTCCCGCGCAATGCTTTGTACATTGTAAGTTTAGTGCAGAACATGTACAGATTACAAAGTACTGTAGAGCCCCATCGAATAGTCGAGGAGCTGGTGGCGAATTCGCCACAGCCCAGTGCTTCCAGCAATTCAGATTCTGGCATCGGCTTCCGGGATGATTGCGGTAACGTCAGCGATCGCATTCTGGTTGTGGAATTCCCAGCCAATAGACAAATTCAAGTCGTTCCCAACAACACCAATAGGCCTATCAATATAATCGCATCGAACATCCAGCTGGATTCGTTAGATCTGCCACCAATGAACAACGATGCGAATCTCAATAACGTCAGAGCTAAATTGAATAATATAAGGGCTTGCGAAAATTTAAGCATTAAGAACGCTATAGATCGGGATTACTTGGCAAAGCAGAACAATGAAGATGATCTTGGAAGGTTGAATTGCAGGGTTCTGGGAGGTCGATGCGAAGGCGACGTCGACACAGGCCAAGTATTCAGTGAGAGAGGAATCGATGTACCGTTAGAAGAAGATTTCGATAACGTCTCAATGCACAGCTCGAAGAGTGCGGAGGTTTTCAAAGTCCCAGAGGTGTGTAAAAAGAGGAGCAGTAAAAGACGCAATCTAGGCACCAGCTTTGATAACGTTGCTGATAAATACGAGACTTCCCTTTTAAACTATAAACTGAGTCCGAAAGTATACGGGATGGCAAAGCCAAATTACAGTTGTGAAGAGCTGAGCAAGTTGGAGATCGCTGAGAAGTGCGGAGGAAGCCTACAGGACCTCGCTTATCTGGAGGGTGCAATTGAGAGTAGACGATTCGTCGCCCAAAGCGAACCGGATGTTAGGATCGAAAGAAACGGGCGGATTTCGGTGAGTCTTTTGTTTATTTCATAATATTTATAGACGTCCATAAATATTTGGCTTCGGTTTGGTTTATACTAACAGAATGAATAGTTTTCTACATATACATATTTTTTTTTGTATTTTCTTTTTTTCTATTTGATTTCGCAAGCTTCCAGAGAAAGATAATTTATTTTAAACGGATTTATTAAATTAGAAGGTATGCCAATGCCATTTGAATTTAATTATAAACTCGGAACGTTTCACCGACATTTGAATAAGGCGTGACTTTCCTGAATAATTGGTGTATATATAAATGCCTTTTGGTTTATAAAGGCACAACGTTTGATTTACCATCCCAAATGATATATACTATTGAATATTATTTTGAGATATAGTACTCACTACGCAAGTTATTTGGCAAGTATAATGTTGTATGAAGCTAGTTTTAGGCCAACGAAACAAAGTTACGTAAATAGGTCTGCCTACATTACTTTTGGTGCATCAACGTAAATCATTGTGGAGGCCGATAAACCCGAAATGGGGTAGAAAAAGGGATAGACTCCTTTTTTTGTAAATCATCATACTATTTTCATGTTTATTGTTCCTAATATTAAAGTTCAAGTTGTAGTTCTCTATGATACTAGTATACAAGGTACTCCAGAGCAAATATTCAGGTTCGCCAAGGCTGTAAGTGTGATGTAAACAAATCTTGAGGTTAAGAAAAAATATTGAAATATGTGCTATTCTGATAGATATTACTCATGACAGATATTACTTTGGTAATAATTCAATAAGTCATGAAATTATATAATTCATAACATTAGTCATTCATTGTGATTTATGGCCGGGTTCAAAAATTGCCCGGGTCCGGATCTAGATGCATTATTTTCAAATCATTCGTTTCTATATTTTTAGAAGAAAACACATCTGCAGGCATTTTTTTTAAGATGTGATGGGCGTGTATAATTGTATCATGGTATTGTTTTATTAAAGAAAATAAATTAAATAGTCATTACGCATTTATTACTTTACTTACTAAGAGTAGCCGAGTTGAGGTAATTTGGAATGGAATTCAGATTTTATATTTAAGATAGTTTAAAATGTTTACAAGTCTATGTAAAATATGAGTGGACATGTTGTATTAAGCAGTTTATTTTTTTGAGTTTTATTTTACTATAGAGCTTCTTCAAAATTGTAAATTCTTAATAAAAATATATATAATCTGCATATAATAATTATTCGATGGCCTCGTCGTTCTCTGTTGTATTAATGGGAATGGAATTCGAGCAGTGTGTCGAGTGATCTTGTTAATTGATCCGAATGAAATTGTTCTAATTGGCTCTAATGAGATGTGGGTTTCTGTGATGTGGGCGGTATCGAAATCATAGCGGTCGCCACGAATTTGGAAATTTCTCACGGATCGAATTTAAAAATTTGAACGGCCGTTGAACCAGTCAACCAAACAATGTTCTTTAAAACAATCTCCACCCATATAAATGAAGCATAAATAAATATGTGCAGAGTAGAAACAATAATTGGGTCTGCGGTTGTTTTCTATTCGGTTTACGTTCCCTCCATACTTTGGAGATGATTCAAAGTTTCGCCTTCTCTGCGCGCATTCACTGTTGGAACACTCAGCTCGCGTGTTTTGTGTACACTTTGTATACATGGCCTGGGATTGCTCAAACCTTGAGAAAAGGCGTGTTCGCGACAATCTACTTCACATTTTAGCCTTTTAAATTGTTGTATTCGTACTGTGTTTGTTTATATATCGGTGCTGGTGTTTATGCAACTGGAATAAGTCCTTCTTGCGATTTATACTCTTCATATTATGGAATTTAAGTGAATCAGCTTCGGAACCATGGAAATATGCCCGTGAGTGATTAAGTTTCTTCTAAGAATACTCGCTTTGATTCATACCAGCCCAGTTGTTTCTTCGCGAGTTTCGATTTCTTTCGTTTGAAATCCTAACAGTTCATGGCTTTGTTTTCCTGTTCTTACAGGCTCTGCATGTCTGTGCAGCCCCTCGTAAAATATTTCGTGTATTAATAATCATTATTTATTGCATACATAGAAAACATATATAATTTAACTCAAATTGATCTACAAATAAATTAACGTTGCATATTGCTGCAACAATTTATGCTCGCAAATCAAGGTCGTATTATCCTAAATATACAGTGGTACCTTTAATTAATTTACTCAAACTACGTTTTATTTACAAATTTAACTTACTATCATTTTAAATACCTAAGGAATTCATTAGAATATTACTACTATCGTAAATGCATTTACTACTTATATGAATGTATAGTGAATATGAGTATTACGCGTTATTATGTGATTGTGTACAAGAAATGTTTTTTATCGGTGGCATTTCAGAGGAGTGTGGTTTCCTCTGAAATGCCAATTACGTATTTTACAATTTTTGTGTATTCATAGAAAAAAAAAGTAGTCAACATTTAAGAATATTTTTCAACGTCATTAATTGGTGAGACAAACATGACGCACATGTATCATATATTTTAAGTATGAATGTGCGTATGTGCATGAATGGGTTTCATCTTCAAAGTCGAATTTAAATCGTTTGAATAATTTGACCTTCGGTATTTTTGAAATGGCGTCAATTCGGATCAGCTGCCATCAGTTAATTCATTCTAGTTTTTCAAATTTTGCTGTTATTAATTGGTTTAATACTGTTATTGAAATAAAATCAATATTTTTTTGTTTAATGTAACATTTTTTTTGAATGTATTAGTAATTAATAACCATTACAATTTAAACCATATTATTTTGCTGATAATAATTCATTCTATTGAATTATTTAGTAAACATGTGTAGTATAAATTGGAGCGGAAACACAGAAAGAAAGAAAACTGACTAGTTTCGTTTAGTTATTGTTTGTTTCGCTACTAAAACCGCAAAAATCCATTTTCCAATCTTTACAGGATGTCTGCAATTTATGTTTTGTGATTTGGTCACCAAATGCGATAAAATCCAACTGCGATAAACAAAAAGCAATATGTAGAAACTACTATGTATATTTTTTTTCGCACAGTTCATTATACTTTTGAACGTGGTTTTGTATTGGATAACAACAATCCAGCACTTAGTAAACCATCCGCATTTGCATTTCGAAAGTATTGTTGTGTGCGATCGTTGAGCAAAAGTGCTGACGGAGCGAAACGGCCCAGAGGAAATTCTCACAGAAGAATATGAAACCGTAACAATTCACTTTTTGAGTTACTTGTTCTGCGTGTGAATGTACGAGAACAGAGTAAATCGCAGAGAAACTTGATTGTATAAAAAATGTTTTTGGAAACTTGCTTTGCATTTCAATTCGTTTCGCTCTTTCTTTAGGGTCTTTCGCCCATCGAGGCCAACGTTTGCAATTAGAGCCGGCAATTATTGCTTTTAATTAGCACATGCATTCTTCAACTCACTCACGCAAACAATTGTAGCCAGTTTGGTCAGCTTTGCGACCACAACGTAAAGGCGCTGCCACAATGGAACGTAGACTTTTTCGTTTATGTTAAATGAATTGGGTATATATAATTCGTCGATAATTTCAAAAGTAATACACAACAATGTGTACTCTGTATTCAAAGTTAATAGTCTTTTGCGTACGGCATGCAGCATGTTTACTATTATTATTAAATCTAACAGGAATCCAATTACAGTCCAATATAATCATCAATAGAAATATTACATTATGAGCATGCTAATTTCACAAAGAGCTATTGTAAACAGTATTACAGTAGTACAAAGTAGTCCGCATATTAATACCTATTAATAATCGCAATCTAATAACTGTCCAAGGTAATAAAACACTGTTACACAATCTGTCTCCGCAAACAAGAAATAAATACACAGTGCACTTCACGGTATTGCTTTTTATTCTTTAAGAATTATTATGTTTTTCTTTAGTCATGACATTTTTATTCATATACTTGTTTTTTGATTACAAATAAGAAAAAAATATTATTGTTCACTTTTTGCTTCTAAAATAAACAACATACATGTATAAAAGTTAAATATCCTTACTCATTTATTAGTTATACCTGTCTAATTTTGACTTGCTACTAAAATAAAAGACTGATCTGATATCTATATGCTTTAAGATCGGAATTCTCTGTCAGTTTTGTGCCAATCTACATTTCCTTTAGACGCGATGCATTGGCGTCCTCCTCCCCGTGACATGCATATTAAATCATAACGTGGCCAATTCATCAAGCCGTAATTTACACACAGTCATTTTCATTATTCACACTTCCGTTCGCAGAGTATCTGTGATGCGATTCAATGCTTCCAGCTAACTTTGCGTTCGAAATCTATGTCAATGCCGAAACAGCGGATTTTCTCATTTCTCTTTGTTTCTATCACCACCGTTTCACATTGTTTTTAATAGTAGTGATTCACTTTACTTTACTGATAACTCATGGTTTTATACCTTTTGGTATTTGGGGCACAATGTGGATACATAGTAATGCACTATAGTGTTTTAGTATATAATACTAGAATTAATTAACAATAATAATACAAAAATAACACGAATGTTCTTTTATCCCACTCGTTTCATTCTGCCGTATATAAAATATTTATATTAGCAAAATGTCTAATTTATGTATGTATACCCACTTCTCCAATGCTGTAAAGTGTTGAAAAATAGTAGTAAATGTTTACCCATTGACATCGCAATTTCAAATTGATTCCAATTCAAATATTTATACCGATATCAGAATATGAATATTGAAAGAAAACTCGTAGGCAGAGCTTTCCATGCAGGTTTCGTTCAATTAAAATGTTTACGCGGAAAGGCAGGCGGGTTAAATAAATGAATCTTTGCGGAGTGTTGTCCTGTCTGGCTCGTAATCAGGCAGTTAGTGTGTGTGTATGGGTTACATGCATGTTTATGGGATGACTATGCTGTGCCTGTGTTATATACCAGGCAGCCTATGTGTGCGGATGCTTGCATTAATATTCATTACTTATTAAAGTCAATTAGTATTGATGTGATCTCACGCCTATTATGAGTCGCACAAACTAGCGATAATACTAAATTAAAAAAAGCTATAGTAACCAACTTAATGGGTGGGAATGCCATCCCGACATACATTCACCTTGCAAGTTTCACCTTTTTGGTTCTTCATAAATTTGTATAATCATTATGTTGTGCAAACGTTGGACGAGTTTTATCTTAACATCCGTAAAACGTACCGACGACCGTTCAAATAATCTTTGCTGCATATTTATAATATTAAAATTTTGACCAAGAATTAATAATTTATTAAATTAACACTGTATGTTTTTTTTTTAAATAAGAATTTGAATTAAACTTCACTAAATTTTCTTATTTTAGAAACGATGCAAATTGCAGGAGTATATGTATATTATTTTAATTATTTCTTTACATAAGAAATCGATTTATTGGTTATAGTCGCAAAGAAAATGAAAACAAATCGAAAGGGTGAATTATTTGATTGAATTTGCTTGAATATACAACAATAAATCGTCTCCAGAATCTGCTACTTGCTTAACGGAATTTCGATGCACCAGATGTGGTGCACCTGATCCTTCCCCTGTTCACCTGTTATAAAACGTAGTACCTGTTCACGGGAATTACTTGGAGCGGAAAAAGTTCGTTGGACTTTTCGCTCCCTTCATATATAAATATATAATTTGGTTCTCACAATAACGTCAATGGTTTAAGGCGGCGAGCACATGCAGTCAGTCAGTCAGTAGATTTCCCCATCCGTTTCGGAATTTAACTTTTTAGTCTGAACTGTGACTTGGTGCTGTGAAGGTCAGCGTTTGTTTATGAATTCGTTATATGGATAGAACACAGCCCAATGATATTTAGGTGAGAAACCTCTCTTATAAAATAAATTGATTATCTTATCTGGGTGTAGCGATACGCGGTCGGTCGCTGCGATCTTTCGTCTCAAACATTCTTGTTTAAAGCAGCGTTGTTCAATTGAAATTTTACTTCCGCGGGTGTTCGTTCCACCAATTATGCCAATGCACTATTGCTGCGTGACAGTACCAGAAGAAACGGAAGCTTTGATCTACGGCGTGAGTTTCCGTTTCGCAAACAATAGTAATTATATATAATCGGATGTGCACGAATTTATTGAAATTTATGACAAACGAGCTATCTCGTGGATACGTAATTATTTGATGAATTATTAAGCTTTTGTTACTGCGCCTATTATTTTAATTAACAAAAATTAGATACAAAAAAATATAGGAGCGAAACCGTTTATAGAAATATTATTTGTTTATTATCAAATAACTGATAAGATAAATGTTCGTTATATTTGCTCAATGGGCGTCAGGCAAAGAAAGTTTCCTTCCTTTTTGGCAGAGAAGATTTCGTTGCAATACGTAATGGCAGTGGATAGTCTTAACGTGCTTTACGAAGAACTAGTGGTGGGTTTCATTGGGATCAGGTCAATAGATACTTTCTCTATTTATAATTTACGTATTTCAAATGTGTTATTTGTCATTTTGTATGTGGCGGTGATTTGCATGGTTGTTCTTTTTTCTGTGTGAAGGGAGGTCACGGAATTGGGCCAAGGGCTGGTGGCGGCTGCTTTGCGGCCACCCTTCAGGCGCCTCAACAACTCCTTTCGTCGCATTGGCTCTACAAGGGCTAAGAAGGACTGCTGCAATGGTGTTGGTGTTGGTGGTAGACCCGCTTCACTTGTTGATCCCCCTGACGTTGTTCCCAAGGTATCCAAAAGAAATAAAACACCGACAAAAATATAAATTGTTATTGGCTTCAATTAACTTGCTTGCATGACCCCCGCCTATTAACATAATTCTTGCTTTAAACGATATTCCTTGTAGAGGTAATAAAAAAATAAATATATTATTTGAAATATTTCCAGTGCGAGGATAACGAAACGATCAAAACTCCAGTCGGAGGACCCACTAATTGGGCCGTATCCTTCGAGAAACTACTGGAATGTCCCGCCGGTCTTCATACATTCGCCGTAAGTGAAATAAACAACCCTGCGATTTAATTACTTTGATTTAATACTGACGATTGAATTCCGCAGGAATTTCTGAAAAAGGAGTTCAGCGCAGAGAATATTTACTTCTGGACCGCTTGCGAACGGTTCCGGAAGTCACCCTCTGCTCCGGAAGCCCAACGGATTTATCAACAGCACCTGCGAGTCGGTGCACCTGAGGCAGTCAACGTTGACTCACAAGCACGGCAGAACGTCGAACAAGGTCTTAAACGTGTAACCGCCGATGCTTTTTTGGCGGCCCAGAAACAAATTTTCAATCTGATGAAATTTGATAGTTACTCGAGGTTTTTAAAGTCCGAGCTTTATAAACAATGCATGCACGGTAAATCTCTGCAGTGGCAGTTTGATCCAAATCTGTTGCTGCATCCGGGCGGTGGTAAATTAAAAAAATCACTTTCGAATGCGGAAGATCGCAGGAGGAAGAGTTTGTTACCGTGGCACAGGAAGAATAGGTCTAAATCAAAAGATCGCGGAGAAATTGAATATCAAAAGCAAGGGGATGTAAATGAGAATATCGTTGGTCCTCATCAGGTGGTGGCCAATAAAAATACTGAAGTCTCCAGCAGCCGATCCTCCTTAACGTCTTTAGACTTGGCTATCAGCTCCAATGTATGCAATTTTATGCTTATATAATTTTAAAATGCTCTAATTAATTATTTTTTATTTAGGATTCGAAAAAAAGTAATCAGGACGAGCAGCCAGGGGGTGGTAGGGCTCTGTGTCGTGTGAATTTGGTGAACGGAAGTTCTACAGTTGTCCAAATTAGAGAATCCGAAACGATTGAGCAGCTTGTGCATCGGCTACTAGAAAAACGAGGCATCGTCTATTCTTGTTTTGACGTGCAAACAAATAAACATCCGAAGGTAAATGATTATTATTTACATATCGACAACTTTTACTCAATCATCTTTATTGCAGGGTTTAAATGTTAATCTGCAATCAACGATGCTAGTGGGATGTGAAGTAAATGTGGAGCAGAAAGTCCACTTTAAGTTATCACTTCCAAATAAAACGATTTCTGTGAAATGCAAATGTTCCAAGATACTCTCCGATGTTTTGCAACCTCTGCTACTGAAATATAACTACAACTTCCAAGACGTCTGCGTGAGCTCCGGTAGTAAACCCGTGGATTGCAAAAGATCTGTGATCCACTTCGACAATGCCACATTATCTATTGCAATTCCTGAACAATCTGTACCTGAAGTAAAATTGGCTCGTGATGAATTAACCAATAAAGTATACGAGGATATTTTACAAGAAAAATCTGAGGCTACTAAACAGAAGTCTGACAAGGATAGCGTCAAAGTAGGTTGAAATATTAATATTAATACTAACACAAAATAAAGTGAATGATGTGCAAATTACTTTGTCTTATTTTAAATGTTTCGTGTTTGTAATAATGCTTTATTCGTTGCTTTTGTGTAGAGTGAGGATTGGGGCTCCGAGCATTCCGGTCTTATTGGGCGCTTTTTAAAACCCCGCGATTCAGAACGCAACAGGGATAAAAAGAAGAAGCTGGCTGGAAAATCGAAGGGTTCAACAAACAGCAGTGTCGAGGATGTGGCGAACTCCGATCAGCTCAAGAAACCACTCATCACAAAACTAAATCCTGGCGTGAAAATTCAGAATACCAGTGAAAGTGAGGAACTGTATGAAGGATTAAGCAGAGCGCAAAGATCTCGGTTAGAAGACCAGCGCGGCACCGAAATAAATTTCGAATTGCCCGATTTCCTTAAGGATAAGGAAAACGACGGGAAGAGGGTTAAGCAAGAGAAAAAGGCAATGAACGGCAATTATGAGAACCGTATGATCATTGGCGACTATAGTAACAACAATCGCGTTAATAATTTTTGCGTTTATCCGATATTCCAGGAGGAGGCGGAGGGTAGTCCTCGACCTCCTCCTTTGCCACCTAAACCTAAAATAGCTCCCAAATCTTTGAACAATTGGAATCCTAAACTGAGGAAGGACTGCTCGAAAGGATATCTGGAACAAGCTACAAGCAGTTTCGTGTGATGATAACAATTTTATAAATTCACACATACGTATATATATATATTTACTTGTATATAGAATCTGAGATTTTTTTATTTATATATTGATGCAATACTTTTTTCTATAGCATTTTATATAACCGTATTATTTATTTAGTGCAAAGGAAGAGAATTATGAATAAAACAAATAATTTATACTTTTTAAGAAGAACGAACATAACAGATTAAATATATATTTTCTTACAAAGTAATTTGCTTCTTACTTCCTTAATATTTTTTTCAGGTACAAATACTAAACAACGTTGTTTTGTATGTGCTGTAATCATTGGTTACATACGTGATTAGATTTACTGAAAATATTTAGTAAATTTGAAGAATGAATATGATCCACTTTCATATAATCATTTTATAACGATTTATATTTTTTACTCTCTCAGTTACGGCTTTGGTGACCATCAATATGCACTCTGGTGAAACTTTTTTATTTGCATGTAATGGGTGATACTAAAGTTGCATAACCAAAACTCTTCTAAATCCTCCTAGCGGTTGTGTTAAGTTATACACAATTTAAAAAAATATTTTGGACCCTAGATAAACATAGGTTATGTTTGTTCCATAGTTTTGTTTGTGTAATAGTTAATAAACTTGTGTTTAGTTTGGTTTAGAAATTTAAGTAAACATTACGATGGACGACTTTATTTGTCCAAGATGCAAGACATCAAAATTCCAAAATCCATCTCTAAAAATGATGGTGAATGTTTGTGGCCATGGTTTATGTGAAAGTTGTGTCGATTTGCTGTTTCTAAAAGGTAATTATAAGCCTAGTTATTATAATTAATGTTTATGCCAATACTTAAATATTTTTAGGATCTGGAGCTTGCCCTGATTGTCGAATCCCACTTAGAAGAAATAATTTCAGAGTACAACTGTTTGAAGATCCGGTTATCGAAAAAGAAGTTGATATTCGAAAACGAGTTCTCAGAGATTTTAATAAAAAGGAGGAGGACTTTTCTAGTCTCAGGGAATACAATGACTATCTTGAAGAAATAGAAACAATAATTTATAATTTAACTAATGATGTAGATATTGTTGAAACAAACAAGAAAATTGAACAATATAAAAGGGAAAACAGGGACTTTATCATAAAGAACAAATCTAAAATAGGTAGAGAAGAGTATGAATTAGAAGAAATTTTGGAAATAGAGAAGCAACAAGAGGAACTGCGTAAGAATGTTATTAAACAAGAGGAAGTTAATGCAAAGAAAAAGAAAATCCAACAGAAAGAAGCTTTAATTGATGAGTTGATGTTTTCAAATGCAAATGCCAAGAATATTCTAGAGACATTTGCTCAGAATGTAGAGGAAGAAAAGAACAGAGAAGAAGTAGAAGTGGCAAAATTACCAAATAAGATGACACAGTTTTCCACAGGCGTTCAGTTTGGCAGGGCTTCACAATCAATACAATATCTTCCAGTTAAATTGGATGAAGGACCTCTTTATTCATATAAATCTGTGACTATTACCACTGATGGTCCTCAGCCCCCAACCATGGATGAAGTGCTAAATAAGGGTTATACTAGACATGTTCGATCAGAAACTGAACAAGAAATGGCTGGTGGATACAAAGCAAATATTGCTTGTATGAGAGCTCTACAAGATGCGCTAGCAGGACTATTTCATGTTAAAAAAGTAAACACGTAATTTACATTTACTTAAGGAAAATTTTGTTATATTTATAAATAATAAATAAAATTATAAGTGTTATATATGATGTATTGTTTTTTTTTTCATAAATTTTATTATTTTCATAGGCTGTGGTTAATAGTATGTTATTATACAATAAATTTTGTTTATTATTTTCGTATTTTTAAAATTGATATTTCTGCAACCAACACTACTGTAATTACTGTATTTGCAATTGAGGACGCCACTTGTGGTAACGGTTCTTGACAACGCCTTAGTACTGCTGACGGCTGAGTTCATCTGAAAATCCAATTGGATGTGAATCAGTTTTCGCTCTGCATTGTTTTTCATGTTTGTACAAGTAATTGGCACTTCTTTGTCGTTGCTTTAAGACGTTTTAACGTGTTGTGATGGGAGACTCCTTAGAGCCTAGCGATGGCTCCTCGGAGGCCCATAATGTGTCCGTGGTTGAAGTGAAAGATTTCGCAAATTACATCCGCCATGCAACCCAGGTGTTGCTACCTGAAGATGAAGGTCACAGCGATTCGTCGCCGGCCCTGACCTCGGCTCTTGATGATAAAACAAACCAAGAATGCATCCGGAAATTTATTTCCGAATCGCAGGTTTGCACTTTGTACATCCAGAGGAGCTGCTCTAAAGGTATAACATCTTACTTGATTCTTTTTGTAGCCCTTTTTTCGAAAATCAATAAAACATACTATATGAATCATCGTATATACTTTTTTTTTATTTTATTGAATAAAATTTACTTCGTGAATTATTGTATAAAATAATAATTTTCTCTTCAGATGAAGATGATCAGCCAACAGAAGGCGAAGAGGAGAAAGAGCCTGTCACCTATTACATAAGTAATGAAGTGCATTACACCAATTCGAAAATGTCAAGTTTGGTAATAATAAAAAGGGCAGCGGTTATCGAGCAGGATAAATCGATCCGCTCGCAAGTTAGGATTATGAATTTCAGCGAAGGTTCTCCGTACGAAACACTTCATTCGTATGTTAGCAAAACTGTCGCTCCATTCTTTAAATCATATGTGAAAGAGTCCGGTCGTGCTGACCGAGATGGCGATAAGATGGCCCCGTCCGTTGAGAAAACGATCGCTGATCTTGAGATGGGTCTACTTCATTTGCAACAGAATATCGATATACCAGAAATTACTTTAACTATTCATCCGAACGTGGCGAACATCGTCAAACATTGCGCCGACGAGGGACGCAAAGCGAAGATTACCGATTTTGGTGAAAAGTTAGAAGATTCGTCATTTCTAAATGCTCTCCAACATGGAGTCAATAGATGGACTAAGGAAATTCAGAAGGTTACCAAACTGGATCGTGATCCGTCTTCGGGCACAGCGCTGCAGGAAATCAGTTTCTGGTTAAATCTTGAACGAGCTCTTCACAGGATTCAAGAGAAACGTGAGAGCATGGAAGTTACTCTAACTCTCGATGTGCTGAAACACGGGAAAAGGTTTCACGCAACCGTTTCTTTTGATTCTGATACCGGTTTGAAACAAGCGTTGGCCACAGTTAACGATTATAATCCGCTAATGAAAGATTTTCCAATCAATGATTTGTTAGCGGCAACCGAATTGGAGAGGATCCGAGCCGCAATTCAGCTCATATTCTTACACTTGAGAAAAATTAAAACCACCAAATATCCAATTCAAAGATGCTTGAGACTAGTTGAATCTGTATCAAGAGATTTGGGAGCGCAACTTTTGAAAGTTTTGGGCACACGCAGATTGGTCCATATCCCATTTGATGAGTTTGAGAAAGTAATGATCCAATGTTTCGAGGTTTTCACGTGCTGGGAAGATGAGTACGAAAAATTGCAAGGGTTACTGAGAGACATTGTGAAGAAGAAGAGAGATGAGCATATCAAATGCGTTTGGAGAATTTATGTTCAACACAAAAAATTACAGTCTAGAATGGAACAAATTAGGAAGTTTAGACGGCAACACGAGCAATTACGCACCGTTATTGTTCGTGTTCTAAGACCATCTGTCCGTGAAATTAATCTTAGTGGAGTGGAAGCAGATACTACTGATTTGGAAGCACCTAAGCAGGATACATTTACCATTGATGCAGCAGATGCAAATGCCATTGAAGTAATTATATTTAATTTCTGTTAATTATCAATTATATGTATATTTTTGTTTTTATTTTCAGGAAGTTAATTTGGCCTATGAAAATGTCAAAGAAGTGGATTGTCTTGATATCTCTAAAGATGGTCAAGACGCATGGGATGCTGCTGTTCAAAGATACGAAGAACGTATTGATAGGGTGGAGACCAGAATCACAGCGCATTTGAGAGATCAATTAGGAACGGCTAAAAATGCCAACGAGATGTTTCGTATTTTCTCACGTTTTAATGCTTTATTTGTCAGACCACATATTCGTGGGGCAATTCGTGAATATCAAACGCACTTGATTCAAAGAGTAAAAGATGATATTGAAACATTACATGAAAAATTCAAAGTGCAATATCCTCAAAGTAACAGTGCTAGGATTAGCAAGGTCAGAGATTTACCGCCTGTAGCGGGATCAATTATTTGGGCTCGCCAAATTGACCATCAACTTACTACCTACTTGAGACGTGTCGAAGACGTTTTGGGCAAAGGCTGGGAAAACCATATTGAAGGACAGAAGTTAAAAGCTGATGGCGATAGCTTTAGATTAAAGTTAAATACTCAGGAAATATTCGACGACTGGGCCCGGAATGTTCAACAAAGAAACTTAGGAGTGTCCGGACGTATTTTTACCATCGAAGCTGTGAGATCGCGAAGTGGACGTGGAAATGTACTTAAGCTAAGAGTTAATTTTCTACCAGAAATTATAACTTTGGCTAAAGAAGTTAGAAATTTAAAGTGCTTAGGTTTTCGTGTACCATTGGCTATCGTCAACAAGGCACATTTAGCGAACCAACTTTATCCATACGCCATTTCACTCATTGAAAGCATAAGAACATATGAGATGACATTGGAAAAGGTGAGCATTACCATTTTATAATAGTTATTGTCAATTTAACAAACCAAATTTTCGTAAAAGCTGACACACAGGAATAATCCCTCTGGGGGTGTTAAGGTATATTGCATGACTGCTACATGCAACTTCAAGTGTATTTGTGTAATTTTGATAATATGGCATGCTATATATTACTAGCTTCCTATTTGTTTAAAAATGTGAAAATTTCCCCAATTAAATTGTAACTGTGCTTTTGGCATGAATTATAAAGTATCAGATTGTTTTCATTAATTTTGCTCGTAAATGTAATTATAGTTCTTTTATACATCAACTATTAATCGTTCTTGTTTGTTTTAATAGATCGAGGATAAAGCTAGTATCATCCCATTAGTAGCGGGAATGAGAAAGGAAGTCCAGCAATTGATCGCTGAAGGTGTACAGCTAGTTTGGGAGAGTTACAAACTTGATCCATATTCGCAACGTCTATCAGATACAATTGTAAGTTTCCAAGAACGAGTAGAAGAATTGGCTATTGTCGGAGAACAATTGGAAGTTGATGTACGCTCCTTGGAAACGTGTCCCTATTCGGCTAATACTTTCGCAGATATTTTGGCTAAAATTCAGCATGCCGTAGATGATTTATCTCTAAAGCAATATTCCAATTTGCACATTTGGGTTAGTCGATTAGATGAAGAAGTAGAGAAAAATTTGGCTGCTCGCTTACAAGCTGGAGTGCAAGCATGGACCGATTCATTAAACGGTTTAAAGAAAGAAGTTGATCATACCATGGATACCGATGCACCTGTTCAGCCGACCCATAAACCAGGTGGTGATCCTCACATCCAGACTGCTATCCATGAAGTCAGAATTACCAATCAGACTATGTACTTGTATCCTAGCATTGAGGAAGCTAGATTCCAAATTATGCAGCAGATGTTTGCTTGGCAAGCTATCGTCACATCGCAACAAAGGTTGCAGAGTACCAGATATCAAGTGGGCGTCGACAAACCGGTCACTGAAACCTACAGAAATATATTGACGAAATTACCCGAAGGATCATCGCCGTTGGAAAATGCATATAGCGCTATCTCAAATAAGATCAAAGAGATTCAGAGCTACGTTAACGAGTGGCTTAATTACCAGTCCCTTTGGGACTTGCAAGCTGATAATTTGTACGGTAAATTGGGAGATGATGTTAATAAGTGGATGACTATCTTGAATGATATTAAGAAGGCAAGAACTACATTCGATACATCTGACACCCGTCGCGAATTTGGACCAGTTGTTATCGATTTTGCTAAAGTTCAGAGTAAGGTTTCCTTAAAATACGATTCGTGGCACAAAGAAACTTTGGGTAAATTTGGAACGTTGCTTAGTAATGATATGACGACTTTCCATAGTCAAGTTTCCAAGTCTCGTTCAGATCTAGAATTACAGAGTATCGAAGCAGCAAGTACTTCAGATGCTGTCGGTTTCATTACCTATGTGCAAAGTTTAAAGAGAAATATGAAGGCTTGGGAGAAACAAGTTGAGATTTACAGAGAGGGACAAAGAATTCTGGAACGTCAACGATTCCAGTTCCCAAGTAACTGGTTGCATGTTGAAAATTTAGAAGGAGAATGGGGTGCGTTTAATGAAATTATCAAGAGGAAGGATTCCTCAATTCAAACACAGGTTGCTAGTTTGCAACAGAAGATCCTTACTGAAGATAAGGCAGTTGAAAGTAGAACCACTGATTTCTTGGGTGACTGGGAACGAAGTAAACCTGTCGAAGGTCACTTAAGACCTGATGAGGCGCTGTCTCAATTGCAACTGTTCGAAAGCAAGTTTGCAAGATTGAAGGAAGAACGAGACAATGTAGCTAAAGCTAAAGAAGCTTTAGAATTGCAGGAAACTGGTGGAACTAGTACCAGCGAAGATAAAATGCAAGTCGTTTATGAAGAACTTCAAGATTTACGCGGTGTATGGTCAGAGTTGTCTAGAATTTGGTCTCAAATTGATGAAACCAGAGAAAAACCGTGGCTCTCTGTTCAACCTAGGAAGTTACGTCAACAATTGGATGCCATGTCCGCTCAACTGAAGGAATTGCCAGCACGTCTACGTCAATATGCTTCATATGAGTACGTAAAGAAAATGCTCCAAACATACACGAAAGTGAACATGATGATAATAGAGTTGAAATCTGACGCACTTAAGGAACGTCACTGGAAACAGCTTATGCGTCAGTTGAGGGTCAACTGGGTCCTTAGCGATTTGACTTTGGGTCAAGTTTGGGATGTAAATCTCCAAAAGAATGAAGCTGTTGTGAAAGAAGTAATTCAAGTAGCTCAAGGTGAAATGGCCTTGGAGGAATTCTTGAAGCAAGTACGCGAATCCTGGCAAACATATGAATTGGATTTGATCAACTATCAAAATAAATGCCGCTTGATTAGAGGTTGGGATGACTTGTTTAATAAAGTTAAAGAACATATTAATTCCGTTGCTGCTATGAAACTCTCGCCATACTACAAAGTCTTTGAAGAAGAAGCATTAACCTGGGAAGAGAAATTGAACCGTATTAATGCTTTATTCGATGTTTGGATCGATGTACAACGACGTTGGGTTTACCTGGAAGGTATCTTTTCTGGTAGTGCTGACATTAAAACACTTTTGCCAGTAGAAACATCGCGTTTCCATAGCATCAGTTCTGAGTTCCTTGGACTTATGAAGAAAGTTGGAAAATCTTCGATGGTTATGGATGTTCTGAATATTCAAGGTGTACAAAGGGCTTTGGAACGTTTAGCAGATTTGCTTGGAAAAATTCAGAAAGCTCTTGGAGAGTATCTGGAGCGTGAGCGAACATCATTTCCTCGATTCTATTTTGTAGGCGATGAAGATTTGCTTGAAATCATAGGTAATAGCAAGAACATTGCAAGGTTGCAAAAACATTTCAAGAAAATGTTTGCTGGCGTAGCATCGATTTTATTGAATGAAGATAATACTGTCATTAAAGGTATAGCTTCACGAGAAGGTGAGGAAGTCTTGTTTGGTACAGCTGTTTCAACAATTGATCATCCAAAAATAAACGAATGGCTAACTTTAGTGGAGAAGGAAATGCGTGTTACATTGGCTTCAAGTTTGGCACAAGCAGTGCAAGATATTAAGCAATTTAAAGATAATATTGATGCTCAATTATTTATGGAATGGGTGGATAAATATCAAGCGCAAATCGTTGTACTCGCAGCTCAAATTCTCTGGAGTGAGGACGTTGAAACAGCTCTGGCTAAGATGAATAGCGAACCGCAAGCTGGTGTTTTGGATAATGTTCTTCAACATGTTGAAAATACATTGAATGTATTAGCTGATTCTGTTCTACAAGAACAACCTCAATTGAGGAGAAAGAAGCTGGAACATTTGATTAACGAATTTGTACACAAACGTACAGTCACTAGAAGATTGATTTCTAACAAAGTATGCAGTAACAAAGCATTTGAATGGTTGTGCGAGATGAGATTCTATTTTGATCCAAGACAAACGGAAGTTTTGAAACAGCTGACAATACATATGGCCAACGCCAGATTCTACTATGGATTTGAATATCTTGGAGTCCAAGATCGTTTGGTTCAAACACCGTTGACAGATCGTTGTTATCTTACAATGACACAAGCACTGGAGGCTCGTCTCGGTGGTTCACCATTTGGACCCGCTGGTACTGGTAAAACAGAATCCGTGAAAGCTCTAGGTAACCAATTGGGTCGATTTGTACTAGTCTTCAATTGCGATGAAACATTCGATTTCCAAGCTATGGGACGTATTTTTGTTGGTTTATGTCAAGTTGGAGCTTGGGGCTGTTTCGATGAATTTAATCGTTTGGAAGAGAGAATGTTATCTGCTGTTTCACAACAAGTGCAAACTATCCAAGAAGCTCTTAAGTCTCAAAGGGAAGCTGGACAAGAAGCTGCAAGTGGAAGTATTACTGTAGAATTGGTGGGCAAACAAGTGAAGGTATCACGTGACATGGCTATATTTATCACAATGAATCCTGGATATGCTGGACGTTCCAATTTGCCTGATAATCTGAAGAAATTATTCAGATCTCTAGCTATGACTACTCCGGATAGGCAACTGATTGCGGAAGTAATGCTCTTCTCTCAAGGATTCAGAACAGCTGAAAAATTAGCTTGCAAGATAGTGCCTTTCTTCAAACTGTGCGACGAACAATTATCCAACCAATCTCACTATGACTTTGGACTTAGGGCATTAAAATCTGTCTTGGTTAGTGCGGGTAACGTAAAAAGAGACCGCATTATGAAAATAAAAGAGAACATGAAACAACGGGGAGAAACAAACATTGATGAAGCGAGTATAGCCGAAAATCTGCCAGAACAAGAAATATTGATACAATCTGTTTGTGAAACGATGGTCCCCAAATTGGTAGCTGAAGATATTCCACTGCTTTTCAGACTTTTGACTGATGTGTTCCCTAATGTAAAATACACAAGGGCCGAGATGAAGGGATTGAAGGATGAGATTCGTAAAGTATGCCAAGAGGAGTACTTAGTGTGCGGCGTGGGTGAAGAACAAGGTGGTTCCTGGATGGAAAAGGTAATTAATACTTATTTCATACTTTGTGTCCATTTTACTGCACTAACTTCTCTAATTTTCTATAAATGCTGCAATCTTAGAAAAATATGATTGGAGATACTTGGATTGAGAAGGTATTATTGAATTTTGCCTTATAACACTATTTTGTTTGATTTTAAAAATGTTTACAGCTATTTGTTAAAATTATTATTAAATATTTTTCAGGTCTTGCAATTATATCAAATTTCCAATTTAAATCACGGTTTAATGATGGTAGGCCCGAGCGGTTCTGGCAAAAGTACAGCTTGGAGAGTGCTTTTGAAAGCTCTCGAAAGATTTGAAGGTACTGAAGGAGTGGCCCATGTTATTGATCCTAAGGCTATCAGCAAGGAGGCACTTTACGGAGTTTTGGATCCAAACACTCGCGAATGGACCGATGGTCTGTTTACACACGTATTACGTAAAATTATCGATAATGTACGCGGTGAAATTAATAAGAGACAATGGATCATTTTCGACGGAGACGTGGATCCGGAATGGGTTGAAAATTTGAATTCAGTACTCGATGACAACAAACTGTTGACCTTGCCTAATGGTGAACGTCTATCGTTGCCACCCAACGTGAGAATAATGTTCGAAGTACAAGACTTAAAGTATGCAACATTGGCCACTGTATCTCGTTGCGGTATGGTTTGGTTCTCTGAAGATGTCCTTTCCACCGAGATGATATTCGAGAATTACATTATGCGATTGAAAAATATTCCCCTGGAGGAGGCCGACGATGATACGTTCGGTAAAAAGAACCTTGAGAATAAGGACGATTTGGTATCACCTACTTTGCAAATTCAAATTGACGTTGCTAATATACTTCAGCCATATTTGTCTCCAAGTGGTTTCATTATTAAATGTTTGGAATTTGCTATGGAACAAGAACATATTATGGACTTTACAAGATTAAGAGCTTTAAGTTCACTGTTTTCAATGTTGAATCAATGCGTGCGCAACGTTCTGCAATATAATCATTCGCACTCCGATTTTCCATTGCCTCCTGAGCAGTTAGAACTGTACATTCCAAAATGCTTAGTTTATGCTGTGCTCTGGAGTTTCTCCGGTGATGCAAAACTTAAAGTACGTTCCGATTTGGGCGATTTTGTTAGAGGTGCAACTACAGTACCTCTTCCACCGCACTCAAATATTCCAATTGTTGATTACGAAGTAAACATTAACGGAGAATGGTCACCATGGTCTAATAAGGTGCCACAGATAGAAGTTGAAACACACAAAGTTGCTTCTCCTGATATAGTAGTCCCTACATTGGATACAGTAAGACATGAATCGTTGTTATACACCTGGTTGGCTGAACACAAACCACTGGGTAAGTAATAATTATTTAATTATCGCTTTAGTGTTTTTATATTTTATTTAATAATTATAGTTCTTTGTGGACCTCCCGGATCTGGTAAAACTATGACATTATTCTCCGCTTTGAGAGCGTTACCCGACATGGAAGTTGTTGGCTTGAATTTCTCCTCCGCTACTACACCGGAACTACTTTTGAAAACATTTGACCACTACTGCGAATATAGGAAAACACCAAACGGCGTTATTTTAGCACCTGTTCAGGTATATTTGCAAAACCAAACAATTATGTATGTAAAATATATTATCTTCTGCATTTCAGCTTGGCAAATGGTTGGTTTTATTCTGTGATGAAATCAATTTACCTGATATGGATAATTACGGCACGCAAAGAGTTATTATGTTCTTACGTCAATTGGTTGAACAAAAAGGATTCTACAGGGCGTCTGACCAAACATGGGTATCTCTGGAGCGCATCCAATTCGTGGGTGCTTGTAATCCACCTACAGATCCTGGTCGTAAACCACTTTCGCATAGGTTTTTGCGCCACGTTCCAGTTATTTACGTCGATTATCCTGGAGAAACTTCCCTGAAACAAATCTATGGCACTTTTACCAGGGCTATGTTGAGATTAACGCCTAGTTTGAAGGGTTTCGCAGAGCCGTTGACGAATGCTATGGTCGAATTTTATTTGGCGTCTCAAGATAGATTTACGCAAGACATGCAACCGCACTACGTATATTCTCCTCGAGAAATGACAAGATGGGTGAGAGGAATTTGTGAGGCTATAAGACCTTTGGATAATTTGGCCGTTGAAGGCTTGGTTAGATTGTGGGCGCACGAAGCACTTCGTTTATTCCAAGATCGTTTAGTCGAAGATGCAGAGCGAGCCTGGACAAACGAGAATATCGACGCCGTCGCCCAAAAACATTTCCCTTCTGCAAACTGCGACAACGCTTTAGCAAGACCAATTCTATACAGCAATTGGTTATCTAAGGATTATGTTCCTGTAGAACGTGAAGATTTGAGAGATTATGTCAAGGCTAGGTTGAAGGTCTTCTACGAAGAAGAACTGGATGTGCCTTTGGTTCTATTCGACGAAGTCCTGGACCATGTTTTGAGAATCGATAGGATATTCAGACAACCACAAGGTCATTTGTTGTTGATTGGTGTTTCGGGAGCTGGCAAAACAACGCTATCGCGCTTCGTTGCTTGGATGAACGGATTATCCATATTCCAAATTAAAGTGCACAACAAATATACTGGTGAAGACTTTGATGAGGACTTACGTCAAGTCTTGAGGCGCAGCGGTTGCAAAGACGAGAAGATCGCGTTCATTTTAGATGAATCGAATATGTTGGACTCCAGTTTCCTTGAAAGAATGAACACATTATTAGCTAATGGTGAAGTGCCTGGCTTGTTCGAAGGGGACGAATACACCACGCTGATGACCCAATGCAAAGAAGGTGCACAGAGGGAAGGTCTTATGTTGGATTCCAACGATGAACTATATAAGTGGTTTACTGGCCAGGTTATGCGTAACCTGCATGTGGTATTTACCATGAATCCATCAACTGACGGTCTTAAGGATCGTGCAGCAACATCTCCGGCTTTGTTCAATCGTTGCGTGTTGAATTGGTTTGGCGATTGGTCGGATGGAGCGTTATTCCAGGTCGGCAAAGAATTTACCAACCGTGTAGATTTAGATAAACCAACTTGGAAGATGCCCGACTTTTTCCCAGCCGCCTGCAACAGAATCTCAGCTACACCATCGCATCGTGAAGCAGTTATCAATGCTTGCGTTTACGTTCATCAAACTTTGCATAAAGCCAACGCGAGATTAGCTAAACGTGGTGGCCGAACGATGGCCATAACTCCACGACATTATTTGGATTTCATCCATCACTTTGTTAAACTTCATAACGAAAAGAGATCAGACTTAGAGGAGCAACAGTTGCATCTTAATGTCGGTCTAAGTAAGATTGCCGAAACTGTAGAGCAAGTTGAAGAAATGCAGAAGAGTTTGGCTGTAAAATCAAAAGAATTGCAAGCTAAAAATGATGCAGCGAATGCCAAACTTAAGCAGATGGTGAAGGATCAACAAGAGGCGGAGAAGAAAAAAGTTCAAAGTCAGGAAATCCAACAACAGATTGCGGAACAAACTATTCACATCAATCATAAGCGTAAAGAGGTAATGGCGGATTTGGCCCAAGTTGAACCTGCTGTAATAGACGCTCAAACTGGTAAGTTTTTTGTTATTTTAACAATTTTCCTTTATTGAGATTTTGTGCAGCTGTAAAGTCCATTAAGAAACAGCATCTGGTAGAGGTGCGTTCGATGGCGAATCCTCCGCACAGTGTTAAAATGGCTCTAGAATCTGTATGCCTATTACTCCATGAGAACGCCAGTGAGTGGCGATCCATTAGATCTGTGATCATGCGAGAAAACTTCATAGCGACAATCGTTAATTTCAACAGCGATTTTCTTACGTAAGGCTCAATATCAAAAGGCCTGATCTTTCTATTTTATTTTACTTTTCTGTAGCTTTCGATATATCATTTTTGCAATTATCTACATATTATCGGAAACTGTTTAAATTTTCTATTTATTTCACTTGAAAGCCATTTATTAGCATTCCCTTATATGAATTCTGAGCCTATGTGTTAATATTTAGTATTGCTTGTGTATTTATTTTATTATTTTGCTTTTCTATTGTTTCTATTATCCTCAATACACATCAGCGGTTAAGTCGATCAAAAAACAACAACTCGTGGAGATCCGTACAATGGCGAATCCACCGGCGCTCGTCAAGCTAGCCTTAGAGTCCATTTGCTTGCTTCTTGGAGAAAACGCAAGCGACTGGAAATCTATCAGGGCGGTTATCATGCGCGATAACTTCATCAATACTGTAGTCTCCAATTTCAACACTGAAGACATTAGGTATGCATGCGATTTAATCCCTTTTCCACATGTATATTTTATTTATAGCTTTCACTGGTACTCTTCTCTTTGTTATTATTATTAGTTTTTACTATTAGTATTGTTTATAGTTTTTATTAACTAATATTTTACTATCTAGTGATGATGTTCGGGATAAGATGAAGATTCGTTACCTGAGCAACCCTGACTACAATTTCGAAAAAGTTAATCACGCCAGTAACGCTTGCGGTCCATTGGTTAAATGGGCTTTAGCTCAGGTAAGACATTAGTTTTGTTGCTACAATAGGTTCATAGACTTTATTTTTGTTATTTTTTAATTAGATTCAATATGCTGACATGCTGAAGAAGGTGGAACCGCTCCGTGATGAATTGAATTCTTTAGAGAAGCAAGCCGATACAAATAAGAAACGAGGTGATGAAGTCAAGAATTTGATCAGTCAATTGGAGCAGAGTATAGCCTCATACAAAGAGGAATACGCGCAACTTATAGCACAAGCGCAAGCCATAAAGAGCGACTTGGAAAATGTACAAGGCAAAGTTGATCGTTCAATTGCCCTTATTAAATCTTTGGTCATCGAAAGAGAACGCTGGGAAGCAACCAGTGAGACTTTCCGTTCTCAAATGTCTACGATCATCGGTGATGTACTTCTGACTGCTGCGTTCATCGCATATGGAGGATACTTCGATCAACATTACCGACAAAATTTGTTCACTACTTGGAGTCAACATCTAACCCAAGCTGGTTTGCAATATCGTGCTGACATTGCTCGTACGGAATATCTTTCGAATCCTGACGAAAGATTGAGGTGGCAGGCAAATGCTTTACCATCCGATGATCTATGCACAGAAAACGCGATCATGCTAAAACGTTTCAATAGATATCCTTTGATAATTGATCCTTCAGGACAAGCTACTGAATTCATTATGAACGAATTTAAAGACAAGAAGATTACCAAGACCAGTTTCTTGGACGATTCATTCAGAAAGAATTTGGAATCTGCGTTGCGTTTCGGTAATCCATTGTTGGTGCAAGACGTAGAAAATTACGATCCTATTTTGAACCCCGTCTTGAATAGGGAATTGCGACGAACCGGTGGTCGTGTTCTCATAACATTGGGAGATCAAGACATCGATCTTTCGCCATCGTTTGTCATTTTTCTGTCTACTCGAGATCCAACAGTTGAATTCCCACCTGATATCTGCTCTCGAGTAACGTTTGTTAACTTTACGGTCACTAGAAGTTCATTGCAGAGTCAATGCTTGAATAAAGTGCTCAAAGCAGAGCGACCTGATATTGATGAGAAACGTTCCGATCTACTTAAACTTCAAGGTGAATTCCATCTCCGTTTAAGACAACTGGAAAAGTCTCTATTGCAAGCATTGAACGATGCCAAGGGTAAGATTTTGGATGATGATAGCGTGATTACAACACTCGAAACACTGAAACAAGAAGCTGCTGAAATTGGACAGAAAGTTGAAGAAACTGATAAGGTTATCTCAGAGATCGAAACTGTATCTCAGCAGTACCTGCCGTTATCGCAGGCGTGCAGTAACACATACTTTACAATGGACAGTCTTAATCAAGTGCATTTCCTATATCAGTACTCGTTGAAGATGTTCCTGGATATGTTTAGCACTGTTTTGTTGAGCAATCCTAGGTTGGATGGTTTGAGTGAGCATCAAGCAAGATTGAAGGTGATCACTTCTGATTTGTTTACTGTGGTCTATGAGACAGTAGCTCGTGGAATGCTGCACACAGACCGCCTCACATTGGCCCTACTACTCTGTCGCATTCATTTGAAGGGCGTACCATCTGAACCAAATATGGATCAGGAATTTGGATTTTTCTTGCGTGGAAAAGAAGGTGTGTTCAATACACAAATAGAAATGGAAATTGAAGGAATAACTGGTGAACAACAAGAGGCGTTGACAAGGTATAGTTGGACACGTTTAGTCTTGATTAACATAGTATAAAAATATTTATATGTTACAGGTTGGCTTCAAAGATTCCTGCTTTCAAAAAATTACCAGAAAAAATCAAGGAAATGCCTGAGTTTGGAGCTTGGTTGCAGCAAGGAACGCCTGAACAGAATGTTCCAAGGTTGTGGTTGGAAGAGAAACCATTGAGTCCAATCGGTACAGCTATGTATCAACTTTTGTTGATTCAAGCCTTTAGACCTGATAGAGTTATTGCAGCAGCTCATGTTCTTGTCGATGCTGTTTTGGGTGAAGATTTCATGCCAAGTGCAGAGAAGGAATTAGATTTCTCAAGTGTCGTCGAAGGTGAATTGAAGAGTAACGTGCCCGCACTTCTATGTTCCGTTCCTGGTTTTGACGCGTCTAGCAGGGTTGATGATTTAGCGGTAGAATTGAATAAACAGATTAGCAGTATAGCCATCGGTTCAGCGGAAGGTTTTAATCAAGCTGAAAGGGCTATTAATATGTCCTGTAAGACTGGTAGATGGGTCATATTGAAGAACGTGCATTTAGCACCGCAGTGGTTAGTTCAGTTGGAAAAGAAATTGCATTCTCTGCAACCACATCCCAACTTCAGATTATTTTTGACTATGGAAATTAATCCTAAATTGCCAGTTAATTTATTGAGGGCCGGTAGGATCTTCGTGTTCGAGCCGCCGCCAGGTATCCGAGCAAATCTGTTGCGTACTTTCAACACGGTAATTATCAAGAAAAATAAGAATTAAAATGTAATTTAATCAATTTACTTTTTAGGTGCCAGCTAGCAGGATGATGAAGGCTCCGAATGAAAGAGCTCGTTTGTATTTCTTGTTGGCTTGGTTCCACGCAATTGTTCAAGAACGTTTGCGATATGCTCCATTGGGATGGGCCAAATACTACGAGTTTAATGAATCCGATTTGAGAGTCGCTTGCGATACATTAGATACATGGATCGAGTCCACTGCGATGGGCCGCACGAATTTACCACCAGAGAAGGTGCCGTGGGATGCTCTCGTAACATTGCTATCTCAGTCCATTTATGGTGGCAAAATTGATAACGTTTTCGATCAACGTTTGCTACATTCGTTCTTAACTAAACTCTTTACACCGAAGAGTTTCGAATCCGATTTTGCTCTAGTCGCTAATATCGATGGAGGTCCTAATGGGAACAGACATATAACAATGCCCGATGGAACTAGACGCGATCACTTCTTGAAATGGATTGAATCATTGGTGGATAGACAGACGCCTTCATGGTTAGGATTACCAAATAATGCTGAAAAAGTGCTGCTAACAACACGGGGCACCGATTTGGTGAGCAAGTTGTTGAAGATGCAACAACTGGAGGATGACGATGAGTTGGCGTATTCGGACGACAGTTCACCAACAGATCCAGGAGAGGTCGATGGAAGACCATCATGGATGAAAACATTGAACAATTCGGCTCTAGCTTGGCTCAAGCTGTTGCCAAAGAGTTTGCACATTCTAAAGAGAACTTCCGACAATATCAAAGATCCTCTCTATAGATACTTTGAGCGGGAAGTTAATTGCGGCTCCAAATTGTTAACTGATGTAATTCATGATTTGAACGACGTCGTTTTGATTTGTAATGGGGAGAAAAAGCAGACCAATTACCATCGCACTATGCTCAGCGAATTAGTACGAGGAATGTTACCAGGAAATTGGCGCCGTTATACAGTACCTAGAGGATGTACTGTTATACAGTGGATTACGGATTTCAGTCAAAGGATTAAGCAGCTGCAGCAAGTCGCTAAAGCAGTTTCAAATGGAGCTAAAGAGTTGCAGGTATATACTTACGTTTTTTCTTTATCATTTAACGTATACGATATATATTTTTTTTTAATTTTTAGAGATTCCCAGTTTGGATAGGAGGATTATTGAATCCAGATGCTTATATAACAGCAACTAGGCAGTGCGTAGCTCAAACGAACAGTTGGCCTCTTGAAGAATTGCAACTTGACGTTACAATTATGGATTCTAACGATATGAACAACATACCGATCGATTCTTTTGCCGTTGTTGGTATGTCATTTCACAATGTAATTAAATTCAGAATTAAAATATATTTTTATTTACAGGAATGAAGTTGCAAGGCGCACAATGCAAGAACAATCAACTTTTGTTAAGTTCGAGCATCATGTTAGAGTTGCCTATTACTCTCTTACGTTGGGTTCGAGTTGTTGGTGATGATAAACTTCTGAATGGTCGCTTAGCGCTTCCAGTTTATTTGAATTCTACCAGGACCGAATTACTATTTACCGTCGATCTTAATATTGCTCCAGGCCAAGATCAGCATAGCTTCTACGAACGGGGTGTAGCTCTTTTAACTTCAACTTCATTAAATTAGTGTTTTTTTTTCTTCAAATATTGCGTTCAAGAAAGTAATAGAAGTAAGAAAAAATAATTAAGAATTTTATTCAAATGCTTGTACTAAATAAAATTATTAAACTATGCAGCAATTTCTGCTGGTTTCTTTTCTTTATCAACTAATTCCTTCTCCTTAGATTCAATTATGTTTAGCTGTGGTTTCTCAAATGTTAAACTCGTTGGTTCCTTAGGTGGCATCCAATCAGGAATAATCTTATCGTGCACTCTCCAAAGACCGTACTCGTTGGCTAAGTGCTTCTCGAATACTACATATTCCAAGACGTCCTTTGCTATTATTTCACTTCCGTGCATCAATCTTCCAAATCTATCGTAAATTGCTAATACCTAATACAAAAGAATTCAGTTATTATCTAATTAGATACATAAATAATATGTATTGATTACTTGTTGCGTGTGAAAACGAACTGTGACTTGCGCAAAAATATTCTCCTTTGAGACTACATCAGTACATCTAGCATGTACAACTCTTGGCAACTCAACGTCTTTCAAGTATTTCCATCGAATTGTCTTGTTTTTCATGTTGTGCATAACCTCAGGGTAGGCTCTTTCAGTGATATATTGTTGGATAGTTTCCTTATCCCCAGAGGCCATACATTCATGCATTTTAATATATACATTTTGTGCAGCTTTGCAGAACTCTGGAGTGTCAAAATCTTCCTCAAATGATCGAATTTTTCTAATAGCCAACATTGTTTTGGATTTTTTCTCCAAAAATTGCAATTTTTGCTTTGCTCCCTAAAATATTACTTTAAATAAATCTTTGAACTTGCAGAGATCTATTACATACTTGAGCAGAAATTGGGGAAACTTTTCCATCACCTTCAGGTGGAACGTATCCTTCAAATACACCACCAGTGGAACTTATAAAGAATGGCTTCTCCAACCAAGGCCTGGGTGGTAACAAGCCTTGCTCCTTCAAGCGAGACCTCATTTCTTCTTCAGTCAAGTCTTCCGTATTTTCATTGAACTTTGGTAACTCAACTTTAACAACTTTGAGAGTTCTAAGAGGTTTCCATTTTGGGTCCCAATGTTTTGTTCTTCTATGCCTGACTTGCTGAACATTTATTGAGGTGCTTGCAATTGGGGCCAAAAAATTAACTGATGTTTCCTGCAAATATTCATAATTCATTTACTCCTTCAGTACTAATCTTTCAATAATTACCTGCAGGAATTGAATCCCAACTTTATTTAATAATCTTAAGGACATTTTCAATCTAATTCTTAGTAATTCTAATAAGATCAAAATATAACCTCAAAAGGGAACATCAAGCATCTGAAGTTGCCGAAATTTGTTATACCAACGCAAGACAAAGTGTAAAGCATTTCAAACTTCATTTAATAAATTAAGCCTTCTTACACTCCAGAGAAACAATTTTTATTGTAATAAACAAATAAAACTTTTTTATATAATCAAAGTAATAAAAAAGGTCAACTGTTATTAATCTTAGAAATGATCACCCTAAAATAACACAAACATGTAGGCAAATAAATAAGCACGCATTTTGATAATATTTAAAACAAATACTTCGTAATGTTTAAAATCATTATAGAAAATTAAACATAAACCATACATGCTATTTTCTTTAAATGCTGCATGTAATAAAATATTTACCTATAATAATATAAAGTAACTATTTATTTAATCCTCATCGACTACGACTTCAGTTCCTTTTATTGCAGCACTCTCTTCGTCTCTGAAAATTTCATCAAATTGGGCTTGAATACTTTCGTCCTTCATTTCTACTACACTTCTTTTCACAGAGTCATTCTCATTATAATTGGAATTTTCACAAGATCTCTCTAGATTTCCGTATAATCTAGCGATTAGTTCTTCTCTAGTTTTAGCATTCCTGATTTGTGATTGCCTTTCAAACAATGTCGGCTGTCTGTTAACTCTGCCCTGCATTTTTTGCATCTTGTATTTATGCTCTTCATTACGCAATTTATCTTCTTCCTTGCGTAATTGCAGTCGCATCTGCAGATCTTCTTCGTGGTTATAAGCTAACGTTTGCCAGACGGGTCTCCTACGGAGGACCTTTTCGCGCCACCTTACCTCTTCTTTGATCTTCACCTCTTCCAGCCGTCGAGCAATATCATCTTCCATTCTTTTCCTTACATAAGAGTATTGATATATGATATATATTAAAGAAATAAATTACTTACCTAGCTGTTTGCATTCTTAAAACTGCAGCCAAATTAGAGCGATTTGTAGAATCTAATACGGATCTGCAAATACTAGGTGATTTTCTACAACTTTTTCGGGCCTGCAATAAATTAAGTGTTCTAAATGCATAAGTAATGTTTAACTTTGCGGTATTAGTTACCTTCTTCTTGCATTGTCTGGGACTAGGTGTCCTTAGAACAAAATCAAGTTCTAATTCTGCCAGTTCCTTATCAAAATTGGTGTTTGTCCCATTGGATTCATTCAAATACAAATCGCGAAAGGATCTAGGACAAATTTGATATTTGGGTTTAGTTTTCTCGCGTTTGGCCATGGCCGGTGGAAGTGATGAAGCTTTAAGCATCTCCTCTGCTCGAATTTTCTTCTGCAATGATCTAAAATAAAATATGATATTATATTATTTTCTTAACAACTTCTATAATTTACAACCTGTAGAATTCGTCTTCGTGCATCTTCTGGTAAACGTAATTACTGAAAAGATTTCTCGGCACGGGTTTAGCCGAAAATTGCTTAACTTTTGGACATGTTTCCTGAGAGAAAATACTCGGAGATGATTTCGATAGACGTTTAGTAATTGTTAGGATTTCCTCTTCTCGACGCGTGAACGAGAAAGGACGCATTTGAGCTCTCAGTTGGTCTTTGCTACGTTTTTTCACTGTTTCACTTCTGAAAATAATAATTACATTAATTTTATTAAATTAGATAATATCGTGTATACGTTTTATGTTAGACAAGCATACCTTTGTTCCTGCTCACTCTTTATTTTGTCGAACAGCGGAATTTGCGATTTGATTGGCACAGGGTGTGCTCTGAACATTTCGAATTTTTCTGTTTCCGGTTTCTTGTTTTTGGTAAGTATTTCGTCAACGATTCTATTCTCTTCATCTCTGTTAAAATAATAACATTCATCAGACGTTTTTTTTGTATACATCTGCTTTATAAAAAGTAAATGTATACATTGAAATTTGTTTATTATAAGTTGTAGAATCGGTTATAAAGAATTACCTAATTGTCATTTGGAAAGGTTTGGGTATTGTGATTCCGCAATCTTTCCAAGCTACCTTTCTAGGACTGTTTGGGACACTTTTGATGTCTGCTGATTCGCATCTGGGTTTGAAGCGGATTTCTGTAGGTGGTGTTTCGATGCGAACCGATCTACGTGAAGGCGACTTGGATTCCCATTCTTCCTCAGCGGTGGATTTCCGCTCTGTATCCGGTGTTCTGCCTGTCGATAGCGTTTTGTAGTCATCAATCCAAGCGGTTTGGTGGTTCTCGATCTTATCCTGATAGACTAGATAATCGTTGTAAGTGCGTTGTTTCTGTCTCAAGTTTTCCAACCTCTTGTAAAACTCTTTGTTTGATAAATGATTAACCTCGTTATACTCTGGTATACTGTCGTAGAAATCTATGAGTGATTTGTGGTGATCCGCGGATCCGGTGGAGGATGTTGGACTGATGCTCAGTTTTCGCGCTTCGTTTTCCAATTGGTTTATGAGTTTCTGATCGCAGACCGGAAATGGCGTTTTATTTACAGGATTTCGCGGCACCCGCAAGCAGGAATTATTGAAGACAGCATTTCCGTGCTCCGACATTGCATCGGTTCAGTATTTCTTAGTCACCAAGGAAACGCAAATTAAAAACAATCAATACAGAGAGAAAACTTTATTCGGTGTTCTGCTTTATCCAATTCAAATAGTGGTCGACGCGCGTGTACACGGTTGGCAACTCTGCATTTCCGCAAACCATTGCGGATGCGAATGATATTATGCCTATTTGGTGATGCTTAAGGGATTTTTGGGTGTTTGTAACTATGAAAAGGGGACCTCCGCTGTCGCCCTTGCACGCATCTTCGCCCTTCCTTCCGTTTGCGCAAATCTGCGCGTCGTCTATTGGAAGTACTTCCGGTGGAACGGACATATTGCATCTAGAAGTTTTCCAAACTTTCACCGTTGCATACATTAGCGCATCGGATCCTGAAACTCTATCTGAAATAAATGAAATTTCATTATTAAATATACCATATCAGACAATTTACATTGTATATTACTAAAATTAACTACGTTTTCGGTTGTTCGTCTAAATAAGATTACAATTTCTTTTTGTTATTATAAATTTTAAGTTGTAAATAAAGAATCTAATATAAATGTATACAGAGTGCTAACACACCTGAGTTTATTTTACCCCAACCACTGACCGTCAATTTCTTATCGTAAAACATATCTGGCGTCAATTCTATGTCGAATGGTAAGCAAATTGGTTGAATAAATTCTGAAAATAGTGATTGAAATTAAGACCCAAATTAAATGAATACCGAAATCCCAATGTTACCTGTAAATGAGATAGAGTTTTGTAACTTCAATAGAGCAATATCATTTTTCAGGCTGACTGCAGAGAAGTCCTTGTGTGGGATAATCTTTGATATTACTACATCTCTGTAAGGGTCACTGCAGAAGATTTTCTTGGTAAAATTTTCGCAATCCTTGTCCGTGGCCAAATTAAATTCACCCAATCTTACCAAAGACCTACAAGAAAAATGATCAATCTCGCCATATTCTCCTTTGAAAGTAATTTGTAACTTCGCACAATTTAAGACCTTGCAAATTTAAACAGTGCGCGGCGGTGAGTACATAATTTCTGGATATTAAAGATCCGCCACACAGAAACTGTGTGACATTTATTCCGTTTGCTGTAAAAAGGGAAATTGATTATTTAATGTCGAGTTGAAAATTCAATTTGCTGACTTTCGTATCCTAGTAGCGACATCCATGGGAATTGACCAATGCGTGCTAATTTTCCACCTGTGATTCTATCATCGCTGTCGACGAGTCCGCAATCTACAGGAAATTCCGATATCCTTGAAATTATCCTAGTCGTTTTCTCTTCAGGGCAACAAACATATCCTTCCTTGCAAGGGTACAGTACATCCATTTGGACCTTGCACTTCGACAAAGGGACACATTTCAAATCTTTGCCGCAAGCCTCTACACCTAATACAAATAATGTTGTGAATTGCTCCTTAATTTTTATTTGAGATGAAATGAAATGCGATATTTACCTGAAGTCACGACCGTGTTCAAAATCAGCAAGGTTATAACGAACATATCGAGTTAAATGAGAAATTCCTGTTAGCTCTTCATGTCTGGAAACTAGTTTTTAGAGTCGCGCGCATCGACGACTTCGTAACTTTGACACTTGTACTTCGTAAATACCAATAATTACATACTCATTTCGCACGGAAGAAGTCCGATAGAAACGAATCTGGTTCTTGGGAAAATCAAGGTCATCGAACGCTTTGTGCAAGCACGAAAGTTTTGCATACAATAAAATCTAACACTTGCTTTTTGTTGACTATATTTTTATCTTTAATTACATTAATTATTATAAAATCTATATTGAAGCGTAAATGTAAAATGACGGACAAATCTAATGAATCTATCTATGATGTGAAGCTCTATTGCACTGATTCATTACAAAAAAATCCAATATCGACACAAACGATAGAAAATTCGCTTAATAAAATTGTTCAATAGTTCGCATGCAGAACATCAAAGCGCTCGCAGCTTCTATAATTCAATTGTTTTATCGATTTTCATGAAGTAATTCCTATTTAAATTTTAAAAGGTACCACGCGCACAAAGATATATGCTAAGCAAATATTAAATTGCCGTTTTATTTCGAACAGTTCAAATCCAAATATCGATTTTGTGGAAACATCAACATTGTAATAGATGAAACAACGTGACTTGTTAATATTTTAATGATATAAGGATTAATTGTTGTCTTATAACCAAAGTAATAACTTTTTAATTTTATTATGTGAGTATTATAAATACGATACATAAATATCACGCCCAATACGCTGCAATTATTACAGTGTGTTGGTTTAGGTAGATATGATATTTCGTTTAAGTTGATAACTGTGTGGGAACAGCTACAAATGTCCGGATTGTATTTTAATATACTTATAAAATATTATATTTTTTTATTGTATTTATAATAATTAGAATAGTATTAAATTTAAGGTAGTACGTTTTCTGGTTCAATTAAAATATTTATAAACTTTACTAAATGAATGAATTGTTCTTAATGCAATAAATGAAAATAAATTTAATAGACAAAAAATCTTTGTTTGTTAACCCGAATGTGAATTTAAAATTCAATAGTAGATTTGTAGTAGTTAATAAATATTGTTATTATAATGTATTTTATCAGAGTTAATAAATTAGTAAAGAATATGTTTATAATTATTTTTTCTTATGATTTAAGAAATATAAAATATGTGAATTATTTTCTGATATATAAAATTTATAACTGATCATTAATTCTAAACAGAAACGATGTATTTTGGTGATATAAATATTAAAATAGCGAGACATGTGTGTGATCGAAGTGCCTCTCGAATTATGTACTTACCTTGAGTCTACGTACATAATTTGGACGTTCGTGTGAAACATCAGAGCGGTTTACCTATCAATCATATCGTGTATAAATTGTCAACATTTCGTGGTGCATATAAGCAAAGCGGAAAAGCGATTGAAAGAAGACCATGTATGCGATGCTATTCGTCATCTTTGCTGGTTATTGCCAGGGAATCGTACACGTGCACCCCAATACTAACTGCCTGAAGGAAAAAAGTGGCTTATACAAAATCCACATTGCGTATTTTTCCGAGAGTAAAAACGTGAAGATTCTGCTGCTGCAAGATAACTCCAAGGAGGATAAATATTTTCTTGATGAATATTTATGGTACTTCAATTCACGGTACAGCTGACACAAAGCGATTAACATTAAAATATATAGCTTATTCGGAAGACGGAGACGGAATGCAATAGGTGAATAGGTTAAGTCACTCGTTATTACGAAGGAAACTAGGTTTTGTTTTGCAGATGGATCAAAGGGACCCATGCGGACCGAGTCCGGAGATCCGGAGCAAGGCTATATAATCATAGTGAGGAATGAGATTGTACTGAAACAATATTTAAAACGGAATTTTTCTTTTGTTTTTCCGAAAACTAGAGCCAGTTATTTGTTCGTATTCAGCGAGAAGAATTTAAACGGTTCGCTGGATCGGTATGATGGGATTATATCGTTGTTATGGAATGAATACGAGATACTCAATGTGTTGGTTGTTGCGCCATGCTCTTCCAATTTTGATCGCGTTTTTCTCTATAAGCCCTTCGATTACAACGAACGAAATCAAACTTGGGGCTTGGTTCATTCATATTTAATGTATGATTTAGTGGATAATCCTCGAGTCCTTATTAATACTATGAATAATTTGAATGGATATCCAATTGCTGTAAGCACGTTCACAAGAATTCCGACGAATATGCCTTATGCGACCGCTAATAATGGTTACGATTGTTCTTATGGGAATTTAATCTTCGGTGGATTGGACGGATGCGTTATGAAGTACATGTCTAAAATTTTGAATTTTGAATTGAACATTGTCGAACCTTTAGACAAGGAAAAGTTTGGATACAAAGCTCCTAATGGTACGTTCTTGGGGAGTTTGGGGGACATCGTGTATCGAAGGGCCCAAATAACTGGGAACAGCCGATTCTTGGAGGTTTTCGATAGGGAACAATACGAATACACGTTGCCCATAAAAAATGATCAGATATGTTTTGTGGTGCCGAAGGCCGATCGAATTCCGCCGTACGCATCACTATTTAATTGTTTCTCTTCGGATACTTGGACTGCCCTTCTGATAGTGATGTGCTCTATGTGTGTGCTGTATTATTTTAGCGCACAAATTAGTTTTCATCTACTGCTAAGGACGAAAATGTGTCCTTTTAAAGACACAATTAATATAATAGGCCTATTCCTTAATGTCCCCATGCATAAATTACCTCAGATCCATCACGAGCGGATGATCGTAATCTCCTGTTTGATGTTCAATATAATTATTTTGGGGACATTCCAGGGATCATTATTTACGTCGTTTAGCAGTATCCTCTATTACCCAGACATCAACACGTTGGAAGATCTATCGCACTCCAATTTATTTATTGCCACCAGTTTGGATCCGTTTAACGGGGATGAGTCTCAAGTTATAAAAAAGATATACAGTAAGCATATTGATTTGTTTGAGAGGGCATTGACTAGAGCTGCACTGAAACGGGACGTCGCCGCTATGGAACGCAAAGAAGATGCTAATTTCTTTATTCAGACAGAGTACATCAGCAGTGACGGTGTACCATTACTGCACGTTGTTGCTGAATGCCCGACCTCAAACTTTTTGGCTTACATCGTTCCGAAACATTCGCCCTTCTTGCCGCGCTTCAACGTCTTGCTGAGAAGGTTTCTTGAGTCAGGCCTCATTGAAAAATGGTACTATGATACGGTGGAAGCCACAATACTGTCCAACAAATACGCTAAGAATCAAACCTCCAACAGTCAAGAACCGTTGGAGCTACAAGATTTACAATCCGCGTTTTATTTTTTATTCGTGGGAGCCGCATTGGCTACCATTGCATTTGTGATTGAAATCACATGCAAACTTTTCAAATAAATATAATCCTAAATTAAATTATTATTATGCTTTATCTGCACTATACGAAATGTTACACAACAATGTACAATTCCATCAACTAACATAAAAATATATTATACACAAAGAAGTATATATGAGTTTATCATATATTAGACCACGTAAACAAAATATAATTATTCAATAATTTGATTTTATCCCATTAATTTATTTATACTATTTGTAATTATTATTGTAAGATATCTAATCGTACCAGAAGAGAAATAGATGTGGAATTGGGATCCATGTTACTTTACGTTTTATGCTTAATCTTGATTAATTGTTATGTAAGATCTTGAATCTTCAAATTATTATGTATTACTAAAACTGAAGATGGTATAGCTGTTGTTTAAATATAGAAATTTCGAAAAGTCTCTGTGATTTGACTATTGCGTGCACATTTTAATTCTCAGTAAGAACTGGATCTAAATGTTTAAAAGTGTTTTGCCGGTTTATGGTATTTCTTTCAATAAATTTTGCTTTTTTATTAAGTAAAAGTATATATGTTTATTATTTTTTGTTAATGTATTAAATTTTTCTTAAAACTTACTTGTAAACATACCGGTAATGTAAAAGCAATTTTAATGCCCTACCTGTCTTCATTGGTGCAATCGTTCAAATTCAATTAAACCAAAACGTGGTTGTATTGCCAAATAAATCGGTTTGTTTTTTTCTACAAATTCTCTCAGGTATGTTTCTTTATATAGTATCACGAATCATAATAGTAGGAATTATAATTACTGGATGAATTTTAATTGTTTTAGAATCTATAAATTGATTTTGTGTGGTGGGCTGTAAATAACTTGTATTTTGGAGGTTTAAAGTGATGCATAAAAACGGGTGCCTTGTTACAGATTTCTTTAAACTATGGCTATGGCTATGTCGAGTGAAAAACAACTTCGATCTTCTTTCAAGTCTTCTGTGGGCATTAGAGTGGTTCGAGGTCCGGACTGGAAGTGGGGTATGCAAGGTAATTTTTTATGTTTTGAAATTTTAAGTAATTGTTGTACATTGCGTAGTCATTTTCAGATGGAGGCGAAGGAAATATTGGGACTGTAGTGGAAATATGTAAATTTCCGAAACGAACCGTGTTGGTAAAATGGGATTTGATGGGCTGCTCAAATTATAAAATTGGGTTTGAGAAACAATATGATTTAAGGATTTTTGATAATTCGCAGATGGGCATTTTACACTCAGTGGCTTGCAATGAATGTAAAATCAAGCAAATCACTGGGTAACGATATAGTTGTAATGTTTGTGTGTTATATAATCTGTGTAAGAAATGTTACCATAGTGGTAAACATAATTTGTCGCACGAGTTTACCTTGTTCAGTACAACAATGTCTTCGGGGTAAGTTACGAATTTTAATGATGTAAAATGTTTACAAATTCTTTAAATTTCTTAGAAATTCTTTACCCAAACGGGAAGACGAGAATCAAGATTTCCAGAAATCTAGAATAAATTATTATGTCACGCATCTACCTGTGCTCGGAAAACTGGAAAATGAAATAGTTGTGATGGAACCGACCAGCGATACAATCTTGAACCAACTCATCCAGGAAGTGGATAGCTGGCAAAATCGGACCAAGATCCCATCTGAAACTCCTGTTTGTCTATTGTGTGACAAAACGTCTGAACATAATGTTACGTTTATACCATGCAATCATAAGTTGGCCTGTACGAACTGCAGCATCTATGTAAAAAAGTGCTACAGTTGTCACGTTTCCGTAGAAAAACGTGTGGCTCCAGATGGCACGGATTTACCAATTGTATGCAAATACAAAGATAGACTAGATGCAATTAGATCACAACTGTTGAGGATTGAAGAGAATTTTGCGTGTGGCATTTGTATGGAAAACATTATTGACATTGCTTTTGAGTGCGGTCACAGGGCTTGCTCGAGGTGCATAGAAAATCTTAGAGGAAAATGTCATATGTGCAGACAACCTATTTCTATGACTATTGAAATTTGAAAACTGTTTTTTATAATATTTCCTTATTTAATTATGTAACGTCCAATTACTTTTATTTTCTTTACTTATACATGACACAAGATTATACAAGTAGCAGTAGTTTTACAACGCATTTAATAACAAAAACGCAATAACATTGATAAATTTAATTAAAATATCTGCATAAGATCTTGTATATGAATCAATTAATTTATTAAATTGTTAATCAATATATATGAAAATATTTTTTTATTATATTTATTACAATTGAATCTAAATTATTATATTTGTATTGTCTTTATATTGAAAAATAATCCGTTAAATTTATTTACATTATTTTCATTTATCAAAAATATTTATGATAAAAACTCGATATAAATGATATAAAACAATTTTTATTTGTTTGTTAATTTGTTTATTTCACTTTAATATTTAATTACTTGCATGTAAAACAAATAAATAAATATTAATAGTCATTAAAACATACACAAAAATAAATACATTTTTTAATAACTCTGTGCATTATGTAGTTTTTTTTTTAACTATTATTTAAATTGAAAGTAAAAAGAATAATATTCTCAAATTTCGCTTCTTGAAGGGCCACATTAAGGATGTCGTGGACCAAAGATAGATGTGTCGTGTCCTAGGGATGAAATTCTGGACACAGTGGAATATTGTCTGGTGTTGTCCTTGTGCAGTCTCAGTTGTAGAAATTAAATAATTCAATTGGTTTTACATAACTTTATTCGTTATTTGGATTTCTGCTGAGACTATGCTCGTCTTAGGTTTTTATGAGACTTTGCTCATCATATTAAGGTTTTTCTGAAATTGTGCTTGTCCTCAAAGATTCTGCTGAGACTAATTCTAGATACTAATTCTACTTACAAAGTTAAGTATTAATACGGGATGGGAGTTGTGATTGGAAGTAAGGTCAGAGGATTAAGCGTTTGCACGGGATTGGGCCTTGGTGGATTATTATAAGACCGGGACAAAATCCTATGCATTTGTTTATATGAAATAGATGATCGATTACTATTGTACGGGTAATGATCATTATGTGTTTATAATAAGGACTTGAATTCGGAGTAAAGGTATAGGAGTATTGATAGAAATGTTTACGCTTGGTCCCCTTTGTTTATATTAAAGTGTATCGAACTGGGATCACGGTAGAGATTCCCTTATGCTGATGAGTATGTTTATATAATAATGCGACTAAGAGACGCCGTGGATGTCTCTAGTTCGTTAATACACTATATCAATAATAACAATTATAATAATAATAAGGGTTGGACACAACAGATGGACATCATCAACTGATACTGATCGATCTTGAAAACGTACTGCATATAACCAAAGTTTACATGTGATGCTTCATTATGATGTAGATCAGGTAGATTGCATTAACGGGTATTTTAAAAATATAGGTTATTTTAGAATAATTTTACAACGTTAACTTCATATCTCATTGTTATGTTTTATTGACAATCAAAGAAACTATTTCATTTCTGCGAAACATAAAATATTACGTTAATAAGTTTTTAAAAGTAAACATTTACGATTATGAAGAAATTGAACAAATTTATAGAAAATAAGAATTATTACATTTTTACAACAATTATTAATAATTAATAATAATAAACGTAATTTATTGTACACATACATAGAAGAGGCTAGTTTACGTAAATAAAATAAAAAATATTTATGGGTAATTTAACACAAAAACCTCATAAAAGAAAAAGGTTCATTATAATTATGATAGTAATTATCATTATAATTAAATTTGCTAAAAGTTTGGTACAAATTTCGATTTCAAGAGAACCACTTACATTTCACTTACGAACACGAATAAATGCGACTAATAGAAACGTATTTAAAATGTAATTGCGAGTTTATTTTGTGAAATATAAATAAATGCTCTATTACTGTTAACGTTTTATTTACGAGAATCTTAGCTTTCCTTGTAAATAAAAATTGTTTCTAAAGGCAGCACTTAATTACATTTTATACAACAATAACAAAAACGTTTATTGAATATTTATAAAATCTAAAGGAAAAATGTATAGAAGATAGACAAAATTAAAATAAAAACGTACATTGTTCGTGCTAATTAATTTATCACTGAAATATTGATCAACGTTTAATTATTTTTACTATAAAATTTCAAATACGTTTTTTTTTGTTTGATTGAGAAACAAATCAATTAAAGATTTGCAATTTGCTACTGATATTTTGGTTGCAAATATGGCAATTCTGGAGTTGTTGCGTGCAATTCGAACATGCGTTATGGCCACAAGAGAACGTAATATCGGGTTTGTTCGTCAAACAAATATTGCAGCAGTGAGTGTTAGTCAAATGTTGCAAAACTGCTTGAATTCGCATCTCCTTACGAAACGTTTCGGATGAAATTGTTTCTCCATCAGGAGTCATCCGTGATTCTATGTCCGTCCTACACATGAAACACTTTTTGGAGTTCAAAGAGCAACTCAAACATAGCAACTTATGTTTGCATGGCATGAAAGTTACATTTCTCCAAGCTGGTTTGCTGCAGGTTAGGCATGTATTGGAAGATGGGGGTATTTTCCACTCAGTCTTCTCATCATCAATGAGAAATATGTTATCACGTTTTTTTGATATATTTATTTGATATGTGGGTTTACCTAATTTCAAAGAAAACTAAATTATTTTCAATTTCAAAAATAAATGGTAATTTACTAACCTAAGATAGGTAGGTGCCTTTTGTAGTATACGTTCTCGGTATACGGATTGGTTTGCTTTTCTCTTATCCTATTTGGCATTAAGATTCTAAAATATGTCAAATATAGTAAAGCATTTTATATAGAGCTTTCGTTATATGTACCCTGTTGATCCAGGTTTTTCGTACATTATAAAATAGTGTTTTAAACTGTGCTTGTCTCCGTGGTAACATTTGGCACAAAGATCGATAATTGAACATTGTTGACATTGGTATCTCAAGCCATCTATGATGTTGTTGCCTTTGCATGCGTTGCAGAAAATATTTTCATGCTCAATACCGATATTCGCATTATTAAATATCCTTAGATCGTAATTATTTTCAGAACCGACTCTGTACATGTTGCTGATATTATTTTTCCATTTTACCATGACTGTTTGATTAGTCACTTTGATTATAGTTCCCACACTTCCTTCACCTCCATCTAAAATTAATGTCAAATTAAATATTGTTAGTAAAAAAAAAAACTAAATACCTTCTGAACCCCATTTCCAGCACGGTCCACGGACAACTTCTGTTCCAATCAAAATCATTATGGAGCAATTTTCTGAATATACACTGCATGAAAGATAAAACTCTTTTAATGTAGTTTCATGATTTGAGCATTTTATCTAATAACTATTCATATATACTATTCATCTTTTTACCTGTTTTTTAATATATTATTGGTACAATAAAAGTCATGTACATTTTATTAAAAAAAAATATTGCAGATAAAGAAAATAAGAATGTACTTAATGTTGCATATTTCCATTTACTATTTCCAATATGACTTCCTAGAAAAATATTGTATGTCATCAATTTTACCGAAGGAAATAATAAATTAAATACAGCCAACAAAAACTGTTAAAGAAATACATTGATGTTAGGTTAATATATATTTTTAAGTGTGTAATAAAATATAGTCATTATTTATATTTAAAGTTATTCATGGATTTTATGAAATTTTAACGAAATATTAAGAAATATTGAAATACCTTTGCCGATATCTAGGGTTCAAGGTTCGTTCTGTGAGGAACTATCTTTTTATTCACTACGAAAAGGACGAGCCGGTTCTTCTTTACTGTATTTCTTCTTTCAGTCTTTTCTCATCTGATCTATGTTTCGTTTCAACTCTCTGATTAATCGACCGAGGTTAGCCGATTTGCCCCACACCAAATTTACGCGAGGCGCGAATTTTGTATATTTTAAAAAGTTACGACATTTATAATTATTTTTCGTTGGATAAAAGTGGATTACTTTGTAGAATAAAAAAATAATATGAAAAATGCGTTTACAGTTAGAATCCAAAAGTAATAAATAAAAAAGAAGCAGTGTTATAATATTTATTATAAAATAAATAATATTGGTCAATATTGTTTATAGGCTTTTCATTTTCTTAGTAATTAATTTTCTGCACATATGACAAACTTCAAGTCTTTCGGAACAGTTGGTGCACGAACAGTGACCACAGTTGAACAAAACATTTGCTATATTTGCGGTGCAAATACGACAATAGAAATTATCTTCAATTTGATACAACATATTTTCTAGTTTCTGTAATCTGTTCTCATTGATGTTAGGAAGGACAATATCATTTGGTGTCACTCGTTTCTTTATGGATGCGCGACAGATCATACAATTCTCAAACATTTCCGAACAATCTGTACACGCCACTTTGTGATTGCATGGTTTAAATATAATGTTTTCTGATGATGGTTTATCGCAACCTACGCATACGGTTACATCCTCTACATTCCACATTATTGAAGGAGTAGTCTTTAATATTTGTTTATAATGTTTGCCTTGAATAGTAAATATTATGTTATGTTAAGATATAATATGTTAAAAGTGTTAATGATTAGTATACCTAAGACAGGAAGATGTCTGTAGTAATATTTTGACCCGGATCGGTGAATAATCTGTTTTGAGGATATTCTCGAACTCAAAATGACGCTAAAATATTCAAATTATTAAATGTTCTAAAAATATATAGTTTGCCACTTACCCACTGGATGTCTTAGTTGTAAACAAAATGAAAGGATGATCTATGTTATGCTTTTCGGTGTGGTAACAAGTGAAGCAAAGATTGTATAATTCGCATGAGTTGCATTGATACTTCATTCCAATAATATTATCAGTATTGCAGCAATTGCAAGGTACATCCTGTTTTAGTGTGGTTATCTGTGAATTGTCGATGATCCTTAGGTCGTACATTTTATCATATCCGGCTCTGTAGTTTGAGCAGATTCCATTGTCCCATTTAACTACTACCACATTTTGTGTATCGGAAAACTCTTCCAGGACGGTCCCAATAGTGCCTTTGCCTCCATCTGTTAATAGTTAAAGTAATTATATATTAAAGAAAATATAAATATACCTTGATTTCCCCATTTCCAGTTAGGTCCTCTGATGACTTTAATTCTTGATGTAGTCATGGATCAGTTTGATGTTTTCAACTCCAAGTGTAAAAATTAAAGTAACTCGATCACTAGAGCAGTCTTTTTATAACACTTTCTTATCTTCCTAACATACGTTTATGAAAAACATACATTTATACCATTTATACTTTTAATATTAGATATCTGTGTTACTATTATTTTTTTATTGAATGTGTGTGCTTTAATATAAGTTACAATGGGAATGATATGCTTGATAAATTTATGAATGTCCTGATGCAAAAGTTCGATATAATTCTTTATTTGAATCAAGCTAGAAACAATTACATTGATTCTGTCCTCCGACAACATTATTAACTAAGAAAGACTTGGTGAATATCAATATTTTGTTCTTATCTCACTACCTGACAACCAAAAATTGTAACTAAAATGTATTTGCATAATAAAAATGGTAATTAAATAAATATTCTATACATATTACATGAATTAAGCCGTTTCGCACGTCTTTTGCAAGCTTAGTGATCGCAAATAATTAAAATATTCATGTCTTCCAGTTCATGGAGTACATCTTCTAGTTTATGCAGCCTTGCATATTCTTGATTCGGAAGAACGTTACTATTTACAGCAATTCTTTAACAATTCTGAATAATCTATGCATGCTAATTTGTGACATTCTCTGATGATGGTTTATTGTTACTCCGTTTCGTGTTTAGTCTTAGTCTTCGCAATTTGTTCATAGTGTTTACCTTTAATAAAAAAATGTTATCTGATTAATATTTGCTGAGTTACAAGTTCCAATTATAAGTATACCTAATGTTGGTAGATAATTGTAGTAGTACGAAGATCTGGAACGGAGGCCAGCCTTTTTGGAGCATATCCTGGAAGGTAGATTTATTCTAAAGAAATATCATCATTATCAGTAATCGTTGCAATTATAATTATATTTTCACATTTACCCAATTATTGTATTTGTTGGAAACAATATGAATATAACATGAGGCGCAAAGGTCGCAACGATACTTCATGCTAATAATGCTTTCACTGTTACAATCCTCGCAACACTATTGTAGATAAGGCCTAAATATGAATTGTCGAAGATCCTTAAATCATATCAGTTGCTATTTCCGGCATTATAGTTCTTCCAACTTCCTTGGCCCCATTTAACCATTACAACGTTTGACACATCCTGGCAGATGGTGCCCAGATTGACTTCGTCTCTATCTGCAAATAATTTGTATATACATATGAGTTCAAATAACAAGAAAAACTAAATAGTTTACTTTGTTCGCCCCTTTTCCAGTGTGGTCCTCTGACAACTCTGACACCCACAAGAGACAAAGATGAGATATATAAAAAAAAATGTGTCTTCCTACATCTGCCATGTAGTTATAAATGTACAATAAATAAAATATTTTAAATAACGTAAAAAAATANNNNTACAATTTCATTATCATAAAATTGTATAATATTTCAAAACATATTAATTAAATTGTAATGTATAATAAAGTTATATAAATAAAATATATAGAAAATGAGGTAAAAATATATTGTTTGATAAACTTTGTATTAGTGTAACAAAATGTACAAATTATAATCAAATTCCATGTGTGGAAAGTGATTGGTCGATTGGATCACAAATAGTCACAATTGAATTATTAGTTACTTTATAATTAGCAATAAGTTCTTAACAAAGAATAGTTATAATATAAAAATTTCAACTATTTAAATGTTTCCGAAAGTTCCTGGAATTTCTCTTCATTCTTGCTTCCTTCATCAGGCTGTACAGAAAATGTCCCAGTGTTAAGGCAAAAACTAACCCGCTTCGATAGTACCGGATGTAAATGAAGAGCGTAGCAATGAAGATGATGAATTTCGAGTAGCTGTTAACATCGGCAACGCTGGTTGTTCCATATAATACTATTGTAAAAGGTATTAAAAGATTATACACGACTTTGCCAAGACGAACGTATCTTTGCACGTCCGACATGCTTCTATGAATTTTGCTTGATCCTTAACATCGATATGACAACTTCAAAAAAAAATATAATTGTTTCTATGACTACCATTTTAGATAAAATCAACAATTTACTTTAAAGAATCGAATTTACATCAGGAGATATCCATGAAGAAAAATGAAATATCGATAAATATTTGAAAAATTCGCAAAATAAGATTTATTTATGAAATGTATCATATGTAGATTTAATTAGGTTAAATCGATTACGAGATAAATTAACATCATTCTCTTGTAGCAGAATATTACAGAAATATTTAACAAATTAATAGTTATTCATTTACCGACTGCCGGTGCAAGAGAATCAATGAAAACGTTAGCAAAACTTAGTGGTGTTACTATAGCAACGACGCTACAAACAAGAGTTATTCGTCTATTGCTTACGTTTCGACATTCGAATAATACAAGACAAGGAAAATGAGTCTTTTGGCGAATGGAAATATCAAGAGTGCTGGTAAATAAACTAATTTTAATTTTACATGTAAACAACGTTTTGATAGATAGGAAAGAAGGAAGATTGACGGAGGATCCGGAACCTATAGGAAGGTTAAATTGGTTGATACATTTAATCCACGTGCGAGGAGACGCCGTATCCTGCAAGGATTTAATACGGAATGAGATAGATGCCAGCCAGGGCAAAAATGAGTTTGCACACTACAAGAAAGTAAGTTTCATTCAGTATATTTTTCCCATCTTTATCCCGCCTGAACTTATTAGAAAAGTTGTATTACGTAATTCACACGCGCAAATGACGCAAGAAAAAAATATTATGCAAAAGTGTAAAGTAACTTATCACATTATCATCACTGAACAATCTTCGATGTTAAACATTTCGGTATTCAGGCGATTATCCTGCGGGAAGAAGGCAAAGTGCAGGAATCCCTAGAGGCCTTTCAGATTTGTCACAAGTTAGATATGGAGGACGTCGACAATTTAAAAGAAATTGGGAAGTGTCTGTAAGTTGAATTTACTTCCAATGCTTGTTTTTTTAAACTGCTGACCGGTCCTAAATAGAACATGTTTCCGTTAAGCAATTATTGTATTTGCAGATCTTCTATTAAATTTAGGTCGGTCCGGTTTACTCTATTTTCAGTTAAATAATTACAGTTCTTTTGTAGATTTATGCTAAGAAGGTATCGATTAGCGCTAGAAGCGTATTCCGAGGCCGAAAAAGTTGCGTCCAAATCGGATTGGGAGATTTATCATAAAATCGGTCTGTTAACAATGTTTTATATAATTTTCTATTCTCGTAATACGTATTTACTTTAATTATAGCCGAATGTTACATGCAGCTAAATGACATCAACATGGCCAAAGAAAATGCTAACAAAGCTATTAAACTGAGTCACCAGGAAAATGTTTTTTCTCTTTTCATTCAAATACTCTGCGCCGAAGGTAACTTTAACGGTGCCATCGATGTTTGCAACAAGGCTGTAGCGTAAGTGAATAATGTCATAAATTATAATTTATATCTAACATATACTGTATGGTTTTACTGTAAACTTTGTGTTATATGTCATCATAATATTTATAGCATTTCTGTATGAAACCTTAGTATGCAACATTTTTTTCTTCCAATTCACTATACTTGATCCTAAACTTAAACTTTGTTCATGCCAATATTTTCTTAATATTGCTAAAATTATGTTGTATTAAGTTGTATCTATTTTAATATAAGTACATAAAGAAATAATAATGCTATTATTGTAGCTAAAATGGATTAATTATTTCAGATCATGTCCAGATAGTGTGAATGTATTGACCAAATCAGGATTGCTGTATCTGAAAGTCGGGATTAACCAGCACGCATTCGAGAGATTAAGTTCTGCTCTCGCTCTCGACCCACTAAACCCAAGAGCTCTCCTTGGGATTGGATGTATCACACAAGTATGTATAATTATTAATTCAATACGCAGCTAATAACAACCTGAAATCTCGAAAATGAAGTGCCGATTTGTGTTGTTTAATACAGAATCACGCAGAGTACGATGTAGCTTTATCAAAATATAAAATTGCCGTCCAAAGCGATACGGAATCAGTGGCTTTGTGGAACAATATTGGCCTCTGTTTCTATTCCAAACAGAAATATATAGCAGTGAGTGCACATCGCAGATTGTCTTGTAAATAAATAAATATAGTTAATGTTGTTTGAATTTGCAGGCGGTTACTTGTTTGAAGAGAGCATTGTGGTTATCTCCGATGAATTGGAAAGTTCTTCTGAATTTAGGGTTACTTCACTTGGCAACAAGTCAGCCTGCGTCTGCGTTTAATTTTCTTTGCTCGGCGGTAAACCTAAGGCCCGATTTGGGATTACCTTTCATGATTCTGGCTTGTACTTGAGTGATATACACAATTTTATTAGTTGACTCTTTTTTACTGTTTTACAGGCGCTTTGCTTGAATTAAACGACACGGAAAACGCCCTAAGGGCAATGCGACAAGCTATAGCCCTTAACGGAGACGAGCCTTTGATTTTAGCAAACACCTGTCTATGTTTACTGCTGGCAGGACACAGGGAGGCTGCAAAGGAAATCATGAATCAGATCAAGGAAAATGAGGAAATCAACAATTCAGAGGTAGTACAACACGGATTGTCCTTTGTAGCGTATGTAAATATTTTGATCGTGTTTCAGCTGAACGCTCTGCTTAAGAATCTCGATATAACCTTGGACGGCGACGAACACACTGAACTATTGGTAACTAATAGTGGCAATGAAATAATTGATTCAACTGAAAATTTCGATGGCGACGAGGATTTAGTATAAATGTTATTACTTTCTAAATCTATTTACTATTGGATGGAAAGACCAAAAGCGTCTATGACTATGTTTGCATGTATATAATAAATAATTATTACATGTTAATTATGAATTATTAAGAATTATTCTTTTTTAAATGAGAACAAGAAATTTCATTTATAAATATTGAATAATCTAAATTATCCTAAATGGGATAAAAGTATATCAAAATTCTATGTATCTATAAATATTGGAATATATTTTGGGGTAATAGGAAGAAAGGTATAATTAGAGAAGTAGCTCAATGAAAGTTAACACTTTAAGAGATTATCATCATCGTTTATTTAACTTTTATGTATATTATAAACATAAATAAAAGTAACTTTGCATTATTTATAAATGGAATATAACGGGAAATATAGTGTCGTGGCCGACCAATTTATCATCTTTATTATTTATCAACATGTCATCTATTGTATAACTAATATGTATATTTATTAGGGCCATGACTTTCCTCTTAATTATTACAAATCATATTTAATGTTTCCATCAAATATACAAACGGATACTTGTACGTGATTATTTAGAATAACTTGTGGAATATTCCAAACGACGGTTACACATTAAATCGTATAGTTGTGTCTATTGCATCACCACTTAACAGCCTTCTGCAGCCCCTAAATATTTAGGCAGGATCATAAAACTTAGATAAAGAAACGGTTGTGTTTTCTACAAGGTCAAACCCTTACCTCCCACGCAATCCCTTTTTGAAATGAACACATTTTTGTGTTATATAATTTAGTCTTAGCTAAGGGGTCGAACAGGGAGGAAGTCTTACTTCGGAGAGTCCAAGGAAGAGCACTTACTTCATAAATACTAACTTAAGAGGAGAATGTAACTCTTAGTTAATAATACCTGAGATCAACTATTGTTTAGTTGACTTCTCAATAAAACTCCGATGTATACAATAAAGTTAATTAAGAATATTGCATTTAATATTCATAAACCCCTCTAAGACTCCGCAACGACATAACTACGAGATAATCCACGGTGTCCAAGGATTTCTTAATCCCGGGACACGACAATAGGAAATCAATATATTTTTATTCACAAAAGAAATAAATTTGCTATTACCTTATATGTATTTACTGCGATTTAAGAAAACACTTCAAACAATTTATGTTGTGATGCACGAAATAAATTTCCAATGCATAGGAATATCATGTTCTTCTATTGTATGTAGGTACGTATTTTATCTTTTATGTTTTCTTTGAATTGCTTGTTTATATCTTCGTGGAAATGTATAAATCTTTTCAGAACTACAAAGCAATCTTTGAGTTATCAACATACATCAATAATGTATTACCAATAGAAAATCATATACATTATTATCATTTACAATGTGAAATGTTTGTTTTTATAATTTCATTCACTTTACCAGGCGCATCCGCCATTATTACAATATAGGTAATAATGGCCTTAAATAGGTTCATTAGCGCAAATTAGGGCCAATAAAAATAAATATGTAGAACACTAATCTGTTATGTTTATATATTATTAGTTAACTAAACAAATTGAATGGCTCATAAAAACTATTATTGAGAGGTTTAAGGAAATGTATTTCATTGAATAGTAGATCAAACATCAGTGACGACTTTTCGCACAATAAATAATATTAAATATTATTTTTTCATGGAAATATCTTTTGCGCAACCATGCGCATCTCGTCTGGTCGAGAGAGGTATGAGCGTCGCGACGCTCCGCTCTGTAGTTTTGCTGCTGATTCACTCAAAACCAAACGTGCGTAGCTCTGTTTCAATTTAATACTTTTTAAAAGTTTCTGCTTGAATCAAGTGAGTATTTAAATTTAATACCAATTAGACAAAGATGAAGTAGTGGATGAAAACAGCGAATAAAAATTTATAACGCAAGAAAAAACAACTGATCTGTTTATAAGCGTGAAATCCAATAACGGAAAATTTAGTGTCAGTGATTACGTTATCTTTATACGGTACAATAACTAATAATAATCGTTAATCGTTCTTTTTTTCCCCATCTTGTTTGATGCACTTGACATTGCTGAAATTGTAATTATTTCGAACTGAATTTAAATCTTTGTAAACATGATATATAATTAAGTTACATTTAATATTAACCTGGCAATTTGTTCGAACTATGGTAATTAAATTTATCCAATGTTTGTCTGACTGATGTAATTGCATAATTAATTGAAGTTCACAGGCAGAAAGACCTATAGTAAATAACACTTTGCATCAGTGGACTTAAATTATGTTACTAAACTATCAATATAACAAAAAAAAATCTAATTATTACCCTATTCGTAAGAGAAACATATATAGGACTTTCAATAAAAAATTGGAATTGTTATTATGTTGTGTCCAGTAAGAAGATGTAATGTTATAACAATAATTTATATTTCGCATGTAATATACATAAATAACACAAAGGTTGATAAGCACCAGTAAATGATAGAAAAAACATTATTATAATTAGGGAATATAGTAAATAGAACATGATAATAACTATAATGGCATACATAAACATTTTTTTTTCATCACTTTATATAATTTCAAATAATTAAGAACAAAGAAGTAAATTTGTAATCTTGAATAATAATGCAATTATTAAAGGTGCAATGATATAAAAGTATTGAAAGTTAAGTTTTTGTTGTGTTACATGCAAATGTGTAAAAGATGCTTCGAAAATACAATTTCCTAACAGAGCTGTGAACTTTAATACCTCAATACGAATCTCTGAATACCATAAATATTCTATTTTTAATGTACTCTGTTATTTAGCAGGCCCCGCTTTTCTCGAATACTAAAAAAAATGTTGAATACCATTCGCATTTAACTTACTATAGAATATGCGTTTAGAAATTTGTCGCTCTGACAATTGTATAAAAAAATAATTTTGTGGTCTATTCTTTTCGAATGTATTTTTATTTTACTCAATTAAAATACAAATAAAATATATACACTAAGGTACATTCATTTTAAGGATCGTCTTAAAAAATTTGGCACTCGTGGGCTACTAAAAATAATGCGCCCCTTTTCATAAGAAAATACACAGAAGGAGGACGCCCGCTCGTCTTGTCTTAGAATAATGCGCCCCTCTTTATAAGAAAATGTGTGATTAGGGTGGACTTGTTCATATTATTAGATCGAAAACGAAATACATGTTGTCATAAAACATCTCATATTATCAAAAAAAAAAAAAAATACTGCTGCAATCATGCTATAAATTATTATTAATATAGATTATATAAGCAAAGAAACAAAATTAATTATCGTATTGTAAGTTATTAATTTATTATAAACTTTAGTTAATATTATGTACCATATTTCCCCAAGTATTAGACTCACATGTATAAGACGCACATTTATTTTAAAGCCCGAAATTTGAAAATTATAACATAAATTACATTTTTTGAAAAAGTCTAATAATTTGGTGAATAAAGTAATTGAATTTCAACATATATACTTATTTTAAATACAGGGAGACACTGATATTAAAGACTTAATGTAAATTAAGTCGACTGATTATTTTTTTACGTAAACAACATGAAATAGAGACGTTAACTTAAATTAGCTAAAAAGAATGTGATGATTAAAAACAAGAAAAGTGATGATCCAGAAGGATCATATCCTATATAATCACGGAACATCGCCTTTATCATTGTCACAGATGATTTAATCGACGTCGCATTGTCGGTAATTTCGAACCAGTTAACATACTCACATATGAGTACAGACATTTGAAATGATTTGTTATGTTCCCTGACGTTAGAACACAACTCAATGAACACAAATAATTTTATAGAATATATAAGTATATATAAATATAATGTGTAAACTATAAGAGAATATATGAATATATTTAAATAAAAATATTCAGATAGTTTTTCTATAATTTATAATAACTATTAATCGCTTTTCATGCGTTTTTACTTAATTTTAATTTAGAAAAAAAATCATATTTCAATATTTTAAGATCAATAATAAACTTCATATTAAGCTAATTCACTAATTAATATCCAGATGCATAGTGCAGTTTAAACTTAGCATCCTTATGCATAACTTCGTATGAATTACTATTGAAAATATAGTTTTCATTCAGGTAAATATGTAGTAAAATATATAACTATGTGCATCCTAATTGTAAACTGAACTATTATACAACTATTAATACACAAAACTTACTTCAATATCAATTACGTATAATAGTTACACGAAATAATTATAAACTGCGCGGAAGTCCATTTATAACATGGTTTGTACTGAATATAATATCGTGTCCCGGGGATGGAATTCTGGACACAGTGGAATATCTTCTTCTGGTATTGTCGTTGTGTAGTCTCAGTTGTAGGAATTTAATAATTCAATTGGTTTAAAACAAGTTTATTATAATAATTGGTACTCTTGGGGTTCTTTCCAAGACAATGTAGATACTTTTAGAGATTGAATGAGACTAATTACAAATATTTATTGTACTAACAAAGTTAATTCATATTAATATGGACGCAAACGGTCACTGTCTTCCGTGGGATATGTCTATTCTGCATTTTGGTTTCTAGTATGAAGAAGTACCACAAATGGTCACTATCCTCCGTGGGATTTGTCCATTGTGCATCTTGGTACTAAGTTGACAATACGAAGAACGCTCCAAACAATCACTGTCTTCCTACCTACTATGCCTACTATGCATATTGATTCTGTTAATCACCTATAATAGTCCTCAGTGGTACCCAAACTTTAGTGGTTGGACACAACAAAAACATATATACAGTGGAACCTCGCTTAACGAATTTAATCCGTTCCAAAATTTTCGGATTTTTACTCGTATAGTGAAACAGTTTTCCCCATATAAACTAATGTAAATTACGATAATGCGTTCCATTTTGCGAGTCATTTTTCTTTTGGAACGGATTACGATCGTTAAGCGAGGTTTCACTGTATATGAGTGTAAAACAGATTAGAAATTTGTAGTCTTGTAAATAGAAAATAGCAGGAAATGTAAACAGAGTCGAGTCGTTATTGACGCACGCACTTTTAATATGCCGACACCATCGTAAAAATATTAAAATATGTTCCTTGTCTAAATGATTACCTCTGGTTATTGTTACCTCTTTTGTTTTCGTTCTCGATGCTTGTGATCTTTGGCAATTGCTTTTAATGTTCTTCCAAAATACAACATATGCTGATAATCCCGAGCAGAACTTAACTGTACTTAATTACATTTTGATCTTAATAGTTGAGTAATGGATTTAAAAGTTTAATACTAGCTGGTGAAATTGCTGAATATTCTTAATAAATGTACAAACAACTATTTTTTGTAAAAAAAAGAATACAGATTTTCATTGGATAAGGTTATTGATGTTACCCCATTTTACAATTTCATCATACATTTTTCGCAGATTCTTTTTACAATTCTGATATTGCCTGTATATATTTCAATTCTTAAAACTGATAATGATAAACAGAAAGTAGAGAGTCGAATCGGAACCGAACTGAAAACCGGAAACCGATTTTTTAACACAACCGTAACAATTTTAATTTCGGTTAATTTCATAATCGCTTTTTTTCATGTATGCTCTCTGATGGTAGTTTGCTGGTGCTAGTATTCTGGTTTATTTTTGTAGACATTCGAGAAAGATAATTTTTCGACATTGTGTTGGTCGGTCTATTGTTAATAGAGTATATAAATAAACAATGTATAATAGACATCCACGAAGTCTCTTTGAATGCTCCGAATTATTTTTTCAAATAAACAATTACATAATAAACAAAACCATCAATATAAATAAAGCTTTATTCTCGTTTTCTCGAGAAAATTTGAATAAGAAAGGGCAACCACAAATCTAGCGAAACTGAACCGGAATCAAACCGAAACTGAAATTTTTAGACGAACTGCAACCGAATCTGTAACGATAAACATTTACTTGGAACGTAACCTTAAACCGAAACGAAATTAATTTCTGTTCGACTCTCTGACAGAAAGTCAAAAGTAATATTATTAATATTAAAAAAATATATATTACAGAAACTTCGGTTATTGGCACTTTGTTCGACCAAAAAAATTTTTTTTTTTCATTATATACAACTTTTACACTATGACGCTGAATTTGAACCATTATATTAAAACATATTTAATTATTTCTTGTTCTGTGCAAATAGTGGACCAATAGTGATCGAAATCCCGACATAGTCGGCATTTCAAACGTCGGGAATTTGATTGACGGTATTTCGATTGTCGGGCTTGCTATTGCCAGCGATAGTAGACAGGGGCAGGCAACCAACATAGCAAAGAAAAATCATATAATACTAATTACAGCGCCGAACAAGTGCGTATTCACTGTAATACGGTTTGAAAATTTCAAAACAAACTCAAACTCAAACAAAAATACATAAATGTATTGCTGATTTAGAATCGAACTATTTGACAGTTTAATAAATGAAATGTTAAACATTGCAAAAATATGATTATCATTACTTGTTTATTTAATAAATCTCTTCAATTGCGCTTTAATTTTGATAATGGGTTTTACTTATTAAAATGCTCAGAAATGCAAAAGTTTCACCTAGTTTGAATTATGAAAGGCTTCGTTGAATGCAGTTATAATTTAAACTTTAACTCACCTCGCTTTTTGTAAGGGTTCCAAACAATTTTGCTCATTCAATTTTTTTTTTGGATAATAATACCGCTTACCCATCGGTAATTCATTCCATCAGTGTATCTTGAGAATTCTGAAATTGTTATAATTCTTACATTTATAATCTTCAAGGTTTTTATTTTAAATGTAATTGAGTAGATGAGTTTATTTTTTCACTAAACATTTCATGAAGAGTTGTTATAAGTAATGTATTTATATTTCAGGTAAAATGGAGCACTTCAAGTTCATACTGAATCTGATATCTAAGATAATGGAAAATGCAACGATTTATAACGTGACCCAGGTCGAAGACGATAAATTGTATAACTATTACAACGGGTCCGAGTTGAATGACACAATTGTTAATGAGACAACAAAAGAGAAGTGCTCAAATTGTGAGAGTTTGTTGTCAGAAATAGCGGTCATCTACTCCAAGAAGTACCACGTGTACGTGTCGTTGATAGTATGCATTTTTGGAACAATAGCCAACATTCTTAATATCATAGTTTTAACGAGGAAGGAAATGGCATGCGCCCCAATTAATCGCATCCTTACCGGTCTGGCAATCGCCGATATGCTCATTATGGTCGAATATATACCGTTTGCGTATTATTATTACATCGTGCTGCCCGGAAAAATGAATTTTCCCTATTTTTGGGCAATGTTCATGCTATTCCACACACATTTCACGCAAATTCTACATACAATATCAATTTGCCTGACTCTGACCCTAGCCATTTGGAGGTATTTTGCTGTAAGGTAAATTAAAACATTCTGTTAATTTAATTTAATCAATTAAGAGTCATCATCAATATTTAACATTCAACTTTGACTTTGCTACCCGGAATCATATAACGCATTCAATTTTAAAAGAGACTACATATGTCCGCTTAATCTCGATATTAATTATTACTTCTAAAGAATATATTTAATTATTAAGTTAAGTCAGCGCATACTAATATAATATTAATTGTACGATGAAATCAAAAAAACAGTTTATTTTATAACTTTCAATTTTCGTACTTAATTATCCATACATTTTTTGCTAGATAAAGTACATTTGAATTCCATATAGAATCTAAATTTTAAATGCATAACAAATAGAATATAAACAATTCTATATTATTTACACAAATTTCAGAGTTAAGAGTATATAATTGTTTGCCTTGTTTCGTGATTAGTGATCAATATTCATCAAAGCACTTTGTAAACTTAATTAAGTGCTAAAGTCCTTTAGACGCAACAACATTGTTAACGATGCACTCAATTATTTCAGAAACTAAAATACTATTAAAAAAAATAGCTTTCAATACTTGTATTTATTTTCTGCTAAAATGTGGAACAGTTTTTAATTTTTATATCAATTAAATGTTGTATGAATTTTAATTTAAAATAATATTATATTTGAATTTTTTTTTCAGATATCCAAATGAAACTCATATTATGTGTACTGATATTAGGTGTACTTTGGGTATTATTCTGAGTTACATCTTACCATTTCTGCTATGCATTCCGACGTACTTCATTTTCAAAATAGAATCAACAAAGATATTGGAGGATAAGAACTATATACTGTATCACGTAGATTTGAGCGGTATTGCCAAGAAGAACGACATATTCCTTCTTGTGAACATTTGGATCTACTCAGTCGTCATCAAACTGTTACCATGTTGCATCCTGGTTGTGATCACCTGCTGGTTAATATCGACCCTAATCGCGGCAAAAAAACGAAAGGAGTTACTCAGGAATTACAATATGTGTTCCATGCCAGAAGGCAACAAAAAACGGACAAAAATCGAGAGACGGTCGTACAGGACAACCAAGATGCTTATTGCTATTGTCATATTATTCATAATAACGGAATTACCGCAGGGCATCTTCGGACTGGTGATTGGTATAAAAGGTGTCTGTTTTTTTACAAAATGCTATCAAAAGTTTGGAGCAATCATGGATATACTGGCTCTGATTAATGGCTCCATCAACTTCATATTGTATTGCTGGATGAGCCGTATGTTTCGCTTGACATTTGGTCAACTATTTAAACCGAAAATTATAGCCAAATGGGCACAAACCACGGATGAATGCACCACGTACGTATAGAAACCATCTTAGATTATTAATATGTTTTTATTTTATTGATATAATCAATGCAACAGTACGAAATATAACACACACACACACACCAATAACTAGAATCGTTGAAATCGTCCCCCTGTATAAATTTAGTTAACATCCGGAAGATTCTTCGAAATAAATATTTAATATAAATATTTTTGTTCGTTTCAGGTTCAGAAGGACAGAAGAAACTTCTTTCAATTAAATTAGCTTTGTCCTACATTCAACGTTAAATTAATATTCTGAATTGCACAAAACGTTCTATATATATTTATGTTTATATGCTATTTGTACCTGTTATTTTCTTATATATGTCTATATAATGTTACATATTTACTTATTAAATTATTGGTATTAAAAATAATATTTTTAGATAATTGTTATATATGTTATACAATCTATGTAATATAAACTAAATAATCTATTTGTCCAATGGAAACGAATGCAAGGTATTTTCAAAGTAATATCTATATTTTGAATCTCTATTGAATAATTTACACTTACAATTTAATTAAAAATAATAATAATTATAAAGATTACTGATTTATTTTTTAATGTCTTTAAACAGCATTATTTTTTATATAATATATTACTTAAATTATTTGGTAGGAATATAAGATATAAGTAGCATCGTAGGATAATTATAGAAATAGATTTAATTGTAAAGATAGGACGACTAATAGTCGAATAGTTATGTCGCCCTACCCACGATCTAGTGGGCACAGGTTCAAATCCAGGTCAAGCCAGGCCCTTTATGAGCCCTCTCGATGCTTGTACCAATGGGACCATCCTTCATTACAGATGGAGCAGCAGATTCACAGTCAGAAGAAATTGTGGAATCGCAGAGCATCACTATACTACTGAAATTGACCTACAAGACGACAACCAACCAACAAATTAAAATCTAATCATCTTAATGTTCACATTGATAAACAGATTGTGAATAAAAATACAAGACATAAAAAAAATATAAAGATATTCCTGTTAAATTTGCGTTATTCTAATGATGTATTTATTCGTTATTTTTCATTTTAGTTTTATAGTAAAAAAATATTATTTTAGATGATTTTATTTATTAATAAACATATTGAAGTTTTAATTGTTATTTCCTTGATTCCCAAATCATATGTACATTACATTAAACATAAAAATAGCAATTCACGATAGAAATGAAAGTGTTACAATACTGAACGATAAAAATAATAGGTTAAGGAATTGAAACAGATTGAATCTGTACTTAAATCTTGAACGTGAAAGAGTGTTCAAAATCTGGCATCTTTTCAAGACCGTGTTTAAACGCTGATTGGCTGATGTAGGAATTCGACTCGATGTCCATATCGTCCAAAACCTAAAATTAGCAAAATAAATGCAGTTAACTTACTAAATATAATTTGTTGCATTAGTTTATTTATACAATCTGCGCTATTTGATTCACGTCTATACGCGATTCTGTTGTAGTTCTGTATTCGGTGAGAGCCTTTATAACATGAACGATGTCGTCCAGACCGAGCTGTCCATCTTCGTCAAAATCTGAATAGTTTTAAAAATAAATTAATCGTAAAATACAAGTTGTTCTAATCTTATCAAGAATACGTTGATATGAAATGTTTGTTTACCGTAGAGTTTGAAAGCCCAGGCTGATTTGACCGTGGATGGACATCTATCGGACATTGCCGAAGCATAATCTAACAGATCCTCGAAAGAGAAGCAATCATCCTTCTTGGAGGAAAATACCCTGCGAATACGGCTTCTAAATGGATTATGCTGTAACGCATACTTCATATTAATTGAGATTCCTTGAACTCGCACAGTTTATAAACCTCTAGTTGTGGAAACCTACTAATAATTTCTCCAAATGCAATTCTATGATACTCAATATCTATATCATCAATATCTACAAACAGCTTCAGGAGGCTGTAAATTAGCTTCGTGAATTGCTACTCTTCCTCGAAGATACTACTTACTGCAGGATTTCCGTTCGCGTTAAGTATGTTAACTCCGTGTACTCTATTAATTTCTCATCGGTTAAACCGTAATGCCTACTCGACTTGCCTCCCATTGCGACTAACAATGACTAATAATTGTCCGGGTACAACATTACTCGTGTTATCTTATCAGAGAGTGGCAACAGGAAAATGTAATTTATCACGTTATTATTTTGTTGCCTGAATATAGCTCATTTCTCACTCGACACCGCAAGCGAATCCAACATAAAATCCAAAGTTCTTGACCCATATGACAAAAATCAAAAATAATGCGCAACCTAATTCCGATGCCCAGTGATTCACAACAATTTATATATAAAGTAATGAACCTTCGCTTGCAGATTTTGTGATGAAAAGTTGAAAATCGGTCTGAACACTAAATTAAATTTTATTCGAGTACGTTTCTAATTAAGATTATATTTATTATGTATAAAGTATGTTTATTCTTATCACTATTCGTAGATTTATTTTTAATTCAATTTAAATAATAATATATTTATTAAACAGTAAAATTACAAAATAAAAAAACTCAATACAATAATATAAATATCATAAATCAAAAAAGTCAACTGTTCATTTAAAGCTGGAAGTCTGTAGAAGAGTTTTTTTTTTATACAAATTTGGTACTTTTGTTTACAGTTTGAAAGTCTACTTTTTTCTACGTCGTTTATATCGATGAGAAACCATTTGTCAAATGGATTTATATATGCAATATAAATACAAAAAAAAGATGAAACAATTCTTGAATATAAATAATGCATTACAAAATTATCTAAATATATGAAAAAAATATTTGATTAGTTTATTACAATGTGGTATTACAAAAGCAGAACATGCAAATAATAAATTTCAATTGATAACCGAAAACTGAAAACTTAATAAATAAAAAACAGTATGTTTGTGTTTATCTAGAATTCTTTTTTCGTTTTCTAAATAATTATAAATAGCTTGTATTGGAATGAAACCCACGCACAAGTTACAATAATACAAATAACCGAGCATTTAGCGAAGACATTATAAATAGTCCTGTTCGTCAGATCTGGGATACCTGTAGGGACTGTTTGTATCTATCACAAATGGTGAAATAAATTAAGAATGATGATTTAATGTTTAATTTACTAAGCTTTATATTAACAGATATAAATAATTACAAATATATTGCGTATGTTGTACTCCGTTGTTTATCGTAAACAGTTTGGCAAATAACAGATGTGTTCGATTCGTACACAATGCGTACACAATGTCATCACAGGATATAAATCCTTGCATATTAATTTAAATAATATTTAATAAAGAATGAGGAAATATTTTTAATTATACTGAGGCATCATATTCAATTTTATTTAATTAAAGTTTTTATTTGAAAATTAATATCTACCTCCATTAACAAATTTTCCATGCAGTCCTAGAATATGACTTCCTCGTCCTTTCAACATCCTTGACACAGTTTTGAAAAGCTCCTCCGGCTTTTCGCTCCCTGAACAAAATAAATAATATATTAGCAACGGACAAAAGCAAATAATTATATAAAAATATAATTAATGTAGATTAATAATATTATTATTATTATTATTTCGTTTACGGACATTGTTAGAAATACCTGCAAAGGTCGTCGAAAATTAGATCAAGGTTTTTCGTTTTTATGAATAAACGTAAACTAAACTAAACTAATTGAAAATAATGTGAATACTACTTTTTTTTTTATCTATGTTATCAATTTTTTTTAATTAAAATTTATACAAAATAGGTAAATATATAATCGATAAACAAGTATTGACAGTGCAAAAAAAATGTCACTTGAATTAAAAAGAAAAACATTTTTCTCAAGTTTTGCGATTTTGTATTATGTATGGACACTGAGAAATGAATGTAATAAACATGAATTACTTTTGTTTAGCCATCCGTGGCGTCTCAAAAGTAGAAATGTTGATTTTATTTAGAATCCGAATAAGAGTTGGAATTTGATAGAAATAGAACTGGATGAATCATTAATTGGGTCCGACCTGTGCAGGTAAATGCAATGGATGCTTATTTAGTGAACGGATGCAAAAGGTTCTAGAATTGGAATAAAACAAATGTAATTATTATTCATTGGATGATGAAACATCCGAAATTAAAAATCGGAGTGGAAAGCAAATTTTCAGTTATAAATAGGAATCGTCGGAGAGTGACGTCTTTGGTGGCCGGGATTTGGGTAGTAGCAGCTTCCAACAAGACGCACAACATCTCGAGACGCCGTCCCAGCAGCTACAGACCAACTGAAGCTAACGATCAAGAACTTTTGAAAAGCAAGAAGGAACGACCAAACCAATCAAGATGGTTTACGAAACCGACTTCTACACCACCAGGAGACCCTATCGAACCACCCCATCCCTATCCACTTACACTATTTCGGTAAGTCAAACCACATTCACACTTATTATCGTATACTTCATTGAACTCTTACACAACATTAAACAAAAAATAAATAAAAGAAACCAAATACAATACAGTAAACATTGAAGAGATTGAAATCGTAGTTGAAAGTAACGCAAGATATCCATGTGATATAGCTTCGTAGTGTTTGGAATAAAATAATAAATATTTAGCGAGTAGTAGTTGGTTATTCTTAGCAATTTGGCATCCGTAGAGCAAACTCCAAATTTAGAGTCACGTAACCAAAATATAAACGAAAGTAAAGAGAGCAAAGCAAAGAAAATCCACCTACGCTTCGCGAGTGCGGCTTAGGTGCGTTGTGAGAGTTGGAAAACGGAATCGGCTGTTATTTTAAAAGTAGGATCTTGGGTTCGTTGCAGAAACGTGAGATACCGTGGGAGAAGGTTCCGTTCGTACCCCGTCCAAGATTGGTGCCCGATCCGGTGACGGCCTTCGGTAAACGCAAAACCGTGGAAAAACCAAAACCGATTGTGGAAACCATTAAAGCTCAGATTAAGCCGAAAATACTGACAGAGCCGCCGCTACCGTACGTTTCACCGCGCGATATCACCAGACAGAAAGTGTACGGTTATATCAAACGGGACGAGGTGTTGGATAACAAGGACCATCTAGACAACGTCCTTGCCAAAGTCCACAAGCGATCTGAAATGCAGAATTTACCATACAAAAGGAATCTGATAATGGCTTCGCAATTATACTGATCGGACAACGCGCCTTCAAGCATCGATGAAAGGCACTAATGCTGCTCACTGCGATCGATTTTTATTTGCTCTCTTTCTATCAATTTTTCTCTAGCTTATAATTAATTTGTGCTCGTCCAATTTTCGTGAACAACGCTCAGTATTTTTTTCATATTCCAAATACTACGTAGTATTTACAATATATGTTATTGTTGTCGTTTTTTTTATCATAATTAGAATTGCTAACAAATCACATATTTTTGAATTTTTGTTGTGATATTATCTTATCTGTGCTAATTCCTCAATTGTTATACACGTTACATAAATATTTACGCAAATAAAACAATGATTCTTACACATCACCAGTGGATTTGTTCTCGTGTCTCGAATTTTATGATCCAGTGTTTGCTGAAAATTGCATGGAATTGATCAGACAAAAAGTTTCCGTTTAATCCCCTAATCCCCGGCATCATTAGTTATATGTCAAAATAAACCAGAAACTCTTATAATAAAAGCACGTGGGTTGGTTGTTTGCTGTTGTTGTTGTTGCTGTTATTTTTGTTTAGTTTAGGGAATGCGACCGCTATTCCAGAAAGCATTTTATGCCTATAGAACAACAAAATATAAATTCCTAAATAAATAAAATATTTGAGTTGTTCCAACTGAAAATAGATTTGAATAGAACTGCAAAGATGTATGCCCACGCTCGATAAAAATACATTTGTTGCAAATTCGCGGCTGCTTAGATCATTTTGTTATTGTTCCAAAAGCTTTCGATTAGGTTTCAGTATACATTCGTAGCCGAGCTTTGCTTTAAACTTCGTCCGTACGGAAATAGAATGGAGAGATCCGAGGCCGCGCGTGAGAAGGCTACTTACTTATATACAGGACGGAGGAGAATAAAAAAGAAGGAAAACTAAACGACGCCGTTGCAGTCGTCGGTGTAAACGCCCAAGACAACTATTTCGATAATTGTGCCAAACGTTACTAAAAATACGGAGCGGAGACAATTTGCCTTCTGGAATAGTTATTCGCCACCTGAGTAGAACTAGTAGTTATTTAACACACTAATATGGAGTAGAAACTGTAAATATAGAACAGTAGTTGTGGAGGATGTGGAGATGAAAAGAGGCAAGACGAGGCGTGGTGATGTGGTGGTGCTGAAATTAAATCACGTCCAACTGTTGTTATTTATTCCTCAGAGTCCACGTTACTATGCTGTGCGCGAATCGCCAGAGCGCTCCCGTCGGGCAGCCGAAGAGCAATACTCCTATTCCTACACCTCGTCGTCAGACAGTAGGAGCAGCAACGACCCCTATTCCCGTCCATCAAACCGCTCTTACTCCACTTCGGAAAGCGTGAACCGTTCTACGGGTTATGGCCCCGCCGGATACTCTTACTCCAGCGACAGAACTTCCCGCAGCAGCGGCGATGGACCCGGCGGCTACCACTCTAGCTACAGCTCCAGCACTTCTGGTAGACTACCTGGAGGCACTTCTTACCGCCACTACTCTTACCGCGTCTAAATCGAACCTACCGAAACCTACCTATATAAACGAATACAGCACTAATTCAATGCTAATCAACGCTTTATATATTCAAAACTTTTTAGTCTAGTCTACTAAGGAAATTTATTGTAAATGAATAAACAAAAACTTATATATTTTTGGTTAATAAAATAGCTTTATACTAGTCATTTGAACTCTATCATCTGTGTATACGAAAACCGCTCTCTGCAAATCAAATTCCTAAATACCTTCCAAACCCTGACTTATCTATTGCATATAAACACTTGGAAATGTATTCCTCCACTTGAAAACTGAAAATCTTCCAATTTAAATTTGAAACAACAACAACAACAACAAACAATCGATAAATTTTAAGTACTATATAAAATGAACATTGTATTTAAATTATTAATTATCAGTTTTAAAAAAAACAATATCCTTATTATAATCGATTGAAGAGTCTGTACTATAAAAGTTTCTTATTGAACATATACTTGAACCTTAAAATGTTGTGTATGATTGAATTGCATCTTTCATATATATGATAATGTTACAAATTCTTTTACATATACATATTTGTTAATAATAAGTCGACTGTGCATTTCCATTGTAAAATAAATGTACAGTGGAGCCTCGCTTAACGAGCAAAATTAATTGTAAGAAAAATGACTCGCTTAACGAACGACGATGACAAGTCTCGCGCCTGCTTCATCATTTTTAAAACTTCTGTACACATATTATGTGTATTTTTAAATATGTTTCACTATACGAGTAAAAATTCGGAAATTTTGGAACGGGTTAAACTCGTTAAGCGAGGTTCCACTGTATTTGATTGGAACATTTGAGCAAAAGCAATTGTTGACACGTGAGAAATGTACGTAATTCAAAGTTATTTCTCAATCGTATTGCTGCACTATTTTCAGAATGCCCATATGAAGTCGGTTCCAAATATATATAACTTTAGTCTGTTTACTTGGCCAATATTCAGGAATGCACTTTATTTACACAATTTTATATAATAATATTTTGTGATTTTAACAGTATGAGTTCATTTTATGATACGTTTCTAATTTATTGTCTAATATATACGAAGAAATGTAACGATTATAAAGATGATAGACTTGTTAGTTATAGATTTCGTATTTGGATTATATTTTATAGATGTCTATATTAAGCGTGAAATGTAACACGACTACGTATAAAACGGAAGTTATTTTTAGAGATTATTCTGGGACTTATTTCGGGAAATTATGGCAAAATATTTTGCAAGCTGTCGACGCACACGAACATGAAATAAATTGTAATATACATTTCAACATTATATCTTCTATACTGAATATGGATAATGAATGGATTATTTTGAATATTGTCTGTAATACAAATATTGTTTTTTAATTTGATGATGTGTTGTCCTATATTAATGTGATTTTATTTCTTAGTCGGAACCCTCTAGACAAGTCAGATTGTTGCCAGGGCTTGGAAAGGTAAGATAATTACAAGCATGGATGTAATTGTCAATAACGTTATATTTGTGTGCATATTTTAGGTGCATGTAGTTCACACCTACGACCGCATTGTACCGTATGTTGGACACAAAAGGTTGACGGTTGTGCCCAGCTCTCCAGTTGTGGTGAGGCTGAGGCCCTCGACCTTGTACAGGGAGTTCGACAGGATTGAGAATAAGCTAAGACCGATAACCTACAATTCGTATACTAATGATTATCTCAACTCTAATAGCCATGTGGTAAGGTCATTGCATTTAAAGTAAAGCCTGTTCTTATATAATTCGCATGCTGTTGGAGAAAGTTAATGAAAGAAAGTGGAATGCTTGAGCTTGAGCTTATATGAATACTGTGAATGGTTCAAAAACAAATACCGTGAAAATTTTGTTTACAGAGAATTGTCTATGTAAGAAATCCGATATCTAGCAGCTATCCTACCATTTACCGTCCTTCTACTCTATACACGACTAGATACTATCCAAGTTATGCATCTTACAACTATTACCCCTCATATCTGAGCTACTACTATCCGGCTTATTATCCATCTGCCCCAACATCAAGGTTCTATTCAACCTATAGTTTCTACCCATCATACAGATGGACAGACTTATCTCTCTATCCTTCTTGGAGATACAATCATTTCTTGCGCGTAAGTAAATATCTCTCCCCAACCACTACGACGATTTTTCACACACGGGCACCTATTTATTTTTGACTTCGGTTCTTTTTTTTGTGGGATATATATTTTTTTTCTTAGTTTTTTTTTTGTGTTGTCCTGCTTCTCTCCGCCGTATTCCAAGGTATTAACACGGGTTTTTGTAGATGTTCGATGATGAGACAAGATTGATCCGTGCTCAGACGGCGTCTCTGCTCCAAAGGGTGCACAACCCTGTGCCCCGTAGACCGAGAGCTTTTCCTCTTCCTTACGTCAGCAGGTGCATTCCTCGATACAATATTTGCGTTTCAAATTTTACCAAATACTTTACAGGTATGAAGAGGTGCCTGCTAGACTCTCGAACGACAATTACATTCACAGAATGTTGATTTCGTCGCCGTCAAGTAAATCAGAGTACACCACTTATCACAGTGATCCAGTGCGAAAATACTTTGGTGAGTAATTAATCCGGCCGACAGCTGGACCAGTATTGATCGTATAATTGTACTCACACAATTACTAGGTCTAGGACGTCTCGCTTGCGTTACACTTGTCGGTGACAAACCGCAGCCTCGTCGTAGGAATGTTTACATGTACGAAGACCCCGTCAGGAATGACATTCAATTACTTAGTTACTACATCACCAAATTCCGCGACGAGAAGGCCGCCTTGGCTAAGCCGATTAAAGGTAATTGATGCACATGTATTCTGCTCTTTGTAATCACCGTCAAGATAGCTAGGACATCGCCCGCTTCTATTTCATCATGCATCATTCACATATTTACTACACAAACTGGATATTATTGAAAAATGATACTATTTTACAAGTTTTGTTTCTACTTACCAATTTTTGCCAATTGGAAAATTTATTATCATTCAAGCTATTTTATTGTTGTTGAACTAAACTTGTAAATAGTTATCAGATCCAGTATCTCATTAACATCTCTCTTTCTCTTTCTATTTATATATCTATTACTGTAGTTCCTCTTAAATTGTGTCTTTTTTCACTTTCCTGTCTCTAACAACGGTGTGTACTGACGTGAATGGTGTTTTTCCTTACAGCCGATGAGAGTGTAGAAGAGAAGCCTCACAAGGCAGAAATTACAGAATTGCCATCTTCCTAAATCTCTATAACCTCACGCACACAAAAATGAAAACCAAAAATGTATTTTTTTGTTTTGATAAAGCGAAATCGACATATTCTCTATTTTAACACATGAAAAAGTATATTAAAATCAAAAGAAATATTCCTATCCACTAATACATTTTTGCCGATTCGAATATATACTCATACTTCCGTTTGTACTTAACACACACTCTATATGAACATCCGAAACGGATCATACACACACTAACCCTTTACAGGCTACTACTAACACTTAACCGCATTAAAACAAAGACAGAAGTATGAGTATAATAAAAATTGTTAACGTTTTATTGATTATAATGAATAAAAAGTTTATTTTCTTATAAGTCAACATTCTTTCATCCAGTGATATGAATGTCTCCTAAGAGCTCCCACATCAAGACACCGAAATATTGACGAAACGGTGTCCAGTTTTTTTAAGCATGATTTTTTTTTGTGGTATATAACTTTTTGTATACTTTTTTTTATATATATCCTTTAACCCTAAACAATACAAAACAATAAATATTTTTTAAAAACTATATAAAATCCCTCAAAAATGCAACGATGGAAATTGGAGGCGGGAGCGTCAAGTAAAAAAAATGTAAGTTTAAATAAAAAAAAAACATAAATAATAAAAAGAAAAACAAAACTAAAAACGAATTACTAAAAATGCTATTCTTAAATACCACACATAATGATGACATACATTTGTAGTTTTAATTGTGAATAAGTAGTGATTAATCCTCATCTGCTACCATAAATTAACAAATTTCAGTCGTCCTTTCCGCAACTCGACCTTCTCGGATATTCTCAGTGCCAAAACCACTCGAGGATACCGCAAGCGAGGAGATCAAGAAGGTTAAGGAGGAGCGTGCCGCGAGATTTTCCAAAATCACTGAATTTGAACCGGATACTAAACCAAAACAGGATGAACAGTGAGTTAACGAGACTAGATATTATGTAACCGTTTCTTAATAATAATCATCGTTTAATAGGGTTAGGTCTAAGAGAGCAGCCGAAGCAGAAGCTAAAGCGAAAGCACAGATAGAAGCCGAAGCTCAAGCTAAGAAGGAAGCGGAAGCTGCTGCGCAAAAGGCCAAAGAAGAGAAGGCCGCTGCAGAAGCGGCTAAAAAAGCCCAAGAAGAAGCTGAGTTGAAGGCAAAGGAAGAAGCAGCTAAGAAGGAGAAGGAAGCAAAGGAAGCTGCTGCACGTGCCGCTGAATTGGAGAAACAAGCCGAAAAAGCTAGATTGGACGAGCTAGCCAAGCAAGTAAGGATTTTTAAATTTCATTAAATTACAAAATGTTCAAATTGTTTATATAAATTTAAGGCTGAACTTGAAAGGATTAAGCAAGAAGAGGAGGAAAAGGCTCGTTTAGAGGAAGAGAAGCGACGCGCCGATGAACTTAAGGCTGAAGAAGAAAAACAACAACTGTTGCGCTTGGAGGAAATCGCCCGACAAGCGGAAGAGGAAAAAGAAGCTGAGCTCGCCCGGCAAGCGGAAGAACTTGCCGAATTGGCGAGGCAGGAAGCTGAATTAGCTGAACAAGCTAAAAAGGAAATGGAGGAAGCCGAAGAGATTCGCAAATCAGAAGAACAAGCTGAACTCGAGAAGAAACAAGCCGAGCTCGATGAGCTTTCTAAGATCGCCCAGCAGGACGCCGAATTAGCCGAGGAGGCTAAAATTGCTGCAGAGGAAGCTCAAAAAGAAGCCGAAGAGGCCGAGCAGCAAATATCTGAAGCTGTTGTCGATGAAGATGTGCCACATCAAGAAGAAGATGTACCCGTCACTGAAGAAGAAACAACAGTTGTCGAAGAAGAAACTCCTATTGTCGAAGAAGAAATACCTGTTGTTGAAGAAGAAACACCTGTTGTCGAGGAAGAAACACCAACAGTGGAAGAATCTGAAGAAGTCATCGAAGAATCCGCTCCGGAGGTAAACGAAGTTCAGGATGACGAAGAGTAACCCGGAAATTTAATTTGTACAACATTTTATTTTTGTAAACTTTTATTCTAATCACTTTTTTTCTATTAAGCATTTACTTGTGTTTTCGTTTATGAATTCAGAATAAAGTCGCGATCTGCCTTTCAATTGAACGATTAATTATTTTGTGAAACGAAGATACCAAGTGGCAGTTGGCTGCAACAAAACTATTGGTTTTACAAGCGACGATTGCGGAGTAAGGGTAAAACCAATACGTCAATCGTCGCTCGGAATATTTATTATACGACATGATTCAGTTAACAAAGATCAACTGTATAAAGTACTGCTCACTTGTGTCTGACAAGACCAACATATATTTTCTGATTTAATATAATTAAAGCCTCAAACTTTTTGCAAATTGTACGTGGAAAGAAATAGTGATAATTTGAAGTTTTGTGATGGATATGAATAATCGAAATTGCGATATCAATGACTTGATAATCTTGAGGTAATTGACGTTGTATTCATTTACATTCAACTCGATAATAAACACTGCATATTGTTAATTATTTTGAATCAATTATTTTATTTTCATATTCAAATTATTCTAACCAATTATTTAAAAATTATAAACAATATTATATATAGATTGAAAATCAATATCTTGCAACTAATAATTCAAAATTAAATTGTTCAGGTATTGCAGAAATGGTTTGAAACTCTGATTTTATTTATAAAAAGATTATTTTAATATCATTGTATTTTTTTTATCAATTTAGTATATTTTATCACATTTATTTTTTTCTTTTCAAACGAAGTTTATATTATATTAATTCACAAGCATACACAGCAGACATGGATATAAGGTAATAAATTACAAATTTTGAGTTATCTTCATTTATTAATTGAAAATTATACAGTTTTTAACAACAAATTGTAATACAAAAATAACTTATAATAAGAAAATGTAAGAAGAAATTAATTGTGTTTCCTTCTTTCATTAATTCCAAATATATCAATTACATATGAAATACCCCTCGAATAAGAATATATTTGAAATCTAAAAATACGTCAGACAAAATAGCATATCGATTCACTCGATCATACGTCAAGTATTCGATTATTTAATACATTGATTATTTAGGAGGTTCCCGATGAAATTACTGCAGAGAGAGAAATAACGAAAGATTGAAATGAGAAGTGTACGTTGTATAATTCCAACCTTAATTTAAAATTACACATTAAACAAATACCAGTCTTCTTTGTAGATCTGTGGCAAGGTTATAGGTCTGAAAATGGCTGTCTACAATTAATGAAAAATAAAAACTCTAAATGGTATAAATGTGTGAACATTACTATTTCTAGTATCGTCGTGGATGATTTCGATACTGGTAAGGTGAACGAAGATAAGAATAAAACGCAAGAGAATGAAACTAAAGCCGATCCCATACCTCATGAATCCATACGACAGATTTTGGTAAATTATAGATGTAAGTAACTAAATAATTTAATATAATTTTTTTTTAAATTTCCTAGAATGAGGCGGAACAGCGAAAACTTAAGTTTTGGAAGTTAATTGATGAATACAGTGATGTCGTCGAGAAGGTCAAGAAGATTGAGCAGAAGGAACAGCAGAGTACTCACAAATCGGATTCGAACGGGAAACAAATGTAATTTATATAGAAAATTATATCCCTTTAATTGTTTAATTCGGTATGCGTTAACCTAATACAATTTAGATCTCATGCACTAAAATTATTTATTTTTGATTATCCTACGAATCGATTAGAAACAGAAATAATAAATAATGCAATTACATACAAATAAAATCTCTAATTTTCTAACTCGATTCTCTGGTTCTTGATTTGATACATTCGTAATGCGATATACTAGAAATCGTAGTATAAATATGTGCCACAATGTTCTATGCAGGTACCTTTTTTTAGAATTCGATTAAAATATTTGTATTATAATTAACTATAAGTATAATACCAAACATATATATATTTATATATATATATATATATATAACATAAATTGACTAATTGGTGTATTTGTTTGTTTTTTCACGTAAATATTTAGACATCAAGGCATACCTCATTCAAAATGTTTGATTCTCAATTCGACCGTTATCATTTGGTAAATAAATGATTATTACATTTTAATAAAATAATCCCGTGAGTTAGTACAGTTAGGAACTAAACAACATTCGTCGGGTTTTTCTTGCTTTTTATTACGTTTGGCACGAAAAAATATCTGGAGATTTTGATAATATGTAGTATTTTCCTTGCATGTGAAATATGCAATCTCTATATGCATACAAAAATAAATTCAATTAGTACTCTAATTTATGTTGATCATACAACACTGGCACCGTTCATCCTGCCCAGGTTCTTGTCAGTAATGATCCAAAAGTCTCCGCCATTATGGATGGCGAAAGTTTCTACCATACTTCGAGAACCCTTCATTCTCGGCGCTCTGTCCTGCATCTTCGTGTCGCTCTCCGAGATCAGACCGGAACTTTCCGGCTTTGCAATCGGCACCAAAAGGAGATCCTGCTTCCAATCGATGCATTCTTCTTTCCTGTAAGATGCGTGCTCGTCTCCAAATGTTGCTGCTATACTCGGAGCAGGCTGCTCATTCAACTGTTGACTTCGGTAATTGTGTCCAAGAAGAGTTAGGATATCTTCTATGACTTTGTGCACGGCAAATCGCAACTCCGCGTTCCTGTATCCGTATATCCATGGATTGAAAGCGCTGTTGGATAAAATTGGTAACGCCAAGTAAATCACAACCCAATGCGATAATATTGACGTTCCCATGAACACATCCACCAACATGCATACCTAAAACAAGAATAGAATAAGATCATTCGTTATTGCTACATCAAATTATTATACAATATAATTGTATTTAAAATGAAATAAAAAATCAATTACCTAATTTTGTCATGTACATAGTACTAATTTGCATATTTTCATTTATATATAGATCTATACACTAAACAAATAAAAGAAAATGACCTAAATTTGGGTCATTGTTCGTGATGCGAAAAATGGACATAAATCACGATTATCCAGTTTAAGAGTATTAACTTCGAATTTATTAGGGTTATATATCAAACTTCTTATAATCAACACGTACTTATTATTTTTTTTATAATTATTTATTTTTCTATCCCACAATAAAAATTCAATAGAATTTTAAATTTAATCGTCTGTAAAGTGAGTTTATAATGTGACATTTATTACTATATAAATATTTGTTACTTCCAGTCATTCATTAAAAGTTTACATTTGTAGATTGAAACTGTTTTTTTTTGTTTCTAGATAAACATTTGGAAAATGAATACTGCAATTAAATTGTTCGTTTTAATTAAGTGATTTGTAGATTAAATTTTGCAGTTTCAGAATATAGTGCATAATGAAAAGAAAATACATAATAACTGTATGTGCAGCATATAAATTGTCTAATGTGGGTGGAGAGACGCAAATTTCAGAATCTTACATAGAAAGATTTTTGTTATTTCCAGATAAAATCCTAAAAACTAATGTTTTAATTAATTTTCAGAATAACCAAAAATAAAAACGACACATCTTATTTTACGAAAGTGCTGATATTTATAATGTATCAATTCTTATCAGTAAGTATTGGTAAATAAAATAATTCTCTGCATATAGCTAAATATTAGGTCATAAGAAGGTTTTATGTGTTCTTATCCTTCACTTATTTACATGTCTGTGAAGTTTAGAATTCTATATCTTGTGACAAATTTCCCGGGAAAAAGTTACTACACTAAATCGTAATCCATTAAATATTTTAATTAATATGTATAAAACTTAACTTCTATACTATAATAATAATGTGCAATGATTGGCATGTTTCAATATTCCAAAATAAGATTGTTTAATATTTATTAATTTTTATTTTTTTATGTAATATATCTAAGTAATGTTATTTAAAATAAATTAAGGAAGCGAAAAATTTAAATACACAAATTTTGCCGCATGAAAAATCAATTCATTATTTTTTAACGATTTTATGCTTCAACTGAAAACAATTTCAATTTAGTTGAAACATATCTTTAATCAACTAAGATGTTTTTAATCGATGACCTTCTTACTGAATCAATTAAATGTTGTGTACCCATCTATTCACATGTAACCATATTAATAAGAGAAAACGTGCATTCAAACTGACTCGTATATAAATATATGTATATCTTCCGGATACGCATATATTGAGTATGCGCTACTATATTGAACATACAAATAATACAAGAAATTCAATTATAATACTCTTTTATAAAAATTGAAGCAGCCACAGAGTAACTATCTCGATTCTCTCTATTTTTATCCATCATATTAAATAAGATTATAATTGAAATTGTGTAAATAATTTATTAGATACACTACATATTGAGAGAGGAAAACAAATTAAAACTTCGATGTGGAGAACTTCACATTGTATACCGATAAAGTTTGCATATTTATCTGACATTAATGCAATCAATAAGATGGGCTAATTTATTACAAATAAGCAACTTCGTAATGGACATTTATGTTTTAATTGAATATACACGATGAGTAGTTTGGAATTTCCTTGTGTTCTTAATAGAATTGACTTTGATACGCAAACATCTGAGTTTTCCAAATAAATAAGACACAATTAACACAATGATAACAAGCAAATTAGAAACAATAAACTAAGAAAATCTTAATTTACTACATTCATAGACAAAAACATTTTTTTTAGTTAAACATGTAATTTGTATATGTATATAAATATTTACTAACAATATATAATGATATTTCGAAGTTAAATAACTTTTTCTAAAGATTTGGAAACAATTATTTTTATAATGACAGATGTCTGGTAATGAATCCACATTTCATCGTCAATCTATGTGACTAGGAAATTGTTGTAATCATGTAAATACATGATTTTTAGACAAATATTATTATAAAATAGAATATGAATGAGATGTCTACTAATAGATGTTTCTATTTCATGCAACTTTATCGGTGATTTCGGACATTTGATAATAAAGAGTAAAACAGTTTTTGAAAGTGAACCTACCTGAAATGGTAGCCATAAAGTGAGGAACATTCCGGTCGTGATAGCTAGAGCGATTCCATACCGCGGCGTTGATGAACTATGAGCGTAGTGCAATGAATGCCTCACTTCTAAAATGGCCTTGGCATGACCTCTTGCCACCATGTAGATGTAACCATAACATATGACGAGGATGCACGCACTGGGACCATACACTGCACAGAACATGAAAAGTTGGATTGGTCGGGCCACCAAATTTCCGAATGAGCAATGTCCATCGCTGTAAAATGAATGCACACATATATCTATTGTATCAAGTACACTCAATTTAATCCATACTACACAAGCACCAAACATATCCATATAATCGTTAATTTATAATATTTAATACACTTGAGAATACTTTAGAATGGAGAAGTTTAATTAATTTAATTATACTGTCGTTAGATTAGACATATAAATGCTAATTAGCTTCACTATTCAAAATATGCTCTGATATTATACTGAATTATATTCGTGTTTTAATCAAATCTATGTGTTTCCCCCGAATCAAGTTATTATCGTTTTTTGCGTATCTTTAGTTATTTTCATTGCTTTCAATGAAAAAACCGATTTATAATAAACATTCATCTTGTTATAACAATAGTTGTAACAATTTAAGATAAAAATATATTCCATATCAAACGATTACTTTATATTTTATTCCAATCTTTGTGTTTGATTTATAAATCTATGATTTCACTTACATATATTATTGATATTACTTACAAATAAGTTATTAAAATGAATGCCTTTACCAATCAATAAACAGACTTTATTAAAATTTCGTAATCGATATAATATTGAAACATGAATCAAAACTTTTCGTAAATTTAATATCCTCATAATTACATTTGAAACGGAAATTAAAATTTGTTCTAATCATATTTGATTATCCATAACTGAAAGTATATATTCTGCAGTGACGTTGGTAGTGAGTGAGCAGATGATTAATTTAACATAAATAATTATAAAAGCAATAAGATATTCAGTAGCCTTTTGCTGATTTGATGATTTTTTACTTTTATTGATTACATTTGCATTTAGAAGTGTATACCATTAAATATTGTAATATTTTGAAAGCACATTAAAACTGTCTAGATGAATAGAAATTTTACTATTTTTATTTGGCAAGCGAATACTGTTCAGCAACAAGTTTCAAATATGATGTAATATTAATGAAAAGCACTGCACGGACGTTTCAATTATATTGTTCAACACGTGTCAAAAGTTATTTCAAATCATCATTATCTGCATTTGCGAATGTTTGGGTCTGTGCTAATGATTAAATAAGTTATACTAACTATGCTTCGACGATAGCTTCGTTAAAACTGTAATAGCAGAAAGGTGAGAGGCCAACCACAATCGAAAAAATCCAGAAGACGCCGATGTACCTTTCGACTGCCGTGTGGGTAATCAAGTTGTTGTACCTCAATGGTCTTGCTAAGGAGGTAAACCTATCCACGGCAATAGCAACCATAAGAAGGACCGATACACAGCAAAGCGTGATTAGTACTCCATAATTCAGAAGGCACATTCGTGCACTGATGAACTTTGATCCGCACAACTCCAGGTACATACCAACTGGCATGAACATTCCTATACCTAAATCGGAGGTGGCTAAAGAGAGCACCAAGTAGTTGCTGGGCGTCCTCAGCCTCTTGAAACGGTATATGGAGATGAGGACCACCGAATTGCCTATGATGATAGTCGGCGAGAAGATGAACACCAGAAGGATGGCTGTGATGATTACCACCGGAGATGTGACTTTCATATAACTGGCAAAATTGAGCAACTCTCCAAAGTCTGTTACATTTTCTGCCGTCGACTCCAAACTAACCGTGTAGAAAACCAGTGCTTGCTGTGTATTGTTCGACATCAATGTATCCACCACCTGCACCTTCCGGTCCAGTATCCATCAATCAACACCTCCTGATCTTCTAGATCGCTCTCACTCTTTCACCTCTCACCTGTCTCGCCTCAATAGCTTACTGTTTTCACTACTGAATTTTCAGTAATTACTCACTGACAACTTCGATTATCTTCGTGGAGGCGGGCGGCGGCGTGTGTACAACATGTTGTCGTACAAACGCTCTTTCGAATACACTGGCGTCGGTGGCGTCGGTGGCGTCGCTTTCAAACTGCTTCAAAGCTGCCAGACGCGCGCAGGTTATCAATTCCGACCTTTTCCGCTCATTCCAAAAAGAACAGTCATAGAACAAAAAAATCATTATACTATCACACTTATCCTAGTAATGTATTACTTTTTCTTCACAAATTGTATTATAATTTCTCATAAGATCATTCTGCAATTATTCTGTTTTAAATTATTTGATCTCTCGTGATTTTTGTAAATATAAACATTTTAAATTAAACAATATTTTCAGTTATTTATTTAGTATGCTTTATAATAATATCCTTATAAAAATTGAATGTGAAAAAATATATATAAATTTATGTATTTGCAATAATCTAATGTTTGGTAAATATTTTCATTAACAAAGGTACGAAAATAAAAATTCAATGTCAATACTAAATCAATTAAAAATAACAATCACATTATACTTAAAAAATATTTGAATCAAGTAAATAAGCGAGATTACATTTAAAAAAATAATATTATTTCGGAATAAAAATGCTCTACTTATGTATAGATGAACTAATCTTACGAATTCTAAAGAAAATGTAATCTTGGTTTTACTTTTGCGGATTTAACGTGGAGTTAGTATAGATTTTCTTTCATTCAGAAGTCCGCGCATGATAACTTCAAGGTCGCTTCGTAACCTATCCAATACTGCTCGACTGTATAATCAATCGTTTCGAAGCCCCCAACAGTCAAATTATTTAATAGATAATATTGTTTAAACAATAAGACATACTGAATCATATGATTCAGCCAAATTAAACAAATTTAGTTTCAAGTATACAATTCGAAAATTGAACAAGATGTGCAACTCGTTTGTTCCTTAATGGTTTTCACTTTGTTTTTTCGGATTCCTCGAATGTTATATTTCTAATAATCTGGATAGCAGTGAGAACGTTTTATGGAAAGATGATAATGATGATCTACAAACACCCAGCGATATAAATGTTAGGATCGCATAGAAAATTAAATTATTTGCGTTAAAAAAATCTATATAGAAACAACAAATAGCAAATGAAATAACTCATTAAGTGCAAATTATTGCATAATAACGATAATTATAGAAATATTTTTTACTGAATGTGCACCGCAATTATACAATAACTTAAAACGTATCGTCATTGTAATCATTTTAATGAAAATATCAAACTCGAATATTTAGAAATCATATTTTTATAGGATTAAAAACGTCAGTTTTTTTTATGAGATTTCAATTTTCTTATTCAAATTTATATAATTTTTTTTGCTTGTTCCCTTATTTTTATTTCTATTTTGTCTTCTATACTATATTTACTGTTGTTTTTATATTTTCTGTATTCACTGCATTTCCAATAAATTAAAGATTTTGCTATAACAATATGACATTTTATATCTCTAGAACACTCATATATTGTTATATTGAAATTACAAATTTTACAGTATTGTTTACTTATGAAATTCATAGAATAATTAGTATTGATTCTGCGAAGGAGTGGCCAACAACTCCGGCTAAGTTTAATTCAATTAATGCATGCTATTTAGTAACGTGTTTTAAATTCATGCAGTATTTATGTTCAAATAACTCAAGTCATGTCATATGCTTCCATCGATCATGTATTTCCTCATTATTCAGCGATATTTTCGTTCATCAAACAATGAATTCTAATTACGGACAATTATTACTTTGTATGTATTATTAAAGTATATTTAAATTTAGTTTTTGGTTTATTTATAAGTTAAAACACTTTCTTCTACCGGAATAATAAAGAATCACAGTTCACTTCGAAATAAAAAATCAAAGAGGAACTTGGAACTAAAATTGTATTTACAGTTGAACTGAAATGTACAGTAAAAACGACTATTTCGTATGTTAAGTAATTACTGGTTATAAATAATTTCAGTAGTAATTAACTTGTAAATGCAACGTACATCTACAATAAATGAATTGAAAACAAACTTTGATCGTTTCGCGGAGATTTGATTTAGAGGAACAACAATAAACGAATTAGATCCACGACAGATGCCTGTTGGAATTGCAGTAATATTATTTGGAAATGGCTGAACGTTGAATTCACGGTTGTTCGAAGCGATCCTAATTATCGCACAGAATATATAAAAATAAATGCTCCGAACATTAAACACAATCAATAACAATCAATCTCGTGAGTAAATAGCACGCGTTAACGCAATGTTTATTTGCAAAATAAACTGTTTTGGTTCGCTAATATTTACAGGAGGCCGATTGTTTAATGTTAAAAAATATTAAATTATATTCCCTATGGATTATTTGCGACTTATACAAGTTTGGTGTCAAGAATATCTAATAATTAAAATAGTTGAGTATGTATACTTTAACATTGCAGTGCAGTTGATTATCACAAATGAATGACTCTTTTATAGTAATAAGTTGAAGCCGAATAATGTAGACAAATAATTTTGTGTAAAGAAAATAGTTTAATCAATATGTTCTTAAATTTATATATGCAACTGCTTCCCTTTTTAGAAAAAGAAACTTAGCGAATCAAACCATCTTCAAACAATCCAGTTAAAAATGTATGCCTTTTTAAAATTTAAAATTGATAGGTTTTGCTCTTTTGATGAATAAATAAATCGAGAAATAATTGGTAACTATGTTTATTATATTAATAAATACACTCGCAAAAGAGGGACAACAATAATATCTCGCTACAATATCGATTCATGTTATTTTACAACACCGAGAAACACGCGCGCACACTCACATAATTATCTTATGAAATAAGCCGGTTAAATGGGTTAAAAGAAAAGTGATCATAATCGTTCTCATTCGTTTTAAATCTCTCTCTTCATCTCCGTCCGCCTGTTCCATCATTACTCGTCGCTGTGGAAGATCTCCAAGCCTGTTTGCATTGCAGCCTCGGGAACGTGCGGATCCGCCTCATCTTTGTGCCCATATCCGATCTCATTGTACCTAACTGGATACGTTAATTGATTGCCTCTGTCCCAAGTGTACAGCTCCTATAAACGGGCAATTTAATTATGAATTCCGGATGCGAGCAGAAGCACTCACTTTATTTTTCGGATTGTATCCCACCATCGTTGTATTCCTAAAGGGATTAGTGAATGGTAAATCGACATGCAGCAAATTGTTTGTATACAAATCAAGCGCGAATCGAATTCTCGAATCCCGATCGGTCACACTGTCGATGGCGTACAGGACTCCGCACACTATGAACATCTCTCCGACCTTATGATGATTCAGGCTGATGTTCCATATATATTGATATTGGAAAGTGTTCGGATCCACCTTAAGCAAAAAAATTCAAAAGAATTATAATATATATCAAATGAGGGCGGAAAGGCTGCGGTCAATAGTTCTATATATAGATGTGGAAGCATATATGCAATAAATTATGACTTGATATAAATATTATAGTACCAAGAATTACCCTATATTCTTTTAATTTAGTAATAGTGCAATTTTATAGTTATAATCATCACAGCTCTGGAATGACAGCTTTACTTTTAGCTTAAATTGTGAATATTTACATACTTTCATGACTGCGGTATTATTAGTCTCCGGAACTCCGAATATAACCCAGAGGCCATTCTCGTCCACAGTGAAATCCATGTAATTGTTTTCCGTCGTGTAGAGGTAGTTTGATTTGTTGGTTTTGAAATGAGGAATGTGGAGACCAGCGGTGCTCTCATTATGCAAATGGAATTTGAGAATCTTTGATGGATCACGAGAATTGTAGAAAAATGAACCGTTGAAGACGACGTGCGCGTTTCCTTTGATGGGATAACTCAGGTTGTACCTCCTTAAACACAGAGCGCATATTTAATGGTCCGTCAAATAAAGAAAATCCTTCGACAAACCATGAATGCAGGTCTTTCCGGAACATCGCCTTGTTATCGTATCTGTACAAGTGATCGGCATCGTCCTCTTTGGTGGCATAAAACTTATCGCCGCCCTTATCGCAGGGGTCTCGCATCCAACTTCCATTAGTTTGATTTGTGTAGCGGTGATAAACGGGTTTACCGACCGCGTACAGCACGCAATCTGAAGATCCGAGCGGATTACAAGGCTTAATTATGAAAACGTAACAGTGATTTTACCTGTCGTGCGGTTGGGAAAACCAGAATACGAAATATTGCTGAATTGTCGGATCTCCCACTTCTCGATCAAATCGATTATCGACACTCCTGAATTGGTGCATTTTAAGCCCTTCGGCTCTAAACATTCCGTGCAGGTCACCGGCGGACATATGTCCTCGTGCCTTAATCTCGGAGGCGGTTTTTGTCCAATCTCTATCATTCCAGAATCCACCATCGGTGGAGGTGTCACCAACCTTGGATCCACCTCTAAATCAAAAACAATCATACACTAAAACAACATCGAATGTAGACCCTACCGAAGATAACGAAATGCCCTCTGGTTATACCGCGCTCGTTTTTCGCCACGCAATAATATTCAGTGAAATCGTAGTAATTCAAATGGGATATGTTCATCTGCATGTGCACCGTGTACCCGGTTCTTCCTATCCTATTATCTATACGATATTTATTCCCATTTTCCAAAAGATGCCCATCCGATCTTTCCCAATACCTGATAAAAATAAGCACGACAATAAATGGTTAGTTTTACTCTCATCTCTACTCTCACCTAAGAGCATCGGGGAAAGCCTCTACTTCACATTCCAAAACAGCCGTCGATCCATTCGAGGCTCCGATTCGGTCCCTGCGAATTCTTATTAACGGTATAACTGAAAAAAGTACAATTGTTAATCCCAGCATAAAATATAAATCGCTCTACTTACAATGTACTTCTATGATAAAGGACTGATTAACCTGAGGTGGAATACCATTATCTGCGATGCATTGGTATATGCCCATATGAACTCTGCTTACGAACGTTATATTTAACGAATATCCAGACACCGTCGCCGCTTGATACAAAATAATAATAATATTTAAAACAGTAAAAACAATTATAATTCTTTGTAATATAGAAGAATTACAAATTTATATATTTTGCAAATGTAAGTAAATTCAAGGATGCTGTAAGCATTTTTAACAACTAACAAAAAAATGTGTCAAGTGTGCAGTGATGAATTCAGTTACTTGATTCAGTGCAGTACTTTCAGGTGCTTAACGAATGCAAAACACAAGATCTCTTCAGTACCGCTCTTGAGAATATGAAATTCGCGCTCATGGTTGAAGTGAGAACTTTAATTGAAAACAAAAAGAAAAATATTCTAGTCTGGAAATAAATATCTTAACGCATTTGCTTTTTCTAAAACATGTATGTTTATTTACAATCCATTAAGCAAGTTTTTAGCGCTATAATTTTCTTGTGATGGGAAACTTCACAGTATCGATTCAATTTATAGTAATAATAAGTAGTATTTATTTTTAAGAATTACCTTTATGAGCAAACATTCATCATAGTTTTGATATATGATTCGTTTTATATTCAACTAAAATTTATTTTACTGTATGTTTTTAAAAAATAGCATTTTTTGTAACATGTCTATATATGATCTGATGTGTATTTACCTTGCCAGGGACCCATTTGAATGAACTGGCCGTTCGGTCGAAGCCAAGAGACTTTGGGCTTTGGAACTCCATTAGCCGCACAGTGCAGTGTAACATTATCTCCTTCGGTGATTACAGATGGACCAAAGGGCAGTCCGTTCTGATTACCTAGACGACGTAATTAACGATCAAACTCGTACACATTATTAGAAAGGAGGACGAGATTGGCAACTTGTTTTCGTTGTCCCCGTACCACGTACGACCGAAAGAAGTCAAATCCTCAACACGCGAGCAAATAAACATGATGGAAATGATTATATATCTCGAATCGATGATGGATAAATGCGCTCTTTCCGCTTGCCGGGTCGTTGGAATTATAGAAAAGACGTGCACTATAAAAATAAGTTTGTTGGAAAATGTATTACCACGTGCAAATTGAATAGAATCGTGAAATTGGCGTATACATTTATTCGAAGTAAATAGTATTACCTTATAAAGGGAAAATAGGCAGGATGCATTCACTCACCGGCGATTGATGGAGGGATGAGGAGTTCCACGCTTCCATTCACCTTGGTCTTCCAGGCGTTTATTCCAGGAATTCCAGGCGTTCCATGATTTCCTGGCTTCCCTCCTCTACCTCTCGGACCGGGAATACCTAAGTAACGGCAATAGTTTTAAATTAAAATATTCTAACGCAAGAAAAAGTGTATTATTTCAATTGTCGGGGAATATTTACTTATACAGTTTTCAATGGAAAGCGAGAATTATTATAACTCCCTATATAAATTATACAAGTCAGAAGCAAAGTCAGGCGTTACGCAATGACAACCCCATTTCAGGAAACTGTACCGTATTTGAATAAATACCTTTAGGTCCTTGAGGGCCAGGAGGTCCTTGCGGTCCCGTCAATCCGGGCCGTCCTGAAACCATCGACGAAATTCAATTATGCAACCGAATAAAATATCATAGAAATTCGACAAACCGTCGGTTCCGTTCCTGCCGTCACGGCCTGCGGTTCCCGGCATTCCATCTTTGCCGGAGATGCCGTCGTGACCGTTTCTTCCTGGCATTCCGTCGAATCCTGGCTCGCCCGGCACTCCGTCCCTTCCATCCAATCCAGGTCTTCCCTGTGTACCTTTCTCTCCCGGATGCCCGGTGTGACCTGCATAGATGACGTAATCTATTAAGTAGACCACAGATGGTGCCACCACCAAATACCTCTAGGACCCATCGGACCAGGAGTTCCCGGGAATCCAGTTTCGCCGCGCTCTCCCTTAGGTCCTATTGGACCCTTCGGACCCGGAGGACTCGGTGGACAATATTTTGCAGCTGCTATGCAGTAACCTTGAATCGAAGCCATCTGAAAAATAAAATTATTAAATTTGTATTCATCTGTTCACCATTTCCATAAAATCGTGTAGGCACAATTTAAAAGCTCTTAAAATAAAATAATTATTAATTCATTACCGAATTTCAACAGACAAGAAACTCGATTAAAAAACTAATAATAATAATTGATTGGCCAAACATCAATACATAAGAAGAAGAAGAAAAAATACAATTTATACATAAATAAATTTTAACATACAATAAAAAAAAATATATTAATATGCTGGCCAAAGGGTTAAAAAACTATTTTACTTTAATTGGAACTTTCTTTCGGTCTGGAACTTACTCAGTAAATGCATAATATAAAACACTTGTTTAGTCGTCTAAAATATGCTGAACTTAGTCTCTGCGCAGCAGACGCCGAAAATACTACTCTAATGTTTATATTTACATACCAGTACTTAAAGTGTTGTGTTTTATAAATATTTTAATTTAAATTTATTTTATAAGCATTGAAATTTTCGATATTTAATAACGTTTGCACATAACTTCACAACATTTACAATTAATTTAAAATAAGTTTTCTTTTCTATATGTGGAAATATATATAGAAAATAAAAAAAGTTTGTAAATTGAATGTAAACAATAATTTTACAAAACTTTTATGATTAAGTGTTTTTGAAGATTAAATTTACTAAAAATGTTGAATGAAAATTACCTGCTAATAATAATTTAAATTAATTAACGTGATTGTTTTTATTACTTTTTTGAACATTAGCGTTGATGTAAATTTAAACTCGCGCAAAATTTCCCTTGATTGCTTGATAAGGTATGAAAAGTGTTGGAATGTAGTTAAAATGTTCCTGCAAAGGTAATTACCGTGACCCGACAATAATCGGTAAGCCAGACCCAGTTGTCTCCACCTGGGGCAGTCCCTTTGCCGGTCTTCTGCCGCTCAATCTCATCGATGGCCTGCAACTTGGACTTCATGTTGGGTGGAAAGAAATCGACGACGGCCTCGTCCCTCATGTTTAATTTATTGGTGTTTCTTTTCGTCCTGCTGGAATTAACGTTTCCGTCGTACCGCAGGACATCCTTAACAACCCGTATCACTTCTTCCTTGGTCCCGAAGCCCGTTCTAATGCTCAACGAGACGTACCTGTCCACATCGGATTTGGGCACATAATTTTCCCGAATTTCCGCGTTTATCAGTCGGTAGACGTAGTGCGCGAGACAAATCTCTGTGAGGAAGATGAACAATACACAGGATATCACGCGCAATGTGTAATTCGGATTCTGCTGGATGGCAGGCTGCAAGCCCTTAAACTCGCCGTCCACCTTCTTCGACATGTTCTTTGCGCCTAGCGAAATCCTCGAGTTATCCTCGCATAGCAAGAAATGCCACTAAGCTGCGAACGGCGCGAGGATTTCCGTTCGATTACCACCACCACGCGCTGCGTACTACTGAACTTCAGATTGACTCCTCGACAACAACCGGTCAAACTCTTGATTTCAATTTCTTTTAATGCGCTCGTAAATTGCGTGGGCGCACTCTCCGTACTACTTATTACTCACACGTTAGATCTATTTCATTCTTTTCTTACATATTGTAACTATACGCTCGCATTTTCCATTTGATTTCAATCTCACATTTTCAAATGCTTAATCCTAAAACTTCATAAATACCCTCAAATTATCCATTATCCACTTAACATAAAAAATACATAAAAATATATCAGTTTTAAATAAACATATTTTAAACTATACAATACTGTATTGTTATTGAATAATACTACACGTTAGACTAAGACTAATGTCATTTTTCTATCAATGTTCGAATTGACTTTATAGTCATTACTAATATATAATGTTATAATGTTACTTAAAATAATATGTTATTATGAAATTTTTTTGTGCTTTGTAAAAGTTTCAGAATAAATAATAGTTTTTTTTTTCTAATAATTTTATTATATTATATATTATTATCGTTAATTTGTTTTAATATGTAATGAACAAGGACTTACATGGAATTAATTATAAACTTCAATATATTCGATACAACATCATTAGAAAGTAATTTCTTATATAATTAAAAAATAATGATATTTTATTCAACAACAACGCTGCTTAGTAAAAATCTTAAGTTACAATCTGTTTTAGTTGTAACATAATATTCAAATTATTTAAATTATTAGTTAAGTAATCTTTAGGATTAATTTATAAATTCGTTGAATCCATCAAAATGGAGAATACTTCCGGTAGTTTTACTCCTTTCAATTTAGGTGTTAATTATTTATATCTTAAGTAACCTTTCGTAGAAATAATGTATATCGTCATGTGGGGAATAATTGGACAAAGACTGTCCAGAAGTGATGTTTGATGGCTGAAAAAGAATCATCTTGATGGCATATCAGGATCCGAATGTGCGCAGACGAGTATATTCATTGTTTATGTGCAACAAGTTCAACAGGATATTCAAAATGAACGACAGAATTGTACAATTTTGCAAGGAATTACCAAAAATCGTAAGTCATTTATGTCATTGGTCAATTCAATTTGTTGTTAAGACTTAAGTAATTTTAAATAAATATAACATAACCTATAAAAAAAAGCATCTTTCTTTGATATCTACAATTGCATCTTTGAATGATGTATGTTTTTTTTAATTATTACATAACATAATTTGAATGTGGCTAATTCTTCACTATAGGTAACTTGTAGTAAATTAACGGACACGATGATCAATTTGGTCCTTGATGATAGACTTTTGGGACAATGGGCTAATAATATATAGATATATTTTTATCAATAAACATATATATCCGTAAAATTGTATGTCTGGTAATTTTGCCCAGTTGCCCAATTATATGTTATTGAAATTGTCTAAGACTCAATACATATTACTATTGAGCATTTCGTTGCAAGGTTTGTTTATGTTCAGGAATTGCATGCTCATCTGAATGGATCGCTGAGCAAGGAAACCCTGATGACGCTGGGATGTCTGGAGAAGTCCGTATCGGAATACCAGAGGCTTTCGAATCTATACGATAAATCCAGACGGTCCTTAGAGGAGTGCTTTGAATTATTTGGAGTGGCCCATGGAGCAACTAAAAATAAGGCCGCAGTGTATACAGCAACGACATGTGTTATCGATGAGTTTTATAGAGATAATTGTATATATTTAGAACTCCGTACCACGCCGCGAGATGAAAGAGATATGTCTAAACAGGAATACGTCGAGACTGTTGTTGCTGCTATTCTGGATAACAAAAACGATATGATTGTGAAACTGTTACTGTCGATTGATCGCAGACACGACTTGGATGCCAGTAATGAAGTCCTTGAATTGATCTTGCGAATGCATGCCAAATACCCGGAGATCATAAAAGGTGTCGATCTTTGCGGCAATCCCAACGAGGGAACATTTCCTTTACAGATTTTCCAGAAAGCCAGACGAGGAGGGCTTAAGATCACCCTCCATTGCGGCGAGGTGGACAACGAGCAAGAAATTCTGGAAATGTTGAAATTTTCTCCTGATCGCATCGGTCACGGGACCTTCATTCGCGGCAACAGCTTCAGCATGTACAAGGAGCACAGAATTCCGTTGGAGATTTGCTTGACTTCCAACATCGTGTGCGGAACTGTCGTTTCCTACGAACAGCATCACGTCAGAGAGTGGTTGAAAGAAAAGTTTCCGTTTTCTATTTCGGTGGGTCTTCTGCGGAGCCAAAAGTCGATCATGAATAATTCGATATTCTATTTTTAGACCGACGATAAAGGCGTATTTTGCTCCAATCTCTCCAACGAATATTACTTGGCGTCAAAGCACTTCGGCTTGAACGAAGATGATTTATATGCGATCACCAGAAATGCCGTGGACCACAGCTTCGGAAGCGAAGTGGAAAAGGAGATTCTGGGCAGAAACATCGATAGCTGGTGGAGGAAACATACTTCACCTTAAACGACACTTTATTATTTTCTTTAATATATATTTACACTTGTTCTTTCAGCTTAAAATTATCACAAATACAATTTCATTGCAAATTGAGATAATAACAGTATAGTCAAATTACCCGTTTTATGTTTTAATCCTATTAGATGTGAATTCCAACAAAAGTACATCAACACTACAAACTGATTTACTGACATGGTCTGTATAAACCATTGCCATATGGACAATATCTGTTTTTAAAGGAAAAATCTTGTTAATAAGATTTTCTTATTATATTTCATTTTCTTTCTACATTACACAACAAATCTTTGGAAGAATTAAAGCGCTACATTACAAAATTCACATAAATTATATTATTGGGCCTTTCTTTAAAATTTCAAATAATAAATGCAAAAAACTAAAAAATTGTACTTGTTCTCATAACAAATACAATATATATAAATAAGTAGTTATCATATATTATGTTTTATTACTATTTGTTACTTAAAGAAAATATTAATTGGACATAATCATGAATAATCATCAAGTCTTAATATAATGGTTACACTTATGCCATTAATACATGAATGTGTACAGTATATTAATTGTAAGAAGAAACTGAAATTTTAATTAACGTTAATTCATATTACGGATGACAGTTATTTCGGTCAACGACAAAAAAAAATATTCTGAATAAAATTATTTAAATCAAAGCTACCAATAAGTGTCAAATTTGTCACAGTCAATGTATAAGCGTATTATATTATTTTTTTTATGGAATTGTCGCTGTCCAACAAACATCTAGTATATTTCGGTTTTCACAAATAAACGTAGTAGAAATTATTTAGAAATATTCATTTATTACTTGAAAACGTCATAATGAATAGTTATTTTAGCGATTCGCTTTCTATTAATATTCAAAATTCACAGCTACATGCATATTAACTACATCCTAACTAATAAAATTATTTGTTTTAAAATTACGCGTATATTTTAATATAATCATAACAATACAGGAAATTAACGAAAATTAAATGCGAAACAATGACTTGGCATTTTGCGATCATATATTAACTATTTGATATTTACGTTATTCAGTACTCTTTGGTTGGCTAAAATAAATGTATAAATATATTTGTATATTTTCTATTATTTACGTTAAAAAATATAACTCTCAATTTGAATATACCAATAGTGTTGCAATCGTATTTCTCTTCTTTTGATTTTGCAATACTTTTTTACTTTGTACACGCTTTGTAAGTAACTTTAGAGGTATATGCTGTATGTCCTATAATATTTTGCTTGCGTGATATTTATTGATTTTATATTCAAAGATTATTGCCATTAATATTATTAGTGTAAAGCGTATCTGTTAACTATTATTTATTAAGATAATAAAAGATAGATTTTCGCATACTAATATCCGCAAACGAAACTGACTGAAAATATAGATTTGTTCAATTTTTTTCCCACATAAACGTATGTTTATGCAATAAAAATCCTATGTGTTTGCTTGTTTATCCGACAATGGATAAGCTTATTATATAATTTCTATATTGTGCTTTAATATTGCCTCGTTACGATATAGTTGTACTTTCCAATCAATGTCAGCATAACAGCGTAAGGCGGTAACCACTCGAATTTCGAGTGAAATGCTGGTGAGCGACTTTATAATTATTATGGGTGTAACTATAGAAATACAATTTTTAACATCATAATGCAGTTAACAACTTAAATTAAAATGCTTTCAGCAAGATAAAATGTAAGCGATCAGCATATTTAAATTCTCTGTATGCGCCAATCAAGAAATAACAAGAAACAGAACACTTTAACAAATAAAATATTCAAACATTGAGTTTTGTTTTAATGGGATAAATTAGATGATTACTAAGCTGATTTAAGTAGAGAACACATCTGCGGAAATCTGATTATAACAACTTTTCAATATTCATAACAATCAGAAAATTGTACCCTTTTGTGCATAGAACTTTGAATCACTGACTAACAAAAATTGACTAGAAAATATATTTTAAATAAATTACTATAACTAAATGATTCCTCGCAGAGTACCTAGAATTTTTGAGACAATAAATATTAACGAGAACAAACACATACACATATATAGAAAAAATGACTAGTATTTCGCAAATTGCACTTGAAGTAGAATAATATTGTAAAGATACCAGTATTAAAATAAATTAATTAGCAAAAGAATGGAATGGATAGATAAATACGGTGCTCCATCTGTAAATTGAATGCTTAAAAAGTAGACTAAAATTGGGAAATAATGCGAAACAAATAACGATTTATGTACTGTAATTCGTGTTGCGTTTTCGTTTGAAAACCAACGCGAATATACTCCTCAGCCTCCACCATTTGCTGTGCCGTTTGGTCTTCTTTCCCGATGGCAATCCCATCCCTAGTCTCTCTTTGGTCCTAATTTCCCTGACTAACATGTGAAATGCATCGTCGACGAATGTACGCAACGCAGCGGAGGTCTCGTAGAAGGGACAACCGAACTGGCGCGCAAGCAGCATACCTTCCTCAGTTGTTACCTTCCTTTGTACCTGCAGGTCAAACTTGTTCCCGACTAGTACTAACGGCGTATCCTCGCTGGCCCTGACCTTCTGGATAAGCTTTCTGTACTCCAATGCCTCCTGAAAGCTGTGTCTGTCCGTCACGCTGTAGCAGATCAGGAAACCTTCGCCGCACCGCATATATTGGTCGCGCATCGCCGTAAACTCCACCTAAACAATAATAACCGCTGTAGATGCCGAGAGCGGGTGTTATATAAATTTACCTGTCCTGCAGTGTCCAGTATATCCAGCAAAGCAGGCTCTCCATCAATAACCGCCTGCTGCTGATACGAGTCCTCTGCAAAACCATCATCATAGTTAAACAAGATCGATATTCAGAATTTATGCATTCATACTCACCGATTGTCGGATCATGGTACTCCAGGAAACTGTGGCTCACAAATTGCAGAGTAACGGCTACAAAATAAAGAAAATAATAATTTTGAAAATTTTCAAAGTGCTCTGAAAACATGATATTTCCATTTTTTTCAAATTAATATTATAATTCAGAGGACATAAGTTCATAACAATTGACGTAATTGTATAATATGAAATGGAATGTTTGTCAATCAGTTAAGACTAAATAAAAAAAATTGGGTATTTTGGTCATACTTAGGTACATTTAAGAAATTAAAAAATAGTTTTGGTTAAATATTTAATTAATAAAATCATAAATGTAAGTATTTTTGATATTGTTTAAATAGTTTTAAAAAAATATAGTCATTTGCATAAATAATAGTCACACTAAAGGAATGTTAATTGAATCATACTTATACTATTTTTGTATGATTCAAGTGGTGTTCATTTAACCTCTGACATAAAACTAATATATTATCTTTAATTATATAAGACACATATGCATTACTTATCAACAAATATGATATCAATGTGAATTTAACATAGTTGTAATGAATCTATATTCATCCATATGTATTTATTAAAATGATATGTATGCACCTATTTCTTTACATATTTATTAACTGCATATGATTTGCTAACATAATATTATAGTTAGGAAATAAATAGAATGACTACAGGATAAATTGTGATTGAACAAAGATAAATAGCTAACCAGATTTTCCTACTCCTCCATCACCAAGCACCACAATCTTGTATATTCGAATACCACCTCTGGTTGTCTGTGGTCCGGCAAGGCTCACTGAGCCCCTACTATCCACATCAATCTCAGAGTCCTTTCCAGATCTACTAGATCCCTGCCTAGAAAATTTATTTCTCCTTTTATTGCCACTGGTGCATGCCTCACCGGCCATAATATGCCTGTTCCGCAGATTTAGTCCCTTTAAGCACTCCAATACGAACACTTTAATTCAAACGGTCAACCAGGAAAAAGAAAACAATCTTCTAATTTCTTAGGTCGAAGCTAGTATTTATAATTCTTCGTAGTATTTTAAGGTTGACATGTTTCGTTAGAAATTATGTTACACTACACGCACCAACGCACGTATTAAACTAAATAAACTGTGGTTGCGCGGCATCTATCCAAATTATCCAGAATTGTCGCTGTTCAAGTTGCCTACCATCAACCAGCTTTTTTTCATATAAGAATTTTGTATTACCAGCGAACAAGCATGAACAACATTCTGCGATGAATCACTTCAAGAAATAGAGCTTTAAACTACTTTAATGAAAAGAGTCATCGGCAATATTGTCACACAATCGAAAGAAATGTTTTTGAAACTAATATACATATTTTATTACACTAATTAAGCTGCATAAGATTTTCGTTAGTGCCATGAGGCGCCTCGATTATTAAAAACTGTATTTTTTATAATTAATTAAATTTATTAATTTTCAAGTATTCGCGAGCGCCCCTGTATTATAACATTTTTACTATACATCGTACTGTTTAAAACAGGACTAATCGAGAACTTTAAATCGCCATAAAAGTAAACAGCACAAAAAGATACTAGTCTGTATAGATAAAACATCATATTTTGCTTGTTTTGATTTTTTCAAACCATTGTATAGTGAATCCGAACTATGCAAAGTACAACTGTACTGCTTTCAGTTACACAATAAATCTAATTGCAAGTATATAAATATTATATATTGTCATGATATATATAAGGTACTTCTGAGCGAATATTGACGGCCGCCACCAAGACGACTCCTGCTACAGTAGTACTGAAAATATTTAATCTTTAAAATGTTTTTCAATTCTTTCTTCCTGAAAAGTGACTTCCAATGGTAGGTATAATTGGGATTTTAAATTTTATTTCAAGAAAGTACTCAATTCAAGTAATTTTATTTGTTTATGTTCTACGAAACAAAATTGGTTCTAATAAATTAAATAGTTTTCTATATATACACTGTAAACCAATGCATCGTCATTTATTTTCTATAGTTTGCTATGATCCTTTTTGTTAACACATATTGCACACGATACACGTAATATATATAGAGAGAAATAATAGAACTGCATTTGCTTTCATATATTATAGTAACGTAAAATACCATTAAATAGTTTAAAATCCATCAAGTAACAAAGTTTCTTGTAACAACCCCATCGTTGTTACCTAAAAAATCATGGTAAGTAATTGGTTAGTCTTATTTGGTATACATTTGAACTCACTGAAAGGAATTAAAAGATTTCAGTCACGATAAGTTTCTTCTTTTATTATAGACTCCATTTGTGTGCAATCAAATCATCCAGAGCTTTCTTTAAGTCCTCCGAATTGGAATAGCCTTGCTCGTCTAGCTCTTTCCACTTCAAATAGTTGTGGCGCATGTTCGTAATCAATTCTGGCATATTGATAAAAGCTAAAATTGCATATTGTTAGAAACTGGAATGGAAACTTGCATAATGGTTACCATTCCATGCATCGATCATGTCGTTTATGATGAAATCAATGAAGCCGACTTGTGATTTAGGTATGGAACAGGTGGTCCTATCAAACATGGGCATTACCACTGGTAAACCCATCATCTTTTCGTCGTCCGTCTGCTGGAAATACTCTTCGGCGATTCGCCGTGACCACTCCAGACAGATTGCCATGGGTCGAGTAGGATTTGAGACGTCTGCACATTTTATCATTATCCTTTTGACTAAAGTGATATTTTCTGCTTGCAATATTTGAACGGCATCACTTCCTCCATCAGGCTGAAAAATAAACGACGAATATTCGAAATATCGAATCAACAAAGTTTACTCACATCGTCAGGTCCGGTTTTCGAACAAAATACATTAACAAACTTTGCCAAATGCTCGAAATGCTTTGTCATTTCTGTTGCTAAAATCATATCTATCACATTATACCTAGCAATTTTATAAGAATCCCTATCTAAATTCTTAAATATATTGCATTTTGGATCACCTGCAATAAAAGGAATGTATAAAGTAATCTTCTTTTTTATATAACCATTACCTAAAGTTAATTTAAAAGTTAGTGCAGAGTGGTGCGATTCAAGAACAGTAACATCATTGTACAGAATAGCAAGAGGATCACTGCTGTTGGACAAAAACGCACTGGATTTACCAGGATGGTCAACGTCATGTGCGGCCGCAGCGATCAATGCAGTAGCTTCATCCATAGGATCCATGATATCCTTCATTCGGTCTTTCTCTAAGAAACCAGCTACCGCCTGTAATACGAAATACACCAAATATAAACCTGCATTAATCTATCATATTTATAATATAACCTGCATGACGTCAGCGGCATGCGTGGAATTGTGATAAAAATTATTTTTGTGATAATTCGCTTCAATTTTTAATAGCCAATTCGAAAGTGTGGTTTCGTCTATTTGCAACGTGCTAGCGACATCAAAGTGTGTGAAGATTTTCAGTCCCAAAAATAGAAGACTCCTCTTTTCGGTCAGATCCTCTAATCTAAATATGTCGAAATTCCAGTCCAAGAAATTCTCCAATAATCTGTCAATATGATTTGATGATGGTTGGTTCTGAAATGTACATATTAAATGATGTTCTACCGAATCATAGTATTGGTACCTTCATTTTGATGACTCCTTTAGACACTCTAAAAATACTAGAATCGTTGCTACTCCGCCTGGAATTAACATTGTGAATTGGAACATTTGAGTTCTAAAATAAATATGGTATAAAGTCATATAAGTACGTTAAATGTATTCGCTTTACAGTTAGGAGAGCTCCGATGAGATCCGTTGCTACAGGTTCTTCGCTTTTTGATAACGCATCTTCTTTAACGGAAGGCGAATATAATTCCGTGCACTTCAACATTTCTACTGCCTTTTCCAATAGCGAGCAAGTCTGTGAATTGCTGTTTTGCATTGCATCGTATATAAGATTCATTATCTGGAAGATCGTTCGGTGTTAGTCTTTGTAAGGTACGGCCTATTGGATGATATTACTTTGGTGATAGGAGCTTCAAGTGGAAGTTTAGCTAAAGATGTCCGCCTGTAGTCAGGCTTGAGATCGACCGAGCCTTTCCTGATGGAATTGATACTACCTCGGGATTGGGTATTATGATTGACGACGACATCGGCGTTTCCGGGTGGATCTATGATGATGAGAAAATGAGTTGGAAGTCTACAAGGAGATAAAACTGTTTGCTTGAGATTCAACCAAGGAATAAAATTCATATTTACCGTCCGGCGCAAGTAATAGGAATTGCTTTGCAATTCATGGTAAGACTATCATTGGCTTTCCGTTTGAAACCAACGACTCCATTCCAAGTACGACCGCGCGTTAGGCTCAAAGTCATCGTGCCGATTTGCAATGGTTCGACGACGAGTTGCTCGTGTAATGTTTTACCGACGATCTCGTCCTGTCGGAAGCCCAGTAACCTCTCACATGCGTCGTTGGCAAACTTTTGGTTGTAATTGAATTATTTTTTTCCTTGATTTATTTAACTTATTTACTACCTGCATCCTACAGACATCGTCCGTCACTATGATAGCATCCTTGGATCCATTTATAGCTTCATATAGGATCTGTGTTGTCGCCATTTGCGCCGACGTCCTACAGTCACTGCTCTTCAATTGGATCAATTCATTCAACCAGATAGTTGTATTCGAAGACTCCATCAAGCACTAAACAAATAAACAAAAATACTGAGTAAACTACATGCCTACTTCAGTGCGTGTTACCCTATTGAACCCCGACTCAAGCTGCGACATAACGAAGGAATCATCTTTTTCAAATAAACTGAAAATTAACAAAAACTCATTGTATAATGAACTCTAACGAAATATCTCAAAATTAACCAACCTTCTTTTTACTATGGAGACTGTGACAATATTCTGTCCACCCTTGGAATTCCGTATTGACCTTCGAATATAAAAGTAAAGTAAATCCAGACACTTGGATAAAAATACAAATTAATTGAAATGTACTGTGTGGAAATGTATTTACCACAATAGTTGTGAAAGCTGAATTTCGCAGTGATTTTCCGCACCTCAGTAATTACTCAAATTTATTGCATTGTCAGAAAAGTTCGCGCCGATTTTCTCAACTTTCCGGACAAATCACCTTCATTTTTAGATATCCATAGAAAACATTAGTTCATAATTCGGAAAATACTTAATATTTGTTTATATCAAATCGATTATTTATATACTTGTCCAATATATTATTCATTTGAATATTTGGAAAATGTACTAGATTTTTGTTTGTGTTCAGAAATATTTATTTTTACGAGATACGTAAAAGTAAATGATGATTGCACTGGAGATATAGAATTTACCTGCATAATGTGTCGTAGTCGAGGAGTTTCTGTGCTCGACTGTCCACAAAGACTAGATCGTGATGTATGGTCTGGTACTCTTCGAGAGCGGCATCGTAAGTGGCAGAATGACTGATTTCAAAGGCAAGCTTTTCAGCGGCTCGTTTGATGGCATCGAAAGTAGTATCCGCATTCGGAAAAACCAATAGCAGCTGAAAAGTCCAATTAAAACATTTTATTGTGCGAGCTGAAGTAAACTTTTCGCGGAAAAGCTCAATTAGCGGTGAGCTACATAGCATTCCCATCAGTATTTACCTTAAGAGGCGTCCGACTCGGCGGCAGAACAAAACCGTACTTTCCGTCGTGCGAGGTTTTCTGTAAAGAAGAGAAAATACTGTTCATAAATTACTAATGATACACTTTTTGATGGGATGCGGTGCGAGTAGCTGATAAAGTATCGAACCATTTCAACGACAGGGGACGAGGTCTGCTGGGATGTAGTTGGGGATAGAGAGTTTGGTTTCGATTGGCATCGGGAATCATTGCACCACTGACCACTGTAATTAACAGTGGTCATGGATTCGCTCTTCGGTGTTTTCAGCATGCTTGTCTTGATGAGCGTAGCTTTTTCCTGAGTCCTTATTGCGTAACGTCTTCGGACGTAACGCGACCGTTCATCCATATATTATTAAATAGTCTGTGTACACCCATGCATGGAAATCGCCTTTATGCCGACACTAATGACTAATAACCTAGAATAGAATCGCCATTTGTCATCCATCTGACAACAACGGTTTACCTACAATCGGTTGAACGTCAAACCTCGGAAATCTGGACACTTTTGTTTTTCGTCCATGTCAATTAAGCACTCGACATACAGTGTCTGCTCTATCTACTCTTTGCAGATTCCCTTCGAATGCCCTTAATTTTGATGGACCATTAACTTCCTTTTCTGACATGTACTTCACAAATAATATTTGAATATTTTGACAATATCAATGAATCATTTACTAAATTAATTGTAAAATATTTAATTACTAAGGAGAATTTATTCAATATAATTTTATAAATAATAATAATTTTTATTGTAACAATCCCATAAAATAAAAATTAAACATTTTCATGCAATAACAATAACAAATTGCTATTGACTCTAGTTCTTTCTACTTAGTTTAAAATCTATTAATTGTAAAAATAATAAGCATTATATAGTAATTAAAAGTCTTAAAATGAGGATAACCTTAAATCAGAACTATGTATGAGATAACTGAGAAAAATGGTTCATCAATTAACTTAAATTTAAAAGGAATTTTGTTAATAAATTCATATATTTTCCAGAGATTATTGAAATAATGATTTTGGTATTGAAATTCAATTAATTAACTAACTATTTTAGACACCTGCATTATGGAAATGTTGAGAATACCAAATTAAATTAGGGATAATAATGACTTTGCTATTACCTTGGCATGCCATTGTTTGATACTTTTGTTACCGACACTGCCGCTTAGTTTATAATGCACCGTGGACCTCCTTATATACGTCTTCGGTGCGACACTCAAACTATCTTTCACTTCTTTCTTGTTGCTCCAGCAACAAAACCACTTCCGATTTTCGACTGCACTATCGTCGTCATCAGCTCCACAACAATGGTAAACAAACGTACTGCAACGCGCACATTGCAAAGGATACATTATTATTAAACCAAATTCAATTTACCAACTTTCGTGGAGAAAAAAAAACTATACATATATACACATCGACGTTATTATCGCACACTGTGTACGATAAGATAAATACATTTGCTATCATTCAGTTCTAGTAAAACGTATCGGATACATAGATAGGTTTCCGAATTTTAATCTAGTTGAACTAATTATGCACTTTTCTAACGTCATTTAACAATGGAAAATAGAGACACAATCAAAAAAAAAAAGATGGAAGATGAAAAATGCGAAGATTATTATCGAGAGAAAACTCATAGCAGAGATTCAATAATTGAATTTCACATAGATAAACTATTATTAATTGATTTGTATATAAATAGAAACACTAACTGTACGTGTGTAAATTATTATAATTAAGTACATTTTTTTTTATCCAAGACTTTCATTTCTTCATATTCTCAAGTCTTAATATTAGTATTAGTACATAAAATGAATATTTGCAAGAACCGTGATAAAAATAATTGATATTCAAAAACATAAGATTCGGAGGAAGACGAGATCTATGCTCACCAAGCTGAAAAACCTGTTGACCTGTAACTGCTCAAACGCAAATGCACACACGTCAATTCAGATAATCGTCGATTACTGCAAGCCGGATTCCTGCTTCAGCTCTGCGTGCCCACTAAGCTGAATAACAATTAATAACATGAACATGATTTACATTCCATTTTATTTTCATGCAAATAATCGCATCCAGTAATTCCTCGGGATTACCTAATAGCTGTGAAAGGTGCTGAGCAACAGAAACAAAAGTACTAATTTTCAGCCTCTTCACTGTAATTACGTAATAGTTTTTATGCGTGTCAAATGAAGAAAAAACGAATGTAAATTACTGGCTTATCGTTTGTTTGTTTTCACAATATCGTCATGTTTAATCAATATTGTGGATTAACTACATTACAAATATGCGCTAGTAGTATTAGTAATCGCATAATATCTTACAATTATATCACCTTTTTTTCTTTATTAATCTAAATCATACATATTTAATGGCCTTCCTTTCGTTTTGTACTGTAAAATCCTCATATTTCACAGACACAATTTGATGTTTTCTAAGACTTTTCATTCCCAACTGGTTCAATTCTTTCATTATGGATCGATTTGTTATAACCTGACGAACCTGATGAATACATAATGTAACATCATTAAATAATAACCGAACAAACAATTCAATAATTTAATATAAATAATAATGAAAATAATAGTTAATCTAGAACGAATAGACCTATACTCAATAGCCTTTAGTAACAATTAATTGTTTTTAATTTAGTTATGATTTTAGAAATACATTTATTTTGTATGTATGTTTAACTGTTTCTATAAATATTATTATTATTGAATCTATATCTACAAGATATAAAAATAATTCGAAATAAGTGCGTTATGCAATATTCTTTAAACACAATCTCGCAATGTAATTAATTAGAAACACAAACACAAAAATAAACTATATAACCGCAATTGAGTTTGATCTTTATCGCAGCAACGATAAGTTTCATTTCCCAGAACGTTAACACCTTTCCAGATTTAGCATCGTTTTTAGTAAAAAAAAAACCTGTCACAAAAAAAAAACATATGACGTAGAGATCAATTAATATAATAAAACAATGTTGTCTCCTTATCCAAATTTATATACTAAGTTGACTCATCGTTTCATCTGACCTTTGGCTGCAAATTGAGAATGAAATAAAAGCATATTCAAATTTCAATGATAATTTCATCTTTAAATATTAAACAAAATAATTTTATTTATGATGATAAAAAGTTCTTATTAATGATTATAAAATATAATAATAGCCTAAATTAAATAAATGTAAGCTAGAGAAACAAATCTGCTAGAGAAAGTATGGTAATACTATAGATTAGCAGTAGTAAGTTGTTATTTCTATCTAAACACGAGATGAAAAGAAAACTTATATATGCTTTCACGATAGACCATACAAAAATGCGCACCCAGAGTATACATTGAAAACTGATAACCATATCAAACGGTTGCTATAGTAACCATAAACATAATATAAATACGACTAACAAGATAGTAAATAATCTATGATATTACGTTTAACAGCTCAACTTTTTCGTGTTTTTTTTTTGTCACTCGTAAGACAAGTATGTGATAAACTCGTCACACAGGAATCAATAATAATCCGGAATATAAATAAACAATTGGTGAAAATCGGGAAACATTGGAAGGACGTGCATAGAGTAGGATGTGGAATGGAAGGAAGGAAGCGAAAGCGCGGCAGGAAGACCTGGGAAAACGAGATTGTGCTTTCGGAAAACGTTTCAGAGCAATTCCGTTTCAACGCGTTACGTGGAACTTCGTAAATCATATTTTCCTTCGAAGTAATTTATTTTCGTTGCCAGGGGAGAAAATGATATAATTGTAAGTCTAATTAAAGTCACCAAGTTTCTCCACGACGCCCTTCAACAAACATTTTAGATTTCGAAGAATATTGTATTTTTATTTCTCTAATTTCACTCAAATGTTTAATTTTGTGCACGAATTTGGTCACATTTCGTATGCATATAGGTTACAATTTCAAACCTTGAAACATCACATATGAAAGAAAAACAAGAGGAGATAAATAATTCACTTAAATTTTAAGCAGCCCAATGTTAAAACTATGATAATGGGAATAAACGTATTCCAACTCTCACTTTCATTTTTTTTTTATTGAGTTAGCATTGGTTTCGCTAAGCTATCTATCAATCTTAAATTCCGAATGGTGTCTAGACGCCAAATTTGACATAAACAGACTCATAAATTTCTAGTCATTTGTAGAGTTTCAATGCAAATGCAAACACATTACTCTTTAATATATTATAAACAGTATCTTATTATTATGCATGTAATTAATATTGTTTCTCTTCTTGGAAATCCTACATGTAATTTAATCAACAATTTTACATATTTATTATATATCTTATTATGTAATTTGTTGCTAATATAACAACAAGATATAAGTGAATACATTAAGAATTACATCTATACTTTACTTACGTAAATGTCAACTGGTTCGTCTTCTGGAGTGGTAGCCAACGATATTTTTCTATTAGTAGAGGGTTCTGAAATAACATACAATTACAATTAGAATAAAATTCATTTGTTTGCGGAAGAAAGAGAGTGGCGTAAATAGAAATTTAGTGTTTGCAATGCTTCAATTACGCATTTTCTGAGGTGTCAAGTGTCTTACAATGCGAACGTTTTGAATCGGCATAAAAGGCATTTTTAAAAGGCCAATTAAAGATTCAACGGGAATTCTCGATAATCATAAGAGTAAACAGTGGCCGTTGAGATGAAAAGCCACAGGTTGTTCAATGGTTTAAGGATAATCTAAACTGTACACGTATAACTATATATTTCGTGAATAGAAGAAGACAAAACTTTAAAGCGTGGACAGTTCGATCACGTAACGCGAATTTATTCATCGAACGTTTATTTACTTAATAGTTTTCTATTGCAAAAAAAAATTGTTTTGACAACTCAATGCAGCTTGGAACAATTGAAAACACTGTGTACACGCTTTCAATAGATGACATTGAAATTGTAACAACGCAAGAAATACGCAAGCATTCGAACAGATTTATTGAATATTTAATAACACGTCCACGATGCGATAGAATAACAAGTACCTCCGTTTACAGCAGTGCTTTCTAAACCTTGTCAGGTTAAGTTGGTCTGATTACATTCTTAACAGTATAAGATGTAATACATCAATATTCGGATCATGTATTCACGTTTCAAGGCGATTTACCCAAATCGTTGAAAAATATGCGCATCTGTTTCGAATTTATACTTTGGCGAAAAGCGCTTCATTCAGTGAGATAACATTTCTTATCGAATCTCGAAACTATAATATGTTTTGTTGATTGTTTAATATTGACAAAAATGCTTCAATACTATTATTTAGTATATATCAAGTAAAAAAGAAATTTATTTCTAATGTCAATTATCTTTTTTTTTTCCAGTTAATACCTTTTCAATAAGGAAATTGCAATTATCAATTTACTGGCAAATTGCACTACATTGGTAACAGTAGTTATTTCATTAGCTTAGCAACTAAACGTTAAACGTTATACATGAACAATTTCAAGAAGTAAAGAGTGACCAAACTCTTGATCGCGAGCCGCATGCGGCTCTGCAAGAGATTTGTTGTGGCTCAATTTTTTTAAATTATTTTATACCAAAAAGTTTTTCCCAATATTTTCACTTTGGTATGCCTCTTGCTGCAAAAAGTCTGTCCTCCACAGTAATACAGGACAATACAATGCCCAATGTGGGCGCTACCTGTTGGGCGCTACAGGGATCCAAGGGGGCGGTAGAAACATTAATACAAATATATTTCTGTTTTATTGCTATTAAAATTTAAAAAAAAATAATTTCCAGGGGGCGCTGAGTAATATTTTTTTATGGAATAATAAGTTTGGGAACCACTGATGTAGATGATACGTATATTATTCATTTAAAACATATAATTTTATTTAGGTTTATGTCTATTTTTTGTTATATTTTATTTTTATTGTTTTACACTAGCTGTATTATATAAATATCACACAAGGTTTCAACGTGCGAAAACAAACTGATCTGACGTAAAAATGACGTATGCAAATAGACCACTTGAAGCGCGACTGTTCGCTTTTCGACGTCATTTTTACGTCACCAAAAAGAAATTATCAATTTGTGTTTAACGATTCTTTCTGATAACAAACCAGAATAAAACATTGACTTTTCAGCTTTATTATTTTCAATACTTGTGAAAACTCATTAAACTGAACTAGAAATTGTATTCTAGTTCAGCAAAAATATCGATTGTGAGTCAACAATGCTGATTCACTGAAAACAATGTCCGATTTTTATCTCGCAGGATGAATTCGATATCATTTAAATTCATATCTATCCTAATGATTGGTAGTTCCATTATAATGCTACTATTGTACGATTTCGATCATATTACCAACTTAGCAGTAAGTAAAGTTGCAAATTCAATCAGAATGTTACTGATAGTGTGTATAACGTTTATAACGCATAATTATTATTATTATAATTTAGCTGTAAAAAATCAATAAAGGAACCGATTTGGAAGGTTAGATAAGATACAGATGCATACACATACTTCTCGGATAAGTTTTATTTTCTCATTACGTGAAAAGTTTTTAATTTCAACATAAAATCCAATATAATTTCTCAGGGACATTAACATTGTTATGATATAGCAGAAACTATACAACAAATATAAAGGGTGTCCCAAAATTAACACCATGTTGTTGAAACTACATGTCGTCTATATCAATATCATCCAACTTAGGCAAAAAGAAGTGTGTTATCATGTCGCGATATCGAGCGCCAGTAACAGTCACTGCTTGACCAGCCTCATTTTCAAAAAAAATATGGTCCAATGATGCCTTCAGCCCAAAATCCGCACCAAACAGAGACACTGTGAATGCAATTTTGGCGATTAAGGTCAAGGTGAAAATGTGCTTCATCCACTTGTTGATGCTCAATAATCCATTCAACGCCCCATTTTTAGTAACCCTGACCTCTCAGTTGTCAAATTGTTTATTTTTGGGGTTGCCAACACTTTACTGCACAAATGGCAGCAAATTCAAATCTTGCGTTAATTTTGGGACACCCTTTATAACATCATAGATATTTTAAATGTAAATATAGATAATAATATGCAATTTTAATTTAAAAAAAAACTATTAGATGAGTTGTTATATGCATTATGTTACCCAAAATGTATCAACATCAATAATACTTCAGATAAATAAAACGCGCACATTAAATATTAGACATAAAAGTAAAACAAATAATTGTCTCTTGTTGTTGTCGGAGTTGTAATAAAATAACGCGTGCTGACATAATGCACGAAGAATTCGTTTTAATTACATTGATATTATCATAGTATAATTCAAAACCAAGGTCGACCTAACCTTGATACAGATTTGTTTTTCTATTCCTGTTACATTGGCAAAATTTTTAACACCTAATCGTATTTCGCTTTTGCTTTATTTTGAATTATATTCATATTTCGAATAATTTTATTTCCATATATTTGATTCATATTTTAATGAACATGGGCATTAAAATATGAATCAAATATATAATAAATTTGTTTATACTGTAATAAAGTATTCAGCAAAGGCAAACTTTTGGTTTTAGTTACAAATATATAATACGAATATACTTGCTATGCGATGAACACAGTTAACTGCAATTGAGATTGAATCTGATAATACAGGTATCGATTATGTCAGATCGCTTGTTCTCGTGCAACGTACATTGTGCTGCTGGTACATTGCGCTTATAACGTACACGTGTTATATCCATGTATATAATCTAACACAACAACAACTCTCATTACACATGTGAGAAAACATCTATAAGAATATATAATGTTGTAATTTAAAAAAATATTATTTATGTATTTTTCTTTTGAAAAGTTATGTTTTCGGTAGGTTTTATTTGCACACATTTTGGTTGAGTTCGTATATAATATATAACAGTTTTCACGAGGGAAGAATTCAAGTGGGCCACCGTCTGGTATAATAATAAACAGTAAAGATAAAATCTCGAGTGCAGTTTTCAGCAGATCCGTATTTCACATTAACGCTTTGCTTTTAGCCTCGAGCCTCTTCCGGTTTCAGCACTTTAAATGTATTACAACTTCACAACCACAACGTTTAGCTTACTTTAATATCCAAGACTATGTAATAATAAAGTCATTACAGAAACATGTACTGAGTCGTTCCGATATTACTAATACAAAACATGTATGTAATATCATTTGCACATATAACCGATTAACAAGCGAAGTCCGTTTGTGCGAATATAATTAATAATGGTGCTGAATAAATTGTAGAACCTAATAAGGCACTGCAAATGAAAAATAATTGTATAACGTACAATAAAGATAAACAAGGCAATTTTTCCATTCCCGTCGAAGACGCATCAACGCATTGGCTAATTTGAATTGAGCGCCTCGGATCTTTAATTTAGTTACGTGCACTTTGACCCGCCTGATATTCGCCCACCAATTCGATTTAACTCTTAATTGATTTTAGATACTCACGTAATGAGCACGCAAAACCGCCCAAAGCTAATGTTCGGCGTTATGTAATCGCGCTCATTATACTCAATATTCTCGATTGATACCAAATATGAAATATATGTCACCTTCGCCTTTTAATTAGATTCACTTTTACTTAGTACATAGATTTCGACCAGACAATGCTAACTAATGAGCAAATAGTATGAATAAGAATGAATTATTCATAAAAATAGAGCGTGCTATTGTTGAAAAAACAGATTATTTCAAATGACAAAAACATCATTTCAGTAGATCAGGTAGATGCCGATCACTTTTTAAGTACAAAACTTTAAGTTATTATTTCTGTGATTTCTTTAACCTAATACAAGATCAAGTCACAAATGAGATATAATATAAAATAATTTGTAATATGTACCAATATAACTAAAAAAAAGTGAAGTATTTAATAATATTTTATTATTATTTTTTTATATTTTTTGTTTGTTTTAATTGTCACCATTTCAGTTTATTGTCTCTTGTGAGATAGATGGCCGGAAAGTTAAGGGATTTTCTTTTTCAATAATTGGCGTATATTTCATTGAATGATGCAGGGTACCGAATATCTGATCCTTTTTGTATTAGCATCCAATCATATTCTTATTGCGATATAGACAAAATAGATCAATAGCAATCAATTTGAAGACATTATGCATCGAACTTTTATATTAAATGATTGACGATGTCATGCCTGCATTCATTCTCGCGTATTACTCCACTCCAAATTAAATTTTCTCATTATCCTCGAAAAGCTGGTGTCTCCTATCGTGAAGGTTTCATCTGATATTGATTTTTCAGGCGATCGCAACTATTACCAGTTAGGACGCACATCTCTATATTTCTGTATATTTAATATTCAGTTGATTAGACACGGGAACAGAATGTGTTTGTATTAAAAAAAAACATTTCTTGTCCAGATAATCCACTGTCACAATTAGCAACCAAGTAATTAATCGATGCTTATGTAATTTCATCGCACAATCTTACGCGGAACAAAAAAAAATAATGTATTGATTAATAAAGCTGTTATCGCAATATCGATAAGGCTGTCGGTATAATGTTGAAGGAGAGCGCTGTGATTTCCATGGGTTACTGTTCATTGTATTACTATAGATGAAATCATTTATTGGCAGTTTATAGGATTGGACGCTGCTGCGATTTTGGATCGCTGAATGCGTTGAATGGATCACGCGTATTTATTTAAGCCCATTCCCGCCGAAACAAAAATAATCTTTTTCCAAGTATATTCGAAGCGTTTATTATTGCGCACCGAAACGGTTGCAAAAACATCCATCCATTAAAGACTTTCTATCTTGCTCGCACTTATCTAAATAAACTTGCTGATTAATCAGACCGCATGAGGAGAATACAGAACAATATCGGTGTGTAAACGTATTTAATGAATGCGTAATTTTGAAAGACTTTCGTATAATGAAAGACATTTCACGATTCTGAGAAACTCAGTAGTATTCTTCATTAATTAAAAGCCAATAGTAATGTATGAAATATTCCAATTTTCATAAATATATGAGTTAATAATAAGAGACTAATGTGTCATTGACATGATTGCTTTTATCATCTAGAGATGAATAAAAGTGCTTATTAATATCAAATATAATAACGATTTTTAAAGTATAAAATATTGGCGAAGGCCATACGCAAAATATAAGGACTTCGCGTTTCTTGTCGTGAACGTTAGGTGTTGTAATTCCAATAAGGATCGCAGAAATCAAGGTGAATAAAAATGTATTCTGAGAAGTAGGAAAAAGTATTCGCATTTAATTATTTACAAATGGCTACGATCGTCTTAACAAGATCAAGTGATGGAAATTGTTGGAATGTTATCTCAAGTTTTGAATGAATTTGTGACTGATGTATATAGCGAAAATAACAAATGATCCCTTTCCAGCTATTTTCAGAATTCAAGATTTATTTATAAAACTGCATTTAAATTTAAGACAATATTTAAATTTATGCAACACATTATTATTTGTATTTAATTTTAAAAAGTAATTTGTGATTGTTTCGTAATAAAATATATTTTCAGGTTTAAATGATGTACAAAGTATACGCAAATATCATGAATATAGCTTTGATTTTATGATTTACACGCTGACTATGAAAACTAAAGTTAATAAAAAAGCGAATGGCAATCCACATTACTATTAAAATATGAAAAGCAATTTAATAAGAATATAATATAACTATAATAATTTATTTTTCTTATCTTTTTAATTTTGTAATTTATTTATATTTTTTTATTTTATTTGCATTTTTGCTACTTTGAATGGAACTTATGTTTTTTTTTGTCCAATAAATTATAATAATTATTATTAAGAATATTATAATTATATTGTATAGTTTTTTAAAGGAAAAAAATATAAAAAAAAGTTTTCAAATTGTGCGCCCCGGTGCTCTGGGGTGGCGCGAAAATTCTAATATATTAACGCCGAAAATTTCGCCTTGCGATAGACCAATGTTTGAAAAAATCTGATATATTAAACCAAAAACATAATATGTAATAATAACTTTTGAAGATAAAGTTTATATTTAAAATAAAGTAATAAGAGACATGTATCGCACATATTCTTAGGGATGAAGAACATTTTCAATTAACTTTATAATTGATATATGATATAAATTCGTGTATGAATACGACGTAAAACGTGGTTGCATCTCCGCAGCAGAAAGCTGCTAAAACAGTCATTGTAGTTATACAATTAACAGTTATAATTGCAGATTGAAAGCCGATGATTGCGTTATAAAATCCTGCGATAAAACGTACTTATTATTATGTAAGGGATGGGAAAGATTAGACTTATTACATTTCGTTAATAATTGGTCATTATATCGATGAACGGAATTTTGAGGGATAAGAAACAAAGTTAGCTACAGAAATTGTAAATGTTGATCTTTGTACTACAATGATATATGTAAAATAAATAGTTATTATTGTCTCACGTAGTTCTAACGTTTAAAACTTTAAATTTAATTCACATATCCATTTTAATAATTATAATGTAGGACATAGAATTGTTGTTAGAAATGTAATTAATTGTGCTTAATCTGTATCAATTATGATAAATTGATTCGATTGTTATAAATAGAAGTGCAATCGATCCAAGAACGAAACCTATACAGTGAAATCAAGTAAATATTTTTCCGCGTGAAGGTAGACGCTGTTTGCTCTAGGTTTAAGTTCCGTTCACATGGATGTTTATTCTTTTTGTTATATGGTCTTTATGAAGAAATAAAAATATGTAAAAAAAAACATATAAAGCGGAGACGTACGTACATACATCGCGCACATATTTGATAATAAAATTGTATCTGAATAAATGATTATCGATCGACCAAACGCGGCAAAACATAATTATTGCATAATGCGGAGGTACCGTAATATTAATATAACAGCTTTGCGGTTAGATTGTTATGGGGGGAGGGCGTTAATTAAGCGAGAGTGAAATAAAATAAATAAACAAATTCGATTTACCGCATTCCGAATGCTCGTTGGCTTCCAAACAGACACTATCCATGTTCAGGAACTCTTTATCCGCACTTTGGATGATCATCGTCGGTTGTTCCTTCTGGAGTCCTAAACGATGCGCACCGCCGTCAAACTCCTTGGATCTCCCAGGGGACATCCGTCGCCCGATCCCATCATCCGCGTACGAAAGAAACAATGCGTCTCCGCCTGACTTACGTAATCGGATGCGTCGCTCGGAATTGTCCTAACAGTGATAAGGAGCACTTGCGACATTCGCCAAGTAAATATTGGTTTTCACTCTGCTGCTTTTCGGTTGTTCTTCGATTCTTGCACTTTCGGTTTTTCTTCCTTCCGATTAGTAAGTTTTGATTTTGTGTTATTTGTCGTTCAGAGGTTTACGATAATTTGTTGGAGTGCAAGGAGTGAGAGTCGGGGAAGCGCGCGTGGCGAACAGTAGCAAGAAGGATTCGGATCCAAACTAATTAACAGTTAAAAACACTCATTGGAGAAGATAAGATAAATGTTTATACCGTTGCAGCGTACGAACATTGCCGACATCAGGTTTGTTCTCTGAACTGTTATCGCATCTGGACCTGATCACATGGCGCTGCTCGCTGACGAACTAAACAACAAGGAAAGCAGTCATCGCTACCAGTTGTTGTTCGTTGGAAGATCAGGCATGGACAATGAATGTGGACTTGCTTAGTTTTGTTATATTATTGATGGCAAATGTCGGACAGAGTCGCAGACCGGAGCCGGATGGACTGACCGCTGCGTGCAGGCCAGGACCACACTAGACCTCAGTATTCTTTCGCATCTCGACTTTCTTGCGGCAACCGAAGAACTCGACGCCGCGACATTGAACTGGTCTTGTGTGTGGTTACGTAATTCACGAGGTACACGCGGCCCATGTTCATTAGCAATTTCGGCGGATTGAGCAACCAACGCACGGAGCCGATTTTCTTGCACGGTCAGCAGCTCTTTTCGTCGAGTTACAAAATGCGCGCACGCTCCTCTCCTTTCGCACCGCACCGACTTATGAATACGCGAAATTATCGCTCGAATCAAACGCATATATTTTAACAAAGTTTATAAATCATACATAGCGCAATATTGCCGCCATAAAAATAATAATTATAAGATTATAAGATGCACCCATATAATCGAAGTATACTCTTGGACTCCAGCGAATATATTATGTACCAGAATACAAACACACCAAAATATAAAGAAATATGCCAACAAGTCGATCTAGATGCCAATTTTGGTCGATCGCATTTGTTTTTCAAACCTTCCTACACTTAGACAAAAGTTGACCACCCCTGTAATTTTGGTATTTTTGGACATTTAAATTGTATTCAATTCTCTTTCACAAAAGAATCTTTGATCAGCTTTTCTCAACCTATGGGCGTGAATCAAAATTGGGTTACTTTAAAATTTTAACGAGTCACAAACTGACAGAGTTCTCACTACTGAAATATCCCGGGAAAGTAGCGTAGAATTTTATAAAAACGGAAAGTACACTCGCTTTCCGTTTTTATAAAATTTTATATTACATAGATAATAAAATTATACATCATTCGTAGGCACTCTATAGAATTCAGTATATAGTTTGCTGCTATGGTCTTCCTCTGTGTCAAGGATAACGAATGTTTGTCACATCTCACAAATCTATGCAAATGTATATTCCGAAAAGCACTAAACTATTCCTATGATTGACTTTTCGTGTTTTCTATCTACAATTTCAGATAGCACCGATTCGGCTATTGACTGTAGTCTTTACGCCTAAAAATATAATTCATAAGCAGTTATAGATAACATTATAATTATTAATCTGTTGTAAGTTTGTAACACGGAAAACGTGTGATTTCTAGAAAAACAATAATTTACCTTACTGGAGTCCAAGGCTTGGTCTGTGAGAAAGTATTTCCATATATTCTATATATTTTAATCTTGACTTCTTCGGAACCCACAACCAAATGGAGGAGCGTAATTTTTATATTTAACAAACTTTACAACGTTTCACTGTATTTGCTAAGGTAATCCTCATTCCGAACGTCTATAATTTTATACAGTTTTATAACTTGTTGTTCTGTTAAATTGAAATAACCGAAAAAAAAAATATTTATTTGATTTGAGATTTGGTATTTATATAAAATTACAAAATTCTCAAAATTTAAAAACGAATTTAAAATGAACGTGATTATGTCATGTGTAAGCAGCAAGTGACTTTTCCAATAAAGCTGTCTTTTAAGCCGAACACGTTTCAAACTTTAAATGAAACGCTTCAACAAGTAGATACAAAATAAAATGTAATATATTTCCCATCTCAATAATAATTTTCATACATTGATAATAATATTACCTAAAAATCAATGATTATTAACTATTTATTTAATTATAAAATGTGTGTTTTATTTGTACACACGTAATTAATAAATAGAGAAAACAATAATTTATTAATATTCATTTTAAACACAAATATCTTTGTCCATGTTGCAATATATTTGATACAACTGTGCTTTCGTATTTTTTGGTTATTTACAGATATTTAAAAAACATATTAAATTTACATTATTTTTATGTTTGGCAAGGTTCGTTATAGTAATGTCCTTGAATGTAACAAATACCATTGGATGTTAATACTGAGGTCAGTAAATATTAAACCTCAAAGAAACCAAAATTATATTATAATTTTCATCAATTTTAGTTTGTTTTAAATTTTATTGTAAATGCATTCCTTGAATAGATCGATTGATTCGACAATTTGTTGGTTCTATTACTTAGAATAAGTTAAATTGGTATTCTAATAGAAATAAAATACCGTTAATAGTTTAATAAATAATTAATAGGGAACCCTAAATTATAATTATTAGTTGAAAACTTTCAATAGAATTTGAATCTGTGCCTTAAAAAAATATAGTAGTCGGTAATAAAAGCACAATACATAATCTTGATGATAAGAAATAGAAAATAAGAACTTATGAATTAGCGAAAAAATGGTGATTTCTACTGCAACTGGTTTCAATTGATATATCCCTTGACAGTAATGAATGAGAAACGGATACCGACGCTTTTCTTGACTTTGTAGTGGCTAATAATCATTAGAGACATCCATTATTAGCAGAGCTGACTCATACAATCGAAAGCACCACGTTATTTTTGTATGCCTAATTGGATTGAATTTTCATATTTAAATTATATCTGCAGTTCGAGTCTCAATTTTGCCTCTACTTCACATTTTCACGTCTCAAAACACAATTATATTTGTATATTTTGATCTTACATTTTAACTGTACATCTTAGATTGATTTTGTATATTATACTTTGGATAAAGAATAAGAGAAACTGTTGTCATCATATTGCGTCTCTGAATAATCGTATAAGACGTAAATAGCAATTAATCTTAACGGATATCTATTTAGGTAATAAGCGTTTGCAAGTGCATAATGAATGACTGTCGCACAATGAATAGAACGATGTTTTAAATGAATTGTTTTCGAAGTCTGAGACATAAACGACAAGAGGTTGGGCGGCGATTAAAGAAGAATAAATACGTGGTATAATTTATCCGTTCACGCGGCGCAACGGTATCGAATTTATTACTTTCGATGACACCTGTTGCGACCCTTAGAACAAACATCGCACGTTCTCAACTAAAGATAGTTTCAGCGATAAGTGGCATGCAATAAAAATGATAAATATTTACCATTCATTGAGCGTCTCGACTTCTGGTAAGTCGATTGCTGGCTGACGCTGCTTCTGTGAAGGTGCTCAAAGAGCAAACTTGGGGAGCAACCCATAAGTGTGGGAACTAAAATGTTGCAATACTATTTAAACCATACTGCAATGAGAGTAAAGTAGTTGCTTTAGTTGGGATGGATTCGCGATGGATGAACTTAAGTAGTTTGGTTTGTAATTATTTGCGCACCTTTTGACTGCAACACGATCGGGGGGGTTGTTGTCTAGTGCAGTGCACTCGGAAGAAAACAAGCCTGTTGATCCTTCAGCCAGCCTGAAGATTGAAAAATGAGCGTGCGCCCGGCAGCTGAGAGGGAGTATCGACGCAACAGGAATTTAGGCACGGTGTGCTCAACCAAAAAATCAATAACACACCCTCTGTGCCATTGCTAAACCTCTATACTATACATCTCTACCAGGGACTGCCTAACATATTCCACGTATGAAACTTTCATCCCCAAACCTAAATTACATAATTATTTATGACACCAAATTTCTCACACAACTTTCAGTTATTGATTATTTCAATAAGAGAAACATTTGTTTCAAGAATCTTATATCATATAGAAATATACAATAAATATTAAAATGTTTGACACCGTTACATGTAGACAGTCAGAATTTGATTTAAATAAACTTTATACCAAACACCTATTATAGAATATATAGTTTTATATAACTTTTCAACTATTATTTATCTGTGCCAAATTGTGAGTTTCTTATTGTTACTTTTAAATAAACTATTATTATTATAATAATGTTCACAGCATTATGGCTATGTGGTATAATGCTATTTAAATGTAATTACTATAGTGTGATTTATCTTTTTTTTTTATAAACAATTTCTTGCTTCTTATGATTTATTATTACAAATTTGTAAGAAAATCATTATAGCAATTATAATCAGATTATGATAACGATCAATAGTTAATAATTATATATCAGACAATTGTAGTCGATTTTTGTTTTCATCATCAGCTATACGATCGTGGGATCGTAGAGAATACAATTGAAACATATTTTAAATTAGCCGTTCATTACAGATAGGTTGTTTCTGTTAGACTTCCCACTACACAAATAATATTTGAAACTCTGCCAAGATACAAATACAGTGGAACCTCGCTTAACGAGCACCTAGTATAACAAGCATTTCGCTTAACGAGCAAAATGAATTGTAAGAAAAATGACTCGCTTAACGAGCGACGTTTCGCATACCGAGTGACGATGAGAAGAGAAGTCCCGGATTGCGCGCCTTCTACATCATTTTGTGTACACATATTATGTGTATTTTTTAATATGTTTCACTATACGAGTAAAAATCCGGAAATTTTGGAACGGATTAAATGTAATACATGTATTTGTATGTATTGTGAAACTCTGCGATTGACAGGTCGTAGCTACGCCTCTGCATGTATTCGCTTCGGTGGCAATCGCAAGCCCGACAACCGAAATCCCGTCTATCAAAATCCCGATGTTCGAAATTGTTATTTATTGTTAATAACATAAACTAATTTTATTACAGAATATTTCTTATTCTTAAGTTTTATAATGAATAAGTCAATAATAATTAATTAAGTCAGAATAATAATTAATATTATTTATTGTTATTAAGAATAAATAACAACAATTAATAATCGGACAAAAGAGCCATCGACTTAAGACTTAGTAAAAATATTTTTTTCTGTATCCGTCGTACCTATTAAAATATAGTACAATAATTTAAAAATGTTATTGTAGAAATTATAATAATAAAAGACACTGTCGGGATTTCGATACAGTCGGGATTTTGATTGTCGGGATTATGTTAGTCGGGATTTCGATACACTCGGGATTTCGAACGTCGGGATTTCAATACACTCGGGACTTCGAATGTCGGGATTTCGATACACTCGGGATTTCGAACGTCGGGCTTTCGATTGTCGAGCTTGCGATATAGACCCGTTCGCTTGATTTGTCATTCTTTGAGTGTTCAACTGAATTGTTAAGTCAGGGTTTCCCAAACTATGTTTAATAAATGTTCCATGAAAACGTAGAATGAAGTAATTACTAAAAAAATAATTAATGTTTTTTATTATTTAAATAAAATATATCCCTTTGGCCAGATTATTAGTTAGTTGGTTTACTATGATTTATATTATTTTGTTTAACATTTATTTTTTTATTTGCATTATCTTACCAACAAATTATTATTTATTAAATTTTATTGTTTATGTATTATTAACTAGTTTAAAATAAGAAGTGAACATTTCAGGATTTACGAAGTGTTCCGTTGCAGGAAATGTTTGGGAAATTCCTTTGTTAAGGAATAGAAAATTATTTCTTCACTGCGTTGTATTAACTACCATATTAATTTTTCCATATATTTATCAAGGTAATGTTTATTACATTACATTTATTTTTTTTATTAAAAAGACATAATTACTAATTTTAGCTAAAAATAACTAAAATACACAAATGAACATTTTCTTAAATCAACTTAACAAAACCAGGAGTTCGAAGACAATAACAACATAAAACATTTCTAATTATGATTATCATCATTGTAATGAAGATTTCTATCAAAATGCAATAAATCGAACATTGCATTTTTTCTTATTATTTTATAAAAGATTATGAAATAATTGTTTTTTTTAATTTTATAATTATATAATTTTATATAAATTATTATTATACATTGCATTTTAATAAAAAATATCTATATAAAAATGTATTAGGCTTGTGATTATGTAGGCATCCCATCGTACACGTAAACCATTTTTTGTTTGTTTTAAACTTCAGCAATATATTTAAATGACTAACAAAAATAAAAGCTATTTAGTAGTTTAATTTTAAATTTTATTAGTAAAATACCTATGGCGAATCACAATTGAACTTATGGATAGCTATAATTTGTAAATAAAAATATCTTTTAAAAGATTTTGCATATTAAACTATTTGCTTATAAATATTGACAATGGCAATGTATTCCTGTCAAATATAGTTATTCATCATTTTTCTCATCAATTTACTATTATTTGAATATAAACAGAGATTGAAATTAGAAATTTAATTTACGTAATATCAACAGATGACTCTGAGAGAATATCTATTATACAAGATTCAAATATACAAGGTACACCTGAGCGCATAGAAAAGAAGACTTGAGGTTAAGAGAATAAAGTATTGGAATATGTATTTATCTTTGGTGATAATGCAATAGTCATGAAATGATATCATTCATAACATTAGTCGTTTTATGTATATTGTTACTTAATGTTTGTCGGTAACTAAGAATTTCGCGAAATATGTCAAAAAGTCAAGAGCTCTTGGTTGTACCTTGTTTATTTTTATCATGATATTATTATGTTATTATCGAAAAAACCCACGTTCAGTTAGGATTATTGATTAGGGTGTTTATAATAACAAACATAATGGGAAGGACATCAATTTATTATATAGTAATTTGTAGTAATAAGTAATAAAACAACAATGAATAGTTTAAAATAAAAGAATATACACTAATTACTTGTTTTCTTTATATATATATATATATATGTATTATGTATGTATATATAAACTGGAACAATATACTATGCCATTGTTGTATTTCTTATTAAATATACTTTAACTAAGTACATATACTATTTCTAATATTGCTACACGTTAATTAAATTCTTGTTTATAAATACACTAAACATAAAAATGATAAATACTTATATCAATCCAAAAATACTTAAAATTCACAATTCAATAATAAAATTCATAAAATAACAGTCTTTTTTGGTACTAATATGCAAATATTTTAAAAATCCTCAAACGCACACAAATCTATCAACTAACAATACTTATGTTATATAGATATTTATAATATGTACAGATTTAAGTATAAGAAACATACTTCTCAGAGTTGAAGCAAAGTAATTGCTACACACTATTCGCACATACAAAAAAAAATGACCACCCGTACACGTAAGATAATAAGGATATTCTAGAGCACGGAGCGGGGGTCCTTAGACAAAATACTGTCAATTTTGGAACAATAAAGATAAAATCTTTTCAGCTAATATAGACATAATAAATATCTCTTACACAACTGGCAATAATATAATATCAATAATATATGTATATCAATTATAATAAAAAAAAACTTATATATTTGCGATGAAACAGCTTTTTCTATTCGTAGAAAGAGGCTCTCTCGCTTAAGCTCCAATTAGCCTCTCGAACTAAATACGAAAACATTGTGCACCGAGTTCTAAATAAAAAAAAACGCGTTCACTCTGATCCTCAAAATCTACATTCTATTATTATAAATTTAAATGAAAAATACAAAATAATAGTAGAAAGTCCAGCGTTTATACTGCTAAATTTACTATAGAAAAGGGTACCTCTGTTGTAATTAGATATATATTTCCTTAACACTAAGTAATGGATTTATAATAAAGTTGCAACAATACAATGCAACAACGGCAGAACAAGCCTAAATATTATGAATCAATATTAGTGAATGAAATACATAAACTAAATACAAATATACAAATTGACGATTACAAATAAGATGTAAAAATAAGTAAAAATATAAGGACATAAGGGAAGAGTAATGTTAAAAATTATTATGTTTTTTTTTTAAATATAAAAGTAATCTTTTAAAGTATTGAATGTTCGAATCATCTGCTGCTGTTGCTCGCATCAGATTTCATAACATTTTACATTTGCGCAAATTTGTTTACGACGTTATCGCCGTCTTGCCGGTCTGCGCGAAGAGAACACCCTGATATGTGACACCGTTCAACTCCATACTAACCACTAATGAATTATCACCGTTGCGAGAATCACCTGAAAATGAGGAAAAATAATATTTTAGTACTGGAACCAAGTGAAGATGAGTAAGTTGCATACCTCGACTGTTAATTTTGATGTGCGTGCTGCTGTTGGTTAGCGACTTGGGGGGTTCTTCTTCCTTCATGAACTTCTTGGGTAGCGGAGGTGAATCTCTGTGATCGGGCTGCTCTCGTTTTACCATTGGCGGGGAACTGTCTGATAGATTAAGTGCTTCCTTCTGAGGCTCGACTGGTGGTTGATTGTTGTTGTACAAATTCCATAAGGTGATACGAGACATCTCCAAGTTGTCGTTTCGTGGGGATGAGTCGCCGTGGTTTGGTGGGGTTGATCCAGCGTTCCTTATTTCTTTGTTTAACAACTTAACATACTCCAACATTCGAGTCTCGAATTCACTGGGGGCCAATCCTGGTATTGGGCCACTGGTCATGGGTTGACCCATAGGCGTCGGATGGCTAGGATGATGAGCACCATTATGTAAACCGATTCCCCCACCCATCACGGAATTCATTCTTGCAGCAATTTGTTGTTGTTGCGAAACCAGGGTTAACGGCGACATTTGCGCTGGATTCGGAGAGCGTTGATGGACTGACTCGTATTGACCATAGCTACTCCTTCTGCCTTCCCTACGATTTCCATCTATGGCGGCCTGTAGCTCTTGCGGTGTGCTCAGGCGACGCTTATCGCATTCATAAGGATACAAATACTTCATATATCTGCAAAGTTAAAACAAAAACATAAAGAAACATCAAAAACAACATGTATAATAATAATAATAATAAGCAAAAATCTAGATTATATTTATATTTCACACACGTACACGCACATATACAAATACGCGCGCATTGGCATCGTAGAAAATACATAACGCGCGTATATTATATTTAACAGTGGCTTGTGACTTGTCTAGATAAATGATCGGTGCTATATTAAGAAGACCTGAAGGCTTGACGGATTACTCCTCGAAATCTATAGATATCAAATACTCACTGTGTACGCAATGTGAAAGCTGCGGATGTGATCGACGACGGTAAATGCAGTCCTTTGATAATCTCCTGCCACAGCTTCTTGTTGATGACGTCCACCAATCCGCCTCTAGCAATTACCAAATTGTATAATTCGAATAAATCCAAAACAGATTTCGCCATTATTGGTAGTCTGTTGATCGGAGTTCCTGCGAAGACAGAGAAAGAACAAATGAATATTAGTTGGCCGCACTCCAAGTAAATCCACATGTATTTATATTAATATAATAACTCCGAATTTAATGGAGTTGCCTTTTGCGAATCATTCATCATGTGGTAATTTTAACAATCACACTTTGTACTGACTGCTAGCGCGTTTTTGATTTATTTCCAATCTCAAGGATTGTTTGGGGCAATGCAAAATATTTTGATCGGACCGCGCGTCGTCTGTGTGTGGAACACAGCAACAACAACAAATGATACATAAAGAACAAACAGTTCTTTTATGGTGATGAACATTCCAACGGGCGGGGGTCGTAAAATAACACTCTATTGCCAGTGGTGAGACGGCCACACTGAAACTATAACTTATACGCGGTGACATTTATTAATCAAACCAGTAATACACACGTCTAGCCGTTGCGAACAGACCACAAAACATAACTGCATACATTGTATTTCACTCTCACCATTCGCTTACTCACCACACACTCAACATTCGGTTCTATACCATTAAAATCGCATCTGCATTAGCGCATAATGCAACTACATTTAACATTAAAGCGACTACATGGCAAGTAACTTGTCAGGTGTATGTAGAATGATTTGTATTTGCGATCAAATGAATTGAAAGTTTCTAAAAGAAAAAAAATATATATATTTTTAATGAGGCTTGCACTAAGTGACATTGGCTGGGAACGAGTCAGTCATTTAAGTAGTGTTTGGAAAATAAATGGATTTCCTCACATTTTTAGAACGCGCGCGAGAAGTATCACAATTCATTTGTTTTTCTGCCAGCCTCCACGCACATTACACACTCGCATACAAACTCACATACAGTGACTTGTGATTTATTAATTGAGAGGAGAAGAATGAAGAAAGAGAAAAAAGTCATTGGAAGAAAAGCGTCGTAACACCTGCATTTATTTTTGGCCAGTTCCACCAGTTGGTGGTTCAAAGAAATTTATTGATTGTGTGTAAATAAATAAAGGGAAGAGGTGGAGGATGTATCATTGTGGTTGTTTGGGGCGAGTAAATGGTTTGCGTCTACAGCTCGCTCGGAAACCAAATGCAATTATGAAAATGTGACTTAATGTTACCGAGATTTATGGTCCGACTTAAATATATTAATTTATGGGCTTATCTGCGTGGCCTGAGGCGCGCACAGCACAACAGTTCGAAACAACTTTTATAATTCATTTTCATTCAAAACGCGTTTATAAATGTGTTATTATTTATTGTTGCGTTATTGGTTATTGGGTCTGTCCGGTCCCGTTCCGTTCCGTTCCGTTTCGTCCCCCCAACCCTGAACACACCGGATCGGATCGGCACGGCCCGGGTCGTTCGTTGCAACGGGACGAAATGGGAACGAGGGAGGAGAACGGAGGTGGAGGTGAAGGCGGCGATGGCCGCACGACGACGAGGGCAATTATAATTTTACGCGTTATGTAAAAGCTAAACCGAGGCCGACGAATTCGGAGATCGAAAACATTTGTCTAGGGAACGCATATAATTACTAGTTCGAAAATAGAATACACACGAATCATAATAATCTGACTGACGAACCGACTAAAATTAAATCAATCAACTTCAACGTCGTCTTCGCCGCCGCCGCCGCCGCTGAATCCGTACATCCCACATTCCGTTTCTTTTTTGGCAAATCGTTTTATCGCGCTTTTACGCAATCCGCTTCTTTACAGGTAAGCCAGATGACTGATGACGATTTCTGCTTGCCACGTGACAAATAAAAATAATATGTTTCTTTGCGTGGCCCACATCACTAATATAAATAGTATTATCCTCTCTGATTTCAATTCTCGGCCAGGGCGCACGTGGTGTCCTCTTCCTGATATTATTTTCAGTCTGCATGATATGTAATTACCATCGCACACTGAGGCCGCCCTGAGGTCAAAGTTTACCGAAGAACACTTTGCTCAATTTTATCGCAAAAGGGTAATATTATAGAAAACGATTAGAAAGGCTCTGCTAAACCCCGTAAACTATCCGTATCGCATGTCGTCACGATATTCCATTCTTCCCAAGAATGCAGATTTTTGTTTTCCGTCTTCTCTACATTCCGCCATTACTATACAATCCTATTAAAACTTGCACTGCCATCATCATTCACTAAATCCATACATTGATTAAATTTATTTATACCTAAAGTATCGTTATTATAATATATTATTTGAATAATGAAAAAAGATTAAACGAAACAACTTGAAATTACACAGCAGAAAGTAACATGATTGTTTGTATATAAGATAATGTTTATATTAAAAATTAATGCAATAAAATATTGTGAGTAGTAATTTGGATGTGTATTTCAAAATCAAGTGGTAATAAATAACGTCATCAGTTCTGATTTTTTCCTAGTAAATCTACGAATGTGAATGATGCGAGTGTGTATCAGATTTTTAGAGATGCGAGGAGCGTATTTAAGTGTGGCTCGTTTCATAAGTCGCTAACAGTTAAATATAAACTAAATTGAAGATAATAAAATCCGTTCCGAAAACAAGCTTGAGTTAAAATAAACGAGGGAGCAACAAGGCACTTTGATTTTGCTGAGTAAACTTGATCTTTGATAGATTTGCTTTCGTAAAACAACGGCGAGTATCTAGGAAACCGCTTCCTTACCGAAAATATATTCATATATTTGGCTAAGGATTTTGTAAGGTACATGGAACATCCGGAGCAGATGTGCGCCGAACTTTGAGGATATTAATTACACATAGAGCATGTGTACACGGTTTATAATATTAATAGAATTTGTTAAGAGATTGATTTACATGAAAGAGCGTGTTGTCGAGCTTCTTGCTGGATATTTGTCATTCATTCATGCAAATGGTTCGAGGAATCCCGGTCCATTCTATGTACGTGATCCGAGACAGTTCCAGCAATTGCCGAACAATTGCGAGGGGGGTACCATTGTTTTTTTAATTGACTTTGGGGGGTTGGGGGGATGTCGCGGAATGGCGATAACAGGGAGGCAGGGATAGAGGGAGGTAGTAAGAGCGATGCAGGTGGGCTCCGGTCGTTCCGCGTCCGCCAAAATGCCATTAAATCATTCCTTCCGATCGCCTTCCATCAGGAATGCCAGACGATTACTACGAACGAACGATGTTACTTCTTGCAAGCGCACACCTCTCACATCTTTCTTCTCTCATACATATTAAATACACCATTAAAAATAAAACAAGCCCCCCAATCGATTTCTCGAATCGGCATCCATCAACGGAAGAACTATACACAGAGAAGACCTTCCTAACGAGGCGTGAAAACTCGTCCGACGCACCGATGAAAAAGGAGCGCAAGAAGAGAAGCACCGAACGAGAAGTGAGAAGGAGGATGAGAAGTAGTAGAAGAAGAAAAGCAGAAGAAGAGGAAAGACCAGAACCAAGAAAAAGAGCATCTTCTTGAAGGATACACTTGTTAATCATATGTCACGTTTTATTAAAAAGGGCGCACCTAAGGCAGTCTCTATCTCTTGTAATTACTGATCGGACTTATTTATACAGGTTATTTATTATAGTCCGAGGAATGTTTCCAACGGCTGCTACATCGAACTAATTATCTTCGTGCTTTATGGGAGAATAATGGCATTCGAAAAGGACGAGCGAATTAGCGTTTCCGAGCCGATAAATCCTCGCGCAAAAAATCATTTTTCTGCATCGGGAATCGGTGCATTATTATGCGAAATGCATAAATCTTGGAATGCAAATCCTCCACAGCGATTGACAATCATCCCGTTCCGTAATAAACTGCTGCAGAGGTAATTAAGCCGCTGGTAATAAGAATCGACTCAGGGAAAACTGCTGGACGCATTTAATGGCCATTTTATTATTATTATAATGAGTTATTGCGCACCCGAGGCGGTCCAGATATTATTACAATACGTCACGAATTTAATAGAGAAACAGAATCAAATTAATGGTTCGCAATTCTCCACTAGATTACTATTGATTATTTGTCAAGTGTACGCTTCATTTTCTTGTTCATTTAATTTTTGCTGTATATAAACATTCTAGAGAATATTAATTGGCCTACGCTTTCGCTGCCGATCATGGCGTATCGAATGTGATCAAGATTACGGCGAGAAATTAATGGATGACCGATTGAATATTTCCAGGTCGTATTTTATAATCAGTAGTGTGAAAACTGGGAGGCCCGTCCCTTCGAGGGGTTCTCAATTATAATATTATAATATCCAACGGTTCCTAAAGTGTTTCAACGCGCCCTCAGGAGCTCGCATCTATTTATGATAGTTATAGACACCGCGATTGTTACAAACATAATTTTCTAGATTCTAGAATCTAGAGACTTGATGGAATATTTCCTACACGAATTTCGGTGACACGCTTTTTGTTTCTAAATCTGTGTGGGTTTCTCCCCTATTTCCGAGTCCAATTAATTTTCTAGGAATATTTTCCGACAAAATTATTCGTACATCTGCCATCTAAAAATACATTTCCAACGCTTCCTTCCTCCTCCCATTCCTTGATTATCTCATTACGAATTTTAATTAAGAAATTCTTACTTGTGCGCATTACATATTTGCTTCTGTCCCTCACGTAACTCTATTGATAAATTTTAACCTGCATTTTTACTGCATTTTACATGCACTACTCCCATTATGAATGGATAGCGAATCTAATTACAAAATATTTATAATTTCTTATATTCAAAATAAAAAAGCTATATAAATTAAGTAAATTCTTCTTCTAATGGATGTGATGTATGAAGTATTGTAGTTACAGAAAATGGTTTAATAAAGCACATGCAGTTGGTTACAAACTGGTAAAATGTAGCGAATTGAGCGAAAATAAATGTGTAACAATCCTTGAGCGGCGGCAATTAGTGTAGTAATGTTTTTATGCAGATGGACTGGCTGCGAAACCCGGTGGCGAGAGGTTTTTGTATACAGTAATATTCCGACATGTTTGCGCATATTGTGGCAGAAAACGCACTATAAAATACAGAATATATATATATACAAATAGTATACAGCATGCGAGAGTGCAAGATGCAAATCGAGACGTGCGAAAACAATAACCGAGGCCGAAATATAAACAGACGATAAGTGCATCGATTTGAATCGATTCGGTGAAACTGGTAAATACATGGAACGTGCTGAAGTAGGTGAAGTCTAGACGACCACAAGGAGAAGGTGGACAATTACATTCGATTACAATGTAGGTGATTTTACAGACGAAGAGAGCAATGGTAAAATGGGTCCCTTTTGAGACGGACCATTGCCGCAACGTCAACAAACACCTAGCTACTTTCAAGCACGTACAAGGCAGTCCTGGCAGGACTGCCTTAATTGATCAATCCATTAATCCAGCAATTGCATTCCTGAAGGAGTAGTGTTTTGCAAACACACAGAGAACTCTTAATAATTTCATTTTCCGTTTTCCATTTCTATTTTTCCATTGACAAATGTGTGAAGGCCGGCCGTGTTGCTGCTACTATAATGCTCTCTGTCTGTACGTAGGTATGCAGCATGAATGTATGTATGTATGTACATGCGTTATTAAAACGTGAACTCCTCGCTTGAAGCTCGCGGCAAGATGACCGTATGTTATGTGTGTGACAGACTGTAAATAAATGTTAACTCAACACACGTTGATGGATACGTCGAACTACCTTTTAACCCAACATAAACGTTTCTTTCGCTGCGACAATAACACCTGTGCACAATTAACTCGCCTTTTATAACTTCTACTTAATTATTAACAGACATAAAAGTGTTTTACACATTTTATTCCTGAACGCCATCCAAAACAACGTCGCCCCCGAAACACCATTTCGAGCGCGCTCTTTATTTATTTATTTTGTCTTCTTCCTGCACTCGGGATTATTTTGTTTCGCAAATCACCTAAGAAAGGCTGTAGAGACCGCAAAACACTCCGGGGCCTCGGAATGTAAATACGGGCATTTTCGGTGGACCAGGTCCAATTAAAATTCGCCCAAACCACAACAATTTCCAAGAGGAAACATATGCCGAGGTGGTCCCAGCGCACACGCATCATTAAGCAATCAATGGAAAGTCCAAAAGGCGATGTAAGATAGCTTGCTTTCTTTCCGTCCTAAAAGCTAACAATTATCGACTGAAGTGAATAATCAGAATACGGTACTAACTTATAAACAACAATTAATACAATGACACCGTTGTATCAATTGACAGTACGGGAATTATACCTTCTCTGATGATGGTGACCATAAATAAAATAATAATATTGATGAATATTGGAGAAATGGAATGTTCTGAAAAACAAGCTAGTATTCTTTGGATTCCTTTCGTCGATACAGTGCTAGGATTTTTCAGAGACAATAAAAAACAATGAGTTTTCCCTTTGCAATCGTGTGAAATCCTCCTTTAACCAGTAGACATCGGAATTTCATTTGAGTTTCGGAAAAATCGTGTCACGATCGACCGTTACGTAAGCGACGTTGGTCTTGAAAATGAGGTGTTTCTGTATATTTTTCTAACGATATGCTAAGTATAATTAAAATGGTTCACGAGATTGATTAATTACGCGAGGGTGCAGGGAACACATGTGAGATGTTGGCAAACGGAGAAGAAGACGAAGAAGAGCACATAATGGCGGCGACGGTGAGTGACGGGAATGCGTACAAGGGCTGCCAACACAAACACACCGGAAGTGTCCGCTAATTATAAATATGTTGTCATCAATCACGGCGCGCGTCTGACATCAGACTGTATCATATGATGTCTTTCTGTGTTATTAATTATATATATGCTGACTTTGTGGCGGACGACTCACGAATATAAAATTTCAATTAGCCTCAAAACGAGATAAATGAAACGCATACGTTTCTTCTGTGCTCTTTTTCGTTCTTTGTTTTAGCTTTGTTGTTTTGTTGTCCGGCTCCAAAACGGAATCCATCTCCATCGATAGAAAGGAGACGCGACAGTTCCGGCTATTTTTAAGATGCTAACACGAAATAACGTTTGAATGGATGAGAGCGGATGATGATACGCAACTGAATCGATTATGAAAAGCGCTAAATCATTCAGGCGCGGGCCCGGTCCTCCTCTCCTCTATGTGCATAGTCCCGGCCCATAGTATAGAATTAAACAGTAGCCCAAGTTCGAAACATTATATATTACATTCGATAATGGTATAATAGCCCGGTATTTTATCCGCATAACGGGGCGGCATTTAGTCTACCAAATTGCTCGGTTATTTTCTCTCCGTCGCATCATTATTATTCGAATCTACCTGGCCCAAACATCGGCGTGCCGCGCTATTTACCGACGATGGATTGAAGGAATCGCAGATAGTCCAATTTGCAATGCAACAAACAAAGCTTAATGAATTAATCAACATCCGGCGAGGCCAATCGTGGTCGTAGAGACACGAAAATTATCGGCAGTTCTCTAATTCGATAATGGGTTATTGTCGGTGTCAGTGCGAACGGAAAAATACCAGCAGAGACGCGAAAAGATAATGCCGTAATAATACCAATAATAATAAATGGTAATAATAGTTCAATAATGATTTGCAACATATGTACGTATATAAAAATATCTAGCCGGCAAATTGTCCTAATTATATCGTGACCCAAAGGAATCGTGCCGTTATTAAAATACTAGTAATGTTATATTATTCGAGTTGTTTGCATTTCTCAGAAAAAGAGCTGATCATCCATCAGCGGCGGCGCCGTCGCTTCTTACGTAATGAAGAGGAAAAAAGCAAAGGGCCATGATGGTATTCATGACATACTCCGTGCGCTTTTCCTGTTCTCATTTTCGTTTTCTTCCTCTTTCCATTCGTGGATGCGTCCACCTTTTTTTTAATTGATGAAAGCCATTTCTATGGTTACCTTGCTATGCTATGTTGTTCTCTCTGCTCGGTGATTAATGAGCTTTTGAAATGGCCGTTTGTAGAAATTATCGTTTCATTAAATATTGTAATAAGCTACGGAATTACTTCTTAATTACTCCAAATATCGTTGATTAATGTGTGTTTTTGAAAACGCATCTTCAACATGATTTGCCTCGATACCAAATTTCAATCTTTTAAGCGTCTCTCAGACTCAACTAAAACGTAAAACACAGCAACAACGTACTTTTTCTTTTAATTGGTACGAATGGAATTTTACACGTAGCTATAAATAGGGCGTAATTGAATGTTATCAATTTTAAAAATAGTATTACGATAGTTATGGAATAGTTTATAGAAATATAGTACAATAATAATTTTGTCCCAAAAATAAATGCAAGAATCATTGACAAATTAAATATTTTCTTTTAGAAATATAACAATTTTGACTACTTTAAAATAAATGTTTCTGCAGGCATAACTACCAAGTAGTTCTTAAATATCATAAATGTGGTAGTACTTAAAAAGTAAGTACAGAACATAAATGTTATTGTAGGTTTTTCAAGTTTATTTCAAGCGCAGAGTAATTGGTTTCATGCAAAATGGAAACAAGATGTATTAATTAAATTAAGCTGTTCATTAAAGGCTGATATTTGTGATAATTAGAGAAAAGAATCGAAAATTGATTTGCGGTTTTGACGAACGTCACTGCCTCGAATTTGCACCCTGCTAGCAAGCTGCAAGCGAATCTTGCACGCGAACTGACAGAGTACACATCACGAACGTTTTCGAGCCATGGGAGTGAACAGGCAGGCCCGGCATCAATTTTCATTAGATTAAATTACATTAAGCAGGCAATTAATTCGACTCACCTCTTTTCTGCATGAAAGAGAATAGGTCATCGAGAAACTCCTTGCGTTTTGGGTCGTCATTGATCTCGTACAGCTGCAACGGAAGAACAAGAAATAACACATGAGATACATAAACAAATGAGTGTAAGATATTTGCACAGGGAATTGCATTTTCCAGGATGTAAAGCTAGGGGAAGCGGCGTTTCGACCGTTAACTTTTATTTCCTTAGGAGCGAACGTGTATCGCACGATTCGAGGTGAGATAAACAAATGTAATTATTGCGCTGAGCCGATTCGAATGTAGTCGGAATAGATTAAGACTCATTTGCGAATGCCCTGAAAGCGGGAGGCGGTTGCGGGTGCGCGGAGGCGGCGAGGAGAGGAGAGGACAGATTCCACTCGAATGTAAATCGAAGCGAGAAGAGGACGCATCCTGCTCTCGCGCTCGGATGATTAATTACGATTTTAAATTACAGTTTTGTTTTGGTCGCTCTAAAACCTTATTATTAATTACTCCCCGCGCTTCGGCCGTTTCTTTAGTTTTGTTTGCTGCATTCACCTCCTTTCCACGATCGCTCACCTCCTCGTAATTACACGCTTTTAATTCGAGAGTGTCGTACGCAAAAGGATTCGATTAATATTCGCTATAAATCAAAATCGTTTATTTGCGTAGGACGTATGCTCGAGGAGAAAGAGACAAATTAATGGGAAAATGGTTGGAGCTTTTGTATCTAACCGGGCATCAATCAAGCGGGTTGTTAACAACTTGTGCACATCGATTGAATCAACCTTTTTTCATCCTCTATCTCTCTCTCTCTCTTCGTAGCTTTCATGCGGCTTTTTTGAAGGAAAATAAGAAATATACACACACAAAAAACGAGTCCAAGATTAGCAGACCGTCTGTGATGGGCGTGGGTCCCATTAACAACATCAGTCTCCGGCATAAATTGGTACTGAACGTATTGTTTTGTTGCAGTAGTCGCTGTTAGTTTGTTGTAATTTCTGTAATTAAGTACATGCTGATACATTGACAAAGGACGATCTGGTCTCGGCCTTTGTTGATCGAAGGCGTTCTCTGTATTTGGTCCGAGCCTGATGATGATTTTGTGGGCAATTCATAAATTTGTTATTGTAGTAATCGAATGGTGCACTGAATGCGCGTCCCTCCGGGCTCGGCAAAGTAACTTGTAAAGATAGATGGCCAAGGCAGACAGATTAGTTAACCAGGGTTATTAATGACCGTGTTTAACCTCCGCAACCCCACCTCGCAACAATGGCCGATGTTTTAACACCACATTACAAACGATTACGACCACTCTGCTCCGCTGAACATCAACCAACACTACACACACATATATACATACATACATGTAAGTATGTATGATGTTTTCTCTTGTTTCATTTTTTGCCTGCTGCCCTTCACTGTTCTTCTATTGAGCAACATCCACTGTTTGTACAACCAACAACAAAGATCCCCTCTTATACACATCCATACGCACAATACAATCGATGATATTTTAAACATCACCAAATAGACTTATACAATACACACTCATATGCAACTTCCCATAAATAAATATAAACGCAAACAGTAATTAAAATAAAAAAATACATATTTTCAACATAATAGTAGTCATCGAATTGAAAAATAATCAACTGAACGGTCTTAATTGCAACAGATATAATATGTCTTAATGACTAATAAAATAAATTACAAATTCTAACATAATCAACTACTATTATAAAATTATTTAATTATATTCAATGTTTCAGGATTGTTTCGGCAGTATATTGAATTATTCGCCACTAAACTGTGTAAATCAAAGTTGTAATTGGGTATTGGAAATATTGTACGCATTACTTAATAATAGATTGAGTTACGATTATTGCAGGGATGGATCAATCGAGGCAACGTAATGAGTGTCATTTAAGCAACGTTCGAGATTGAAATATTGCATGGCATTTTGTGCTGCGTGCCTGCAATTGGGTGAGTAATTAATAGCAATTTGCTTGGGATCTGGGAGAGCGCAGATTGATTGTAGGAATTTCAAAGGTGAGGGCCGTAATTTATGCACTAGGAAGCGGAGGAGCAGAATTATGCGGATCGCACCAAAGTATGTATGTATATCATATTTATATTCGAGCCTTCAACGTGATCTCGAGAGAAGCAAATAAAGGACAATCCCTGGCCATGTCACGCAAAGCTAACAAGCAAGAACGAGCTTTGATCTAGCGGAATGGCTGCACTGTAATGCCATATACCATTTTAGTACGGTGATTAATTCTTTCATTAGGTAGAATTCAACCCTACTTGATCCGTACGACATAATTACTTTATAAACAAGCAAGACGCTAGACTCAACAATTTATTAAATCTGTAATTGTATCATATGATGCTGTCATTTTTGCACGAATTGAAGGGTGCAGCGTGAATGGGTCGAAATGAAGTAGTACAAACCGCATTCTAGGGGGAAGAGGAGGCGCGTCGATGCATGATAATCGGTCTAATTATGGAAGGACTACCAACATGTCAGCCCATTGTGTGGACTGTATCCATTGTTGAGGCGACAATGCATGTAAACATCGCACACTCAATGGAGTCATTGTGCGTTTTATTTTCCTGACTCTGGTGGGGTCCGAAGGCTCATCTCAACGCGCGCCACAGATCTCTGCAGACACATCTAAACAGAGGGGTCAGGTCATCTTCTTTCTGGATCCATATCTAATCCGATACATATTATTATTATTGATACAACGCACATTCCCGTATCTCCCGTGTCATCGCTGAATACAGCTAAATGGAATTACTGCACATTCAAATGTATCATTGATTCTGCTCGAAATAGAGCGATCATTGAATATTTAGCATCTAAATTTAAGAAATCCCCATTCTCGATTACTTGTGTATATTCAATGAAGTTTAGTTCGAAATTTACATTGATAACATCATGTTTTTCAAAGTTTTGAAATTATTCTAGCTTGTATGTACAAACAGAATATATTATCATGCGGAAAATGATACGTTCTTTAATTAACCAAAGGTTTATTTTTGTCGTAATACAAACATTAGAAACGAAGTTATTTTTCATTTTATAAAATAGATTGCGTTATCTACGCAATAAGTTCCATATGCGGGCGGAAATAGTTCCATAATAGACAATAAAAATTCTAGCATGACATAATTATGAAGAGTTCATAAACCTATTCTAATTATTTCGCCGGTTTTATCTGGGAGATAATTAATGGCCTGAATAGTTCTCGCTTTAGTAATTTTTCCATTTTCGCTCGTCTAGCATACAGTTTTCCTATCAATGGACTCCGATGGTATTGGGGGGCTTACCCACGCATACATATTAAAATCGATTAAATATAGAAACGGATTTTGATCGAAACAACTCATCGATATTATGGAACTATAACACACCTCGAAAACAATTAATTCCCTTTTCGAAGGATTCTCTCTCTATCTACTTTTTATATTCCATTCCTATTACGTATATATATATGAGTGTGTGTGTGTGTGTGTGTGAGCGAGAGAAAGGAGTCGAACAGCGATTGTAAAGCCTACACCAAATCATCTATCATACCTATCGTTGACACGTTCTAAATTAAAAACACTAACCCGTCTAGTGCTGGGCACAAAGATTGCGAGCGGTTTTCGAACGATGCATTGGGTTCTTTGGATCCGAATGCCCAATAAAGGTGTGCATTTTATTATTATAATATTGCACATTTGCTTGAACCAAAGCAAGAAGCGTGTTTGGTGCGGAGGCACGTAATGCCCGATACAATGAAGATATTGTACGGACGGCAAATTGTGTTAGTATTACGTGAAAATCACCGTATACGTGCGAAATATTCAAAACAAATGCAATACGTAAGTAATTCATTAATTCCCCAGGACGACCATCCATAATTGCATTTACGACAATGACGAAACGGTGCGACGTTCTTGGTGTGGTGTGGTGTGGTGGTTTCCTTTGTGGAAATCTTTTCGGACCGGAATGGTATTAATAAAAGCGGCCGTTAAATGTGAATATTAATTTTCCGAAATCGGACTTCTCGGAAACTCTCTGGGTTTTATATCAGGTCCATTGTGTGGATGGTGTTTGCTGGTCGCGCGGACAAAGGCTCCGAAACTGGACCTTACATGGCAATTAAGATTTTTTTCACCGTCGACCTATTAAAAAGCATAAATACGGTTGGTTGTTCCGTTTCCACGTGGTTTAATATAGCAATAAATATCAGATTAACTTGGGAAGAAAGGGACTCTGAGACGGCTATAAAACCGTATTCGCCCCGACTGTTAATTAATATTTTAATTAATAAATGGAAAATCGGGTCGAGCTGCTTACAAAGTGTGCGATCAAATACAAACGCATCGCGACATCGATGAAAAGCGATGTATGGATAGGATAGATGGATGGATGGATGATGGTCATGCATCGGTCGACTGTTTATAATAAATTTGCCAATAAAGTTTTAATGCCGTTGTTGTCTTATGGAGGAGAGTAATAACAGCTGAAAGCTGAAGGTTGTAATAACAACCATTTTCGATTTAACATTCCATTGTTCTTTTTATGCGATTACCGATAATGAGTTTCTATGGGTTTTTATTTTAATTGTGCGTACTCGAATTTATTGCTATTAAAATCCTCCGACTTCGCCAACCGACCATCCGCCATTCGAGGAAATGGAATAAATAATATTCACTGCAATAACGTACCTTCCCATCCGTTTTAATCCCCATCCGAAGATTAATATCACAATGGCAGATAGATTCTTAAAATGACATTAGCCGTAGTCTTTGCCGTCGTCTAGACGGGTAGGCGAAAAAAAGGAGAGAAGAGAGGTAGTCTCGAAAACAATCTTTCAGGTAATAAAATTATGTTTTCTTTTATGTAAATACACCACGATAAAAACTAATGGCGAGTTTAAGTTACGAATTAAGGGGGGAATATGTTATTTGAAAGCTAATAGGTTTGCTTGCTGCCGTATTGTCAATTAGAACTCGTATCTTCAAGCTCGGCCAACTGTTTGCTCAGTCTTTCTTCTTCTTTTATTTTGGATTTCCGCGTGCGGCGGATAACGAAA